ACACAGACGGGGGAGCTCGGTTTATCGTCTCACCCATGAGACAATGTGTTTCCCCCACCCCCACCCACCCCCACCCACCCCCACCCACCCACCCACCCACCCACGCACTGCATTCAAGCATCAGACGCCCTCGATGGCAGGAGTTCCATGCTGCAAGGCGGGGGCTTAGATCCACAACCCACTGACTCAGAGACGAGAGCGCTGCTGACTGAGTCGGGCTGACACTGGCTGTTTGCCCATAAAATACACAGCGACTGCAATTTACAGTCTATCCTGTGAAGGGCTTTGGGTTGTCCTCCTGACGTGAAATGCGCTGCATCCAACGTAAGAATTATTCTAACAGAGCGAAATCTTTGATTGTCTCTTAGGTAGACATCTGTTCACTCACTTCTGATAAATACACTCACAACACACAATAATAATAATGATGAGAGTAATAATCCTTGCATTTGATACAGCGCCTTATCATGTCGTTGAGACGTCTCAAAGCGCTTCACAGGATATACTGTAAAGTAAATTGATTATGTATTTTGTGGGCGAAACGCGGCAGCCGATCGCGCACAGGAGTGTCCCCGCAAACAGCCGTGGATTTGGTGTCGAAATTATTATTATTATTTTAATTTATTTATTTGAAGGGATTGTTCCAAAATGCAGGCTGCCAATCGACTAACAGCCGGGTTCCTACTTACTGCGAGGTAAACAGAGGTGTGCGCGTGTGCGTGTGCGTGCGCGTGCGCGTGTGCGTGCGTGTGCAGAAAGGAAACTTGCCCAAAGTTTTGCCCTGCCCGGGGATCAAACCCAGGTCCTCCGGCTTTCGAGTGCAGTGACCGCGAGGCTACGGGACGCGCAATGAACGCACAGACACCTACACAACGTACACACACGCACACACGCGCGCGCTCACACAGCACTCTCACACGCGCACGCGCGCACGTCCTCGTGAATTGTTCGTCTTACTAATTGGCGTTAAGCAGGGCAGTCAAACGTGGGCTGTTTCAGTTTGAATGTCAGCAGGTAGCTCTTTACTTTGAAGATTGAAAAGAAAATGAAATCCTCAAGGGAATTGGATCGAAATCAATCGGGAGAATATCTTTTCTAAGCGAAAAATGAATGCATCTTCCTCGTGAGAACCATCGCACAGTCACTACACGACGCTGCGCTCGACGAACCCGGCCCGAGTGCTTTGAGGCATCGCAGGATTGTCGGCGCTGAGTCAACTCTCGGGGGTTGGCTGTTACTCTCTTTTCTGTCGGTGGTGCTGTGCCTTACGTTGAGGAGTTAGATGTGGGGGAGGGCATTTTCGGTCACGCAGATTCATAGCCAAGGGTGCGGGGGCTTTCTTTGTCCCCTCCTCCGTTGACCCCCATTTTGATTTTCGTCGCGCGCAATAAGTAATGCAATAAAGTAACGTGTTGTACATCAGGAGGACGTCTCGAAGTGCTTAGAGCACTACGCCTCGCAAGCGAGAGGACCCGGGCAGGGGGCGAAACGTTGGGCAAGTTTCCTGAACCCGGGTGTTAGTCGATGGGTCGATCGCTTTCCGGGAATAATAATCCCTTCAAAAAAAAGGAATAATACGGCCACTCAATCCACAACTGATGGCGCGCGATCGGCTGCCACTTTGCGCCGCAAAGCACAACGGTCGATTCACTTCACAGCGTGTCCTGCGAAGCCCCTTTGAGACGTCTCGAAGGCGTTATAAGGCGCTTTATCAAATGCTTTGTCATCAGGAAGAGGGAGAGAGCGAGAGAGCGAGAGAGAGAGAGAGAGAGAGAGAGAAAGAGACTGACCCCATTAGTCATACGGTAAGAGACTTCAGGTCCGTCTTTTTTCGAAGAGACAAAAAAAAATCACCTCTAAAGTTGGGCAGAGTGAAAAGCTCAATGGTTCCTGATTTAGGCTGTTACCGTGGCAACCGAAACCTGGATTGGTACCCAACCTACAGGGTTGGGTGAGAGAGCTGAGAACATGATGGAGAGTTGAATGGATGGAGCCCGGCTCCGTGGCTCCCACCAGCTCCTCCCGGTCAGAAGTTTATTTATTCATTCATCCTAATAATAATCCTCGCATTTGATGCGGCGCCTTATCACGTCTTCGAGACGCGCCAAAGCACTTCACGGGATACACTGTAGAGCGGGGCGACTGTGCATTTTGTGGGCAAAACGCAGCAGCCAATTGCGCACAGGAGTGTCCCACAAACAGTCGTGGGTCGGGTGACCGAATTATTATACCTTTTAAGGGATTATTGCCCCCAGAAAAGTGATCCGCCCATCCTGCCGTTTGCTCCTGGGTAAAGAGAGGCATGTGGAGCAAGGAAACATGCCCCGCGAGGCTCCACTGGCTCCCTGTCGCCGAACACGTTGATTTAAAAATCCTCCCACTCCCATGTTACCCTACGTGAGGGGCACTATGTAAATTCAAGTATTATTATTATTATTATTATTATTATTATTATTATTAAGAGCATCCAAACCAAGATGAGAATTCCATGCATCACGCATGGAAATCCCAGAGAGAAATTGATGGAATGAAATGCGCTCTCTCTCTCTCTCTCTCTCCCTCTCTCCCTGGAGGGACGCATAATGCTCCCCTAAAAAAGACAACTAGAGAATAGACGAGGTGGGAGGGGGCATAGGGGTGTGAGGCTTAGCCTCCTGTAGTTCGAGCCGCGACCCCGCTATCTATGAGCGAGAGTAAAGCCATTCAGAAAACCTGTGGCAAGGCCTATCTCTCGCTCTCTTTCTCTCTCTCTCTCGCTCTCTCTCTCTCTCTCTCTCTCTCTCCCTCTGCGTCACGTTAAAGCTTCTCACCAACGCTTTCAAGTTTTGTTCCTCATTTATTTCACACAATCCTGAGGAATGGGGAATCTTAAAGTCCATAAATCTATTGATCTAAGGTTCAATGGAATTGTTCTCGGTCTTCACTACTAATCTGTCTCCGTCAATGAACTAGCAACGTGCATCGATCATTTGGGAGAGAGTGGGGAAGGCGGAGTGGGGGTGGGGGGGGGGGGAACGGGGAGTGGAGTGGGCTGGGGAATGGGGGAAAGGGGGAAGGTGGAATGGAGGGGGGAAATGGGAGTGGAAGGGGGAATGGGGAATGGGGGAAGGGAGATTGAAGGGAAATGGGGGTGAGGGGGGGGGGAAGGGGGGTGTGAGGGGGAATGGGGGGAAATGGGGAGAGATAAGAGAAGTGTTGCGTAAGTGGGAACAGGTCAATCGGGGGTAACAATACCTTCAAAAAGAAATTTGGTCACTCAACCCACGACTGTTTGTGTGGACGCCGCTGTGCGCAATTGGCTGCCGCGCTTCGCCCACAGAATACACAGTCACTCCACTTCACAGTGTATCCTGTGAAGCGCTTTGAGACCTCTCGATGACTTGATGAGGCGCCGTAGCTATCATTATCGGAGAAACCAACTGAGCAGCAACTCTCAAGTGGCTTCTATTCTTCAGCTAATTGGACAGCGACCGCGTGAGGGAATCAAACATATCTGCGACTCGAATTCACACGCACAAAAAAAAACCCCTCACCTTCACCGGGGTTTTATGCAATTTAAATAAATACCAATTAGAATTGTTAAAATTAATATGTTTCAATTAGCGGCTGCATTGATCGCGTACTTGAGTTCTGTATCAATGAAGCCCTGCGGCTTCCTGCGCGTGCGGTGTGGCTCAATCTCTTTCTTGCTGGCTCCTGGCAGTTGCCTTGGTGAACAGGCTTGATGGGCTGAATGGCCTCCTGTTCCTATCAATCCCCTGTCAATCTTCTGGTTTGGCTCCACCGTCACACCTCGCTCCCTCCAGTCACCTTCCTAGTCCTCAAGAGGCCCCCCCCCCCACCACTCTGCTCCGATGGAGACCCAAGGAGAGCCACTCGGCAGCCCGCACCCTCAATTTCCTGTGCTGACAGGAAGCTGACATCAGTGGGAAACAAAATGGCCATCTTCCCCGCCGTCCTCCGGCCCCCTCCCCCCCCCCCCACCTAACAGGGAATCGCTTAAGTGATCTTTGGGCGAACAACTGACCAATATGGGTGACTGTGCATGTCCATAACTTGATCTCTGTGTCTCTGGCGCTGTGGGTTTAGAGCGATTCAGGGACAGGACGAGGCCATTCAGTCCCTCCATTCTGCTGAAGGATCGTGTGTGGTCTGCCGGAGCAGGATGGAGGGGCTGGATGGCCTCCTCCGCCAGATCACAAGCGATCCTTCACCCTCGTTTTCCCCTTAATCCCCTCTTGCTTCCAAGCATTCCAATCCCTTCCACCTCTTCGTGCTCGGCATCACGTGGTCTAAGCTGACAATCTAACGCAGCGCTGGGGGGCAGGTGTTGCATTGTCGGAAACGCCGTCCTTCGGGTGAGACGTCAAACCGAGCTCCCCGTCTGCCTGTTCAGGTGGACGTGAAAAGATCCCGCAGCGCAAAATAATAATAATAATAATAATAATCCTTGCATTTGATATAGCGCTTTTCACGTCGGGAGGACGTCCCAAAGCGCTTCACAGAACACACTGTAAAGTGAATTGACTGTATATTTGTGGGCGAACGCGGCAGTCAATTGCGCACAGCAATGTCCCTCAAACAGTCGTGGATTGAAAATGACCAATTTATTATTGTTTTTGTTTTGGAGGGATTATTATTAGGCTCTGTGTGGAGTAAGGAAACTTGCCCAAGGTTTCGCCCTCTGCCTGGAATTGAACTCAGGTCTCTCACTTGCAAAGTGAGTGCTCTAACCACTGAGCTACAGGACTCCACGATCTGGCATTGGGGAGTGACTGACTGACCATCTCTCCCTTTCTCTCTCTCTCTCTCTCTCTCTCTCTCTCTGGAAGGGGACTCCCAACGGCTGGCCTTTCGCGAGAAGTCGCTTCGAGGAGCTTTGATGGGGAGGTGTGTGTGCGTGGCCCACACCCAGACTCCAGCCCAACCCTGAGTCCCGGCTCGGCTCGGCCCGGACCGGACTTCCCTGGAGACGAGGCCTCAGTGATTCCTATGGCCTTTCTCCCGCGGAGCCACGCTGGAGGGGTTGAGGTGCAGAGCGAGTGCCCTGGGGTGGAGGATGATGTAACGCAGAGTGTCGCCCTCCCATGCTAAGAGCAGCCAGCTCCAACCTTCGTTAGTATAAGTGTCCGGTGAGTGGATGTCCCTCATAACGAACTCCCCCACTCACTCACTCACTCACTCAATCACATGTGTGCCTGTTGCCTTGTGTTGGGAGGGGAGGGGGACTCCTGTGGCTCCTCGTTTAATGTATCGTCCTCTGTTTATTCCCCCACGAAGCGCTCTGGGACTCTCTCTGCCCTGCCTGAGGGGTACTTTGCGAATGCAAGTTGTTGTCGCGGTTGTTGATCAGTTGTGCGCTGGTTCCAATCTGCTGAGTTCAGATCCTCACGAATCCCTCTCTACCTGTACAGTGCGCTGGTCAGACCACATCTGGAGTACAGTGTCCAGGTGTAACACGTGTGTTCATGTTGCATGTGGGGTTGCGTGTATGTTGTGTTTGGTACGGTATAAGCGCTCCAAGACCCTGCCCCCCCCCCGCACGAAGGCTAGTATATCAATCCATGTTTTTTTTTCTGTTGTGTGTGTGTGTGGTTCGTGTGTTAATATATGTGTGTTAGTATGTGTTTGTTGTGTTTGTGTGTGTGTGTATGATTTGCGTGCTGTGTGTGTTAGCATGTGTGTGTTAGTAGGTATGTGTTTAGGTGGTTTGTGTGCGCGTGTTAGTATGTGCGTGTGTGTGTTCAGCAGAAGCGAGTGATGAGATCCTTATCTTTGAGCCGTTTCAATCTTGAATCTGATCCAAGACGTGTAGTCAATGAATTGAAATGAATGTTCTGTCGGCTGAGTTGGTGCAAGATACTAACATAATAATAATAATCCTCGCATTTGATATAGCACCTTATCACGGCTTTGAGACGTCTCAAAGCGCTTCACAGGATACACTGTAAAGTGGAGTGACTGTGGATTTTTGTGGGCGAAACGTGGCAGCCAATTGCGCACAGCAGTGTCCCACAAACAGTCGTGGACATGGATTCTCTGACCGAGACCCTGATTCTGTGCATTTCCTCTTGTCATCAATGCACTAGTTACTGTCAGTGGTTTGGGAAAATTGACTATAAATAGTGTAAAATGACCCACAAAGATGTTGTACTATGGAATGGAGTTCCAGAGGGTGGGGGCAGAAAGGCTGAAAGCTCGACTGTCGATGATGGGTGTTGGGGGGGCGCGGGGGGTGCAGGTACCTGCGAAGGAAAGGGAGAGGGGGGGGGTTGATAGGGTCTTAGAGGGTCACAGAGGAGAGGTGGAGTGAGGCGAGACTGTACAAGGAATTAAAGGTGAGGACGAGGAACTCTTGGTGATGGGGAGCCAGTGGTGAAGGTGAGGGTGATAGGATCGCGGAGCCTGGTGCGGGAGAGGGCACGAGCTTCAGAGTTCTGGATGATCTGCAGCTTGTGGAGGGAAGAGTTGTGGGGAGACCGACGAGGAGGGAGTTGGCGCCTGAGGGCAGTGACGGAGTTGGCAATGTTGAGGAGGTGTGGGGAAGGCAGATGTGGGGTTTAAAGAACAGTTGAGGTTCGAACAAGGTATCAAGGTTTCTTACTGGTTTGGTGAGGTGGATCATAAAGGCCGGTTAATGGACTTGAAGTACATGATCTGATAGAATGGCGGAACAGGCTCGAGGGGCTGAATGGCCTACTCCTGTTCCTATATTCCTATTTACCTATAAACCCGGCTCCCCTTCCCTCCAAACCCGGAACCTAACCCCGGGCACGAAATGACGGGAAATCCTTCTTAAGAAAGGCCGCAACGTCTTAGACGAACAAGGAGGTGAGATCTCGGGCGCTGAGCCAGTCTGCGCGATGCGAAACAGGCAGCTCAGGAAACGCTGGAGGATGTGAATCCCCCGCTCCCCAGGTTTCTTTCTCGCTCAGCGTTCAGCTTCCCTTCACATCACTAACCTTCCCCCAATTTCAGCTCCAAACTGGGGCATTTATATTTAATCATGATCTGCCGTTTTATTTTTACGTTGCGATGGTTTCAGTCAATCCCTCTCCCGTGAGGGACATTAACCTACTTTGGACTTTCAACAGTTCTCTAAATATAACCCTCCCCACCACTCCCCCCGCCCCACCCCCCCCCCGCTCTATTCTACCCCCCCCTTCAGATTCGTGTTTTATTTTAAGAGTAAGTACAACCTTTCTTTCTAAAACAAGCAATACGCCCACTCTCAGCTCGAGTCTGAATCTTGTAGGCCTGCTCCACGTTCCTCTGCCCAGCCCGCTCGTCCCACCAGTCTCTCTGTCCCCACCCCACTCAAGACCTTCCTCTTCAATCGCGCCTTCGGCCCCCCCCCCCCCGGCCCTCCCTGCCCCTCCACCCCTCCTGTTCCCAACCCCCAGCTCCGGTCCACATCGCTGACTGTCCAGCTTCTTGGAAATGTCATTTGTTGCTGTTGGACTTTGCGCTCACGTAGGCTCCAGCGCGGTGTGGTTTTGGGTGTGTGTTCTGGGTGGGTGTACGTCTGTGTATGGGTGGGGGTCTGTGTGCGTGCTTGTGTGAGGGGTGGGGTCTGCCTTGTTTTTGGAGGCGCCGACCTTCGGATGAGACGTTAAACCCAGCGTCTGCGATGTTAAAGATCCCACGGAGACACTGGGGGAAGAGAGGGGAGTTTTTCTCTCTCCCCCGGTGTCCTGGCTGACAAGCCCCCAGATAAAATCACTCGCTCGCTCGACTGCTGTTTGCCGGGACGCTGCTGTGCGTGAATTGGCTGCCGCGTTCGCCTACAAAACTTTCAATAGCGGCGTGGGACCTTTAACATCCGCCCCGACACAGGGGCAGACGGTACGGGACGTTGGTTTAAAAAAAAACCTAGTCACTCAATCCACAACTGTCTGACTGACACTACTGTGAGCAGATCGGATGGCGCGTTTCGCCCACAAAATACGCAGTCAGTCCACTCTACGCTATATTCTGTCAAGCGCTTTGAGGCGCCTCAAAAGACGCGATAAGGGGCCACAGCGAATGCAAGGGTTATTATTACTGTATCAAGAAAAGAGCCAAATGCAAAGAGGGTGAACAGAGTTCGTGTCTCCCTCTGAGTGTTAAGCGCTGTCGTTTGCAAAACGTGCCACATTGTTCATAATTAAAATGGCGTGTAAATGAATGCTCTGTGCACAAGGCAATGGTGCGGAATGCTCCACCGACACGTTTTATGACTCACTGCTGACTCTCCTCGGCCCGATAACAATCTCCAAAAGGGTCTGGGCAGAACATCTCCCCCACCCCACTCCTCTCCCCGTCGCCACGGATTAATAGGGGAATAGTGTCAGAGTAGAGAGCTCCAGTGGGGGAAGCGAGCGTCAGCACAGACACGATGGGGGGAAAGAGAGAGAATGAGCGCAGGGAATGGGGTTAGAGTAGAGAGCTCTGGGGGTGGCGGTGGGCTGTCGGAGGAGAATACAATGGTTACTTTGCTGTAAATTCCACATTACAAGCTGCGTGGGAGATGAGATGTAATGAAGTGTTGCAGGTCAGAGAAACGTGAGGGTATCTCTCGTGGGCTCTGCTGTAATTTGAAATTCTTCGTTTAAATCCTTCTCTTATAATTAATCCCAACGTCGTCCCAAGAAACCCAACAGGAGGGAGCGGGAGACTGAAGGCAAAGGTTCTCTCTCTCTCTCTCTCTCTCTCGCTCTCGCTCTCTCACACACACACACACACACACTCGTTCGTGTATAAAACGCAGAGTTCTGCGCTTAGCATCTTACAAGCACCGAAGGAGGCCATTGAAAGAGCCACCAACGTCCCCACTCTTTCCCCATCACCTTGCCAATGTTTCCTTTTCGAGTACTGATCCAATTCCCTTTTGAAAGCCACTATCGAATCTGTTTCCAACGCCCTTTCAAGCAGTGCGTTCCGGACTGTAACAACTCTCTGGGTTTTTAAAACAAAAAAAAGGCCTCACCTCCTCTCTGGTTCTTTTGCCAATTATCTTAAACCTGATCCTCTGGTGATCGGCCCACCCATCAGAGGAGGCAATTCCTCCCTATCTACTCTTGTCAAAACCCCTCATCATTTTGAACACTTCTATTAAATCTGCCCTCAACCTTCTCTGCTCTAAGGAGAATAATCCCAGCCTCTCCAGTCACTCCGCCGTGAACTCCTGTGAAGCACTTTGAGACGTCCTCCTGACGTGCAAGAGGGCTGCGGGTCAAACGGAAGGTCTCCCCCTCTCTCCCCCACAATACTACGATGCCACATCAGTCAGGACAGTGAGCTGAAACACCCCCCCACCCCCATCCCAAACGCAGGGGTCCAAACCCTTCCCACCCCGTCCCAGCCGAGAGAGAGAGAGAGAGAGAGAGCGAGCGCGCGAGAGCCCGAGCCAGGCTGAGGGAACAGACTGACTGACTGACGACCGTGTTGGAACCATATGTCCCCAGGTCAATGGATCAGCGATGGTGTGAAGGACTTGATGTGACAAATGATATAATCCGGTGTGGTTCAGTGTTAAAGAGGACGTTCAACCAGCGTAACATTACTGACGAGTTCTCCCATCTGCTGTCCTGCTCTGACCGGCTGCCTCGCACACACCCTCTGCGTGCGGTGTCTCTGCCAAATGTTAGGAGTTGCCTAACGTAGAGGCCGCTGTCAATCTGAAAGGAGCCAAACGACACAGCTCTGCCTGCGTGTCGTCTCGCACGCTCCGCTCGGTGTGCCTCGCGCGCCAAGCTCAGCGCAGCCAGTCGTGCGCAGCGGCGTCCCGCAAACAGCCGGGCCTTGAGCGATCAAATTCTTATTATTTTGTAGGGATTACTGCCCCCGGAAAAACGATCCGACAATCGACTAACGACCGGGTTCCTACTCACTGCCGGGTAAACCGAGGCGTGTGGAGTGAGGAAACTTGCCGAAGGTTTGGTCCTGCCCGGGAATCGATCCCAGGTCCTCTCGCTTGCGAGGCGAGAGCTCCAACCACTGGGCTTCAGGACTCCCAACAGTTGGATAAATTACCGAGTGAGAGTTACAGAGGTGGCTGTTGGGAGTGAGAGCAGAGACAGTAATGGAGGCTTCACCCCCTCGAATTTTCGGTCGCGCTCTCTTTCTCTTTCTCTCTCTCTATCTCTATCTCTCTCTCTCTCTCTCTCTCTCTCTCTCTCTATATGCGCTCTCTCTCTCGCTCTCCTTCCATCTCTCTCTCTGATTCACGCTGTTTGAACTCTCTGAGCGCTGACTCAGCTAATAATGCCTGACATTATCACTGACTTCTCACCTCCACCCGAGACCCCCAAACCTCCCCTCCACCACCCTCGGGCTGCGGCGGCGGTTTGGTATCGTAATATAATATATTTAGTATCATAATGTAAATCTTTTATTAATAATTAATATTATTAATAATATGGGAGGGTGGGGGGGGGGTGGGGGGAGGGATTCCGCTGTGTTTCGACGCGTCCAGAATTTGGGAAATTGTTGAATTCACGCTGACATTTAAAAAAAAGCTTTTTTTCACCCCAAAAACTGTTCCTAAAAATGCTGAAGAAACAGCAGCAGAGAAAAAAAAACGAGTAAAAATTACGACTGGAGGAGGAGAGAGAGAGAGAGAGAGAGAGAGGGAGGAGAGGAGAGGAGAGGGGGAAGAAAGAGTGGAGGGAGGAAAGAGGGAGAGGAGAGATGTGGGGGAGGGAGGTAGGAGAGGGAGAATTGAGCACGGAAAGCGGGAGAGGCGGGAGTGCGGAGGAGGGAAAAAAAAAGATGGGTGGTGGGGGGCGAGGGGAAAGAGTGGGCGAGGAGCGTGCGAGAGGATGGAGAGTGAGAGAGGAAGGGGGGAATTTCTTCCCCCACACCCCCCCCCCCTCACCACCTTCTAATCGTGTCCGCAGGGCTCTGCGAGACTTCCCGACCGTGATGGTGAGGCTTTTTTTTTCCCCTGAGGTTTAAAAATCCGCCATCCTCCCCCAAACGAGGAAGTTCATAGGTTCCCATAGCAACCGGACCTGTAAAGGCATCAACGTGCCAACATATGCTATACATTCGGCGGAGAGATTGTCAAGGACTCTGTTCCCCCTCCTCCACCCCCATTACCCAACCCCCCCACCCACCCACCCCCGCCTTCGCCCACCCTCACTGCCCCCCCTCCACTTCCCAGTTCTTCTCTTTACTAATAATCATCATAATAATCCTCGCATTTGCTAACAGCGTCTTTCACGTCGGGAAAGCCACGCAGGAATTTCCTGCGAAGCGTAGTGACTGTGCGTTTGTGTAAGCGAATGCAGCAGCGACACCCCCCCACAAGTGAACAGCCAGGTGGCGGTGGTCCAGATAAACCGGGAGAAACGTCCCGCTCTTCTCGATTAGGGTTAGCGGCCACGGGATCTTCAACGTCCGCGGTGAACGGGAGGGAGATGGGAGCTCGGGTGAACTTCCCATCCAAAAGATGGCCGAGCAGTTGGCCTCGCCTCGCAAGCGAGAGGACCCGGGTTCAATTCCCGGGCGGGGGTGGGGGCGAAACCCTCGGCAAGTTTCCTTACTCCGCACGCACGCCTCTTTTCACTTAGCGGCAAGCAGAGACCCCGTTATTGGTCATATTCGGCGGATCGCTCTCCGCGGGTAATAATCCATTCAAAAACCATGAAATAAATAAATTCGGTAACTGCGATCCACCACTGTTTGTGGGGGGGAGCGCCGCTGTGCGCAATTGGCTGCCGCGTTTCGCCCCCAAAATATACAGTCAATTCACTTTGCAGTGTATTCTGCAAAGCGGTTTGAGACGTCTCGAGGGAGTGATGAGGCCCTGTATCAAATGCAGGGATTATTATGACGTTGTTGTTGATGTTGTTATTGATGTTAACTCGTGTTGAGATCAAGTTGGTTGGTTGCCCCGGGTTTTGACTGACCTCTCCTCTCACTCCCCCTCTTCCTCCCCAGCGCAGTGCCTGGAGATGACAACGAAGAGGAAGATAATTGGGCGTCTGGTTCCGTGCCGCTGTTTCCGGGCCGAAGAGGAAGTCATCTCAGTGCTCGACTACTCCCACTGCAGCCTCCAGCACGTCCCCAAGGAGGTGTACAGCTTCGAGCGCTCGCTAGAGGAGCTGTACCTGGACGCCAATCAGATAGATGAGCTGCCCAAGGTGAGAGCACATCACAGAGTGTGGTGGGGATGGGGTAGGGGGAGGTAGTGCTCTGTCCTGCTCCACGTCTCCCCACCGCCCCCCCCCCAACCCCCTTGTGACGAAGGGTGTGGATGTGATGGGTGGGTTGCGGGCGGGTGGGGAGATGGCGGTCGTTTTCCAAACCATTGGCCGGCCAGAGAGCCCAGTGCGCTCCAGACTGGAGGCTGATTCTTTTGATTAAATTATTAACGAGGTTCCTGTAAATTTAGCAAGCGATCAAAGGGAAGATGAAAGCGTTTAGGGAGCTGGTGGGAGGTGGCGGAGTGGGGGGGGGGTGGGGTGGTTGGGGGTGGGGGGGGAGGAAAGGAAAATATCCATTAAAAAGGAACGTTGCTTCCCAGCTGATCTGCCTTGTTTATTTCTGATTTCTCTGGGGAGTGGGGGGGGGGGGAGGGGGAGTGTGGGAAAGCGATGATGGTGTCGGGAAGGAAATCATTTCAACGGGACAAGAGGTTTCACACAGGAAGAGAGATACTGTTTTATTAACAGAGAAGGGCGAGAGACCTGGGGAGGGGTTGGGGATGGGGTCAGGGGGGGTGCGGGGGGTGGGGGGGGGGGGACTTTACAATGAAATTCATCACTGTGCTTAAATGACTCCAAACCGTGGAAGTCTTTAACGTCTGCCAGAACAGGGCATAGATGGGACATTGATTTAACAACAACAACAACAGCAGCAAAGGACATTTACACAGCGCCTTTCACGTCGGGAGGACGTCCGTCCCAAGGCGTTGGACAGTCAGGGATTTGGAGTTGGAAAGCGAGCTGGAGGTTGAATCAGGAGGGGTGGAGGGCAGGGAGGGTGGGGTAGGAGGGTGACCGAAGACGCGGTCGAAGAGGAAGGTTTTGGGACGACCCTAGAAGGAGGCAAGGGAGGGGGCGAGGCGAAGAGACTGCGAGTTGGATAACATCTCATCCAAAGGATGGCTCCTCTGACAATACAGTTCTCTTCCCCCCCTACCCCCCACCCCACCCCCACCCCCCACCATCTGGCACTGGAGTGTTAGCCTGGACTATATGGGTTGCAAATCTGATGCTAGGGCTTCGGAGGCGAGAGCGAGAGCGACTGAGCCAGGCTGACAGACATAGAAAAAAACACAGGAACAATTGGGAGTTAGCTTTAATTTTTCAGAAATGTAAAAAAATATATAGATATACATACACATTATTTTTTAAATCCCATTTTATTTTAATAAAAATGTTTTGCACCTGACTAACAAGACAAGCGATCTCTGCTCTCGCTACGATGCCCAGCTGTGAGAGCAAGTTAGAAATCAATGGTTAAGATAAATAAACTCCGAACGTTCAGCCTCTCCACATGACTGGCGGTTTCCTGCCAGTGTTTTGCCCCCGACTGTGCTCAATGCGTCATAATAACACCGTTCCTGTGTCTGTAACGTCAAAACGTCTCCGAGCGCTTCGCAGGGAATCGCTGTCAAGTGAAGTGACGGTGTCTATTTTGTAGGCAAACCGCGGCAAACGCACAGCGATGTCCCGCAAACAGCCTGCAAATCACACAGTCACTACACGTGGAGTCCTGTAGCTCAGTGGTTGGAGCACCCGCCTCGCAAGCGAGAGGATCCGGGTTTGATTCCCGGGCAGGGTGAAACGTTAGGCAAGTTTCCTTACTTCACACCCCTCCGTGTTCCCAGCAGTAAGTAGGAACCCGGTTGTTAGTCGATTGGCGGATAACTTTTCTGGGAGTAATATCCCTTCAAAAACATAATAATAATTTGGTCACTCAATCCACGACTGTTTGTGGGAACGCTGCTGTGCGCAATCGGCTGCCGCGTTTCACCCCAAAAATATACAATCACTCCACTTTACAGTATATTCCGTGAAGCGCTGTGAGACGTCTTGAAGGCGTGATAAGGCGCTGTATCAAAGGCAAGGATTATTATTATTATTACACCTTATGCTAAAATCCCACATCGGGGCTTGAACTCGCACAGTCTAAGCTGACGCTCCAAAGCAGCTCTGAGGGGTGGGTGTTGCATTGTCAGAAACGCCGTCCTTCAGATGAGACCTTAAACGTAGCTCCCGTCTGCCTGTTTGGGTGGACGTTAATGATCCCGTGGTGCTATTCGAAAAGAGAAGGGAGTTTCTCTCCCCCCGGTGTCCTGGCCGACAATCCCCAAATAAAATTGGTCACTCGCTCGATGGCTACTTGTGGGACACTGCTGTGCGCCAACTGGCTGCCACTCTTCGCCCACAAAACATACAGTCGTTACGTTTCACAGTATATTCAGCGAAGCGCTTTGAGACGTCCGCCCGACGTCAAGGATTATGGCTATTTATTGTCGGGTGAAGTGAATGATTGATTTTATTTGTGTGTGTGGGGTGGGGTGGGGGGTTTGTGGGATGGGGGAGCACTGGACTGACGGAGGTGAGATCCTGAACTGAGGACGTTGAAGATTCTGCAGTGATGTTTGGAAGAAGCAAAGCGAATTATTCCAGGCCCAATATTCCCAAATATTGAAGACTTTGAGAGAGCGAGGAGAGATACTGTAAGAGAGGGAAAGCGACAGAGAGCAAGAGACAGTGTGTGAGGCATAACCGTAAAGAGGTACCAGGGGAGAGAGTGGGAGTGGGTGGAGATGGATGGGGGAAGGGAGAGAGAGAGAGAGAGGAAGAAAGATAAAAAGGTTCCGAGAGACTGAGAGAGATATTGCGAGAGATAGGAGACAGGTGGAGGGTCAGAGAGACATAGAGAGAGAGAGAGAGAGATGGAGGGGACAGGGAGAAAGATGGAGGGAGAGAAGAGAGAGCGATGGAAGGACAGAGACAAAGACAGACAGAGAGAGAGAACTATCTAATGTTGCTCTTGACGTTCCAGCCTCTGTTCGGCTGTCAGGCCCTGCGGAAGCTGAGCGTCCCAGACAATGATCTGTCCAGCCTTCCCACCACCATCGCCAGCCTGGTCAACCTCAGGGAGCTGGACATCAGCAAGAACGGTAAGCACAGCACGTGTGAGTGTCGGGCTCACACTGCCCACACACTGAGCATCTGTGTAACACCTTCAAACCTGGTGTGAGTGTGCGTGTGTGGCAATTTGTGTGTGTGTATGAGTGTGAGTGTGTGTGTGGCAATTTCTATGAGTGTGTGCGGTGTGGCAATTTGTGTCTGTGTGTGGCAGTGTGTGAGTATATGAGTACGTGTGTGAGTAAGAGTGTGCATGTGTGTATCACAAATATTAGAGTCCTGTAGCTCAGTGGTTAGAGCGCTCGCCTCGCAAGCGAGAGGACGAATTCCCGAGCAGGATGAAACCTTAGGCAAGTTACTTTACTCCACACGCCTCTGCTTGCCGAGCAGTAAGCGGGAACCCGTCTGTTGATCGATTGGCGGATCGCTTTTCCGGGGGTAATAATCCCTTTTTAAAAAAAATGCGGTCACTCAATCCACGACTGTTTGTGGGACATTGGCTGCCGCGTTTCGCCCACAAGATATACACTTCACGGTATATTCTGTGAAGCTCTTTGAGACGTCTCGAAGACGTGATAAGGCTGTTATCAAATGCAAGGATTGTTATTAAAAGAAAAGGCCCAACCGATCAGTCTCTCCTCTGACAGCAGTAACCTTCGGGTCCTGCTATCATCGTCGTATAAATCTACGCTGTGCTCCATCCATCGCTGAGTGAGTGAGTGATTGATTGATTGTGTGAGAGTGAGTGTGTGATTGTATGGTTGACATTGAAACCGTTCTCCTTGATGAATTTGACCTCAATTCTCTCTCTGATTTCTCACTGATTTCGCTCTCTGATTTCTCTGCGGTTGATTTCTCTCTGAATGTTGCTGTTTTTTTGCTGGTTCACAAGTAATCATTCCTCTTTGTATCCGGCCAGGAATTCAGGATTTTCCAGAAAGCATCAAGTGTTGCAAATACCTCTCAGTTATCGAAGCCAGTGTCAATCCCATCTCCAAGTAAGTCCCTTTGAACGCTTGGAACATAGGAACAGGAGCCGGTCATTCAGCCCATCGAGCGGGTTTTGCAATTCCATTTCACCCACAAAATACGCAGTCAGTTCACTTCGCAGTGTATCCTGTGAAGCACTTTGAGACGGCTCAATACAACGCCTTATCAGGTCTTCGAGACGTCTCAAAGCGCTTCACAGGATACATTGTAAAGTGAATTGATTGTATATTTTGTGGGCGAAACGCGGCAGCCAATTGCGCACAACAGCGTCACACCACAAACAGTCGTGGATTGAGTGACCCAATTTTTTGGGTGGGTGGGGACGGGACTATAACTCCTTTGAAACCGCTGTTAAAGACCCTATTTGAATACGAGAAGGGAGATTCTCCAGGTGTCCATCCACTCACCACCTCCAACTCACTTACCCCCAAACTCAGTCACCCCCAACTCACTCATTCCCACCCCCCCTCCCCCCGTTGAATCTCACCGCAAGAGTCTGGTCCCAGAGAGAGGAGACAGAAGAGGAGAGAATTGGGGTAAGGCTTCGGGGTGAAGTTTGGGCTATGTGCTGTGTTAGTTAGCCCGGAGCCGGTTGGGGAGCTGACCTGACCATCTGCTCCTGGTCCTCTCTCAGGCTCCCGGACGGATTCACACAGCTCCTGAACCTAAGCCAGCTATACCTGAACGACGCCTTTTTGGAGTTTCTCCCGGCAAACTTCGGGAGGTAAGAGCGCAGCCACACGCAACCGTCGCGCGCGACTGTCACGCTCACACCGCCCACACGCGACCGGCACACCACGATGCTCCCAGACACGAGAAGAGGGAAGTTGATGACGAGGCGCGTCAATGTTTCACTATCCCCACCGCACACGGTGTTGCTGTGTCTGTGTCTGGAGCGCGTGTGTGTGTGTGTGTGTGAGAGACGGTGTTCCTGTGTGTTTGTATGTGTGTGTGTAAGCGTCCCTGTGTGTGTGTGTGTGTGCGTGTGTGTGACTGTGTGTATGTGTGTGTGTGTAAGCATTCCTGTGTGTGTGTGTGTCTGTGTGTGTGTGTGTGAGAGTGACTATGTGTGTGTGACTGTGTGTGTGTGAGAGTGACTATCCGTGTGTGTGTGAGAGAGTGTCCCTGTGTGTGAGAGTGACTATCCGTGTGTGTGTGTGTGTGTGTGTGTGTGAGAGAGTGTCCCTGTGTGTGAGAGTGACTATCCGTGTGTGTGTGTGTGTGTGTGAGAGAGTAACTGTCCCTGTGTGCGTGAGAGAGAGTGTCCCTGTGTGTGTGAGAGTGACTGTCCCTGTGTGTCTGTGTGTGAGAGTGACTGTCCCTGTGTGTGTGTGTGAGAGTGACTGTCCCTGTGTGTGTGTGTGTGAGAGTGACTGTCCCTCTGTGTGTGTGTGTGTGTGTGAGAGAGCGTGTCCCTGCGTGTGCCTCTGTGTGTGTGAGAGCGAGTTGGTAGCACTCTCGACGCTGCATCAGGAACTCGTGGGTTCAAACCCCGGCACAGCCAAATGTTATAGTGAAGGCAAAGTAAAGTGTTTTTGGGGGTGTGATAATAATCTCTGTCTCTCCCCTCCCCCTGAAATTACAGACTCACCAAGTTACGGATCCTGGAACTGCGAGAAAATCACCTGAAGACGTTACCAAAGTAAGTGTCCGGCGACGCTCCCGCCGGCCGTGTCTAACCAGACCAGACCGAGGCCACGTCGTGTGTGTATTTACACGGCGCCTTTCGCCTCCCGAGGTGCTGGACAATAATCGCCGTGTAAGACCTGCGCGGTTCACGCCTGACGTTGGTCAGTCCAAAAAAAAGTGTGTGCGTGTGTGCGTGTGCGCGTGTGCTCGTGTGAACAGCGTGTGTGTGAACGCGGACCGTGTACGCGTGTGCTCTACCCCTACCCTCCCTGCCCCACCACCCCCTTCCTCATCCCCCCACCCCACCCCCCCCCCACTCGGCTCGGGTCCAAATCCCTGACTGTCCAGCGCCTCGGGACGTCCTCCAGACGTGGAAGCAATGCACCGTTATTGTTGTTGTTGTTGTTGTTGTTGTTTATTTAGACGTCTCCTTCTGTCCCCTTCCCCCCCCCCCCCGCCCCCCACACTTATAGATCGATGCACAAACTGACCCAGATCGATCGGTTAGACCTGGGAAGCAACGAATTCACAGACCTGGTAAGATGGCAGCAGCGGGGGCAGTGAGTGTGTGAAAGGTACTGTCAGCCTCGGCATTTCACCATCTCTGACACTGAAGAGATTTCCCCCCCAACTACCCCCACCCCCCCCCCATCCCAACCACCCACCTCCCCAACCCCACTGGAGACCTCTACTCTAACCCCATACCCTGCTCTCTCTCTCTCTTTCTCCCCCCCTATTGTGTCTTGTGCTCGTGCTCGTTCCTACCCCCCCCCACCCCTCTCCACCCCCACCCCCACCCCCCCATTGGAGCGCTCTACTCTAACCCCATTCCCCGGGGGCCGGTGTTTGCCAGAATTCCCACGATCCCGGTGACAATCCGGCTCCGGTTTGAGGAGGCCGAGAGCTTTGCTCACTCCGGTGATTCATCTTGTCTGAAGGAAGAGCTTCCCACGCACAGCCTCTCGTTTCCGGAAACCTTCCTTCGCCCGATGGAGCTCGGCAGATTAATCAGAAGTCCTCCGCGGAGTCGAAATGTCCCGCAGCGCTTCGCAGGGTTTGCACCGCGAAGTGCGGCGACCGCGTACTTTGTAGGCATTTCCCCGAGAAGAACCTGCTCCAACCCTGGGAGCCATTGGGAGCCGCGAACTCCACCTCCCCCCCCCCCCACTCCCCCCCCAATTTGTGCACTAAGATGTCCCCCGCAAAGCGGCAGGAAGTGAGCGAGTGATTTTATCTGCCGGGACACCGGGAGAGTGAAAAAGAGAGGAGAGAGAATGAAAATCTCCCTTTCTCTTTCCAACATCACCGCGGGAGATCTTTAATGTCCACCTGAACAGGGCACAGATGGAGGGAGGTCACCTTTAACGCCGCATCCGAAGGACAGCGCCTCCCCCACAGCGAGGTTTCGAGAGAGGATCCCCAGAGAATAGTCACTACACTCGTCAGTGAAATCCTGCAAAGCGCTTTGAGACTTCGGAACTCCAAACAAAATTTGAAATCTTCCCACCCTTTGGAACTCCATCGTCTCTCTCCCCCCCCCCCACACCACCTCCCCTCGCCTCCTTCAAGGCCCATCTCGAGAACCTCCGTTTCGACCGCGCCTTCGGTCACCCTCTCACCCCTTAGCCTCCCCTCCCTCCCTCCCTCCCTCCCTCCACTCCCTCCTGATCCCAACCCCCCCAGCTCGGGTCCAAATCCCTGACCGCCCAGCGCCTTGGGATGTGATGTCCTCCCAATGTGAGAGGCGCTGTGTAAATGTCATTTGTCGTCGTTGTCGTTGAGAAGTCCTCCCGAGGTGAAAGCTGTTGGATCAAATGTTGTTGTCGGGTCAGTGTTTGGGACAGTGTTTGGTGGTCGCTGCTAATGGCCCAGCGCCGCCTCCATCTAAACCGGCTAATTGCTGTACTCAGCTTTCTGTCTCCACAGCCTGAGGTCCTGGACCAGCTACACAGCCTGAAGGAGCTGTGGATGGACAATAATTCCCTACAGACAGTCCCTGGGGTAAGAGGAGCCTGGTTTCTGTCTGCCATCGCTTTCAGCCACTGCGCCCCGAAACTCTGGAAGACTCTTCCTCCATCACTCCACCTTGCTCCCCCTTCCTTCCCCATCTTCAGGTCGTGGTGTCAGGCACTCTGGGACACTGCCCAGCATGAGGGGCGCTGTGTAAATGTAAATATTGTTGTTGTTGTCGTTTTCCGGAGCACCTGCTCCAACCCTGGCCATTGGGAGCAGCAAACTCCCCCTCCTGGTGGTGGGGGGGGGGGGGGGGGGGGAGGGAGGAAAGACACATAAGAACGCAAGAATTTGCTCGATGAAGGAAGGACCAAGGTCCATCTGGTTCACCTTCCACCATTTGGCCAGTCTCTCTCGACCTGTTGTGTCCCAAACTATCTATTCGCACCATTCGGTGTGGCACAGGATGGGCAAAAAGAGAAGGGAGGCAGGAAACAGTCACCCTGTGCTGAGCTTTTCTGGAACCTTTCTGAACCCCGTCTCTCTCCTCTCGTCCCAGCCTCTGAGCAAGCTGAAGCATCTGACATACCTGGACGTGTCTAAGAACAGGATCGAGACGGTGGAGCTGGAGATCTCGGGGTGTGAGGGGCTAGAGGACCTCCTGCTCTCCTCCAACATGTTACAGCAGCTGCCTGACTCCATAGGTGGGAGCCAACACCCCCCCCCCAGTCCCGACCCCAACCCCTCATCCTCACAGTCCATCCTCTCCCTCACCTGCCGTCCTCGCCCCAACCACCCACCACCTCCCCACCCCCACCCCCTCCCCACCCCCACCCCCAGCCACTCTCCCTCGGCAGCCATCTTAGTTTTGAACAGTGGCGGCCATGTTTTTCCTCACTCGCACCGGACGCCGTATTTTTCCAGTCACAGTGAGCGGCGTTTGTCAGGCTTCGACACTGCCTCAACTCAGTCCCAACCCGGACGATTTTCCTCGAAGGGCGCGCGAAACACCGCGGGCTCCGCCACCGGAAACAACGATGGAGCCACGACCTTGTGTTGCCGTGCGGGGAAGAGGGAATAAGAGGCCCTCAAGAGCTTGAATTTCGTGATGAGGTCCACCATCTGAGATGGAAAGGCTCGGTGAAATCACGCCACCTGGTGGCTATCTTTTCTGACCTAAAATGTGTTCAGAAAGTGAGAGTTCTTCCATTGATTGTAACGCAGAAGTTTAGAGCCTGGTTATGGTCAATATTAAACATTGTCAGTCCAGCTCAGCGGTAGCGCTCTTTCTGTCTCGCCTCGGAGACAGAAGGCCCCACGTCGGGCCTCGGAATCACGTGGTCTAAGCACTGTCGCGGAGACGCTGTCCTTCGGATGAGGCGTTAAACCGAGCTCCCCATCTGCCCGTTCAGGTGGACCTTAGAGATCTCCCCTTATGGCCTTATTGGAAAAGAGAAAGGGAATTTCTCTCACCCGGTGTCCTGGCCAACAATCCCCCGAATAAAATTGGTCACTCACTCCACGACTCACTTGTGGGGACACTGCCGCGCGCAAAAACGCCTGCCACGTCCCACCCACAAAATACAGTCGCTACACTTTACAGTATATCCTGTGAAGCGCTTTGAGACGTCTCGACGACGTGACGAGGCCGCGATGTCAAATGCAAAGATTGTTATTGTCGTTTCTGTTATTATCGTTGCTGTTGTCTCTTTCTCAAGGTCTCTTAAAGAAACTCACGACGCTGAAAGTGGACGATAACCAGTTAAACACGCTTCCCAACACGATCGGAGGGTAAGAGAGAACGTTGACCGGGAAACTTACTCCAAATAATAATAATACTAAAAATAATCCTTGCGGTTTATGCGTCAGCCTTGCCCAGTGGGTAGCGCTCTCTCTCTCATCTCTCTCTCTCTCCCTCCCTCGTTTGAGTCAGAAGTTTGTGGGTTCAAGCCCCCACGTCAGGACTTGGCATCACATAGTCTAAGCTGACGCTCCAATGTAGTGCTGGGGGGGTGGGTGGGGGGGGGGGTTGCGTTGTCGGAGACGCCGTCAGGTGAAACACTAAACCACGGTCCCGTCTGCCTGTTCAGGACGTTAAAGATCCCGCGGCGCTGTTCAAAAAGAGAAGGGGGTTTCTCTCCCTCCAGGTCCTGGGCGAGAACCCCCCAAATAAAATCGGTCGCTCACTTCGCGGGTGTTTGTGGGACGTCGCTGTGTGCAAATTGGCTGTCGCGTTTCGCCCGCAAAACGCACGGGCGCGACAGTTGGCAGTAAATCCTGTGAAGCACTTTAAGTCGTCCCAACGACATGATAAGTCACTGTATCAAATGGAAGGATTATGGGCGGGCGGGCGAGGGTGGGTGGGTGTGACCCCCATTTCCACTGGCTCCCCATCCCTCAGAGGATCCAGTTCCAAATCCTCGTCCTCACCTTCAAGGCCCTCCATGGCCTTACCCCCTCCTACCTCTCCGACCCCTTATCAACCTGTCCGCTCCCTTTGCTCAGCAGGTTCTGACCTACTCCATGTTTCCCGCCCGACCCGCCTTAGCATCGGTGGTCGGGCTTTCAGCCTCTCTGCCCCCACCCTCTGGAACTCCATCTCACGGTCCCTTCGCCTCGTTTCCTTGCCTCCTTCAAAACCCGTCTCAAGACCCTCCTCTTCGACCGCGCCTTCGGCCTCCCTCCTACCCTCCCTGATCCCATCGCTCCCCCACCCCCACCCCCACCCACCCGCTCGGGTCCTAATCCCTGACTGTTCAGTGCCTTGGGACCTCCTCCTGATGTGAAAGGCTCTGTACAACAACAAGATGGCACTTACATAGCGCCTTTCACGTCGGGGAGGATGTCCACATATACAGATGTGATTTGTTGCCGTTGTTGGCACTGACCCCAAGACTCAGTCCATCTGCGCTGTGTTAGAGGACAATCTAACCCCCCTTTCTCTCCCGCTACCCCCTCCCCCCCTCTCCCCACACCCGCTGCAGTCTCTCTTTGCTGGAGGAGTTTGACTGTAGCTGTAACGAACTGGAATCCCTGCCCCTCACCATCGGGTACCTGCACAACCTCCGCACTTTCGCTGCCGACGAGAACTTCCTCACTGAGCTGCCCAGAGAGGTGAGTGACAGCTCAGCCCCACCCCCCCCACCCCGCCCCCAGGACTCCGTACCCCGCGCCTCCCCCCCCCCACCCAACCCCAGCTCCAATTTCCCCACCCCCCAATGCCCCTCATGCAGCTCCCTCCCATTAGTCCACCGCCCCCCTCCCCTGGGGCTCAGTGACCTGTCCCCAGCGCTCCACCTCATGCCCTGCCCGTGCGCCACACTCCCCACACCGAGAGCCATGCCCCAAGCTCCGCCTCCAATGCTTTTCCTTCTGTGTCCTGCCCCCAGCACCCTACTCCATGCCCCCAGCGCCCAATGTCGCGCTCCTGCCAGTGCCCCATGCCCAGCGTTGGGTGCTGTGGCTGGGGTTGGGGGCTGTGGCTGGGGTTGGGGGCTGTAGCTGGGGTTGGGGGCTGTGGCTGGGGTTGGGGGCTGTGGCTGGGGTTGGGGGCTGTGGCTGGGGTTGGGGGCTGTGGCTGGGGTTGGGGGCTGTGGCTGGGGTTGGGGGCTGTGGCTGGAGTTGGGGGCTGGGGTTGAGGCTGGGATTGTGGTTGGGGGCTGGGGTTGGGGGCTGGGGCTTTAGTTGGGGGCTGGGGCTGGGGTTGGGGCTGGGGTTGGGGGTTGGGGTTGGGGTCTGTGGCTGGCGTTGGGGGCTGTGGTTTGTGGCTGGGGTTGGGGGCTGGGGTTGTGGTTGGGGGCTGTGGCTGGGGTTGAGGCTGGGGTTGTGGTTGGGGGCTGGGCCTGGGGGCTGGGGCTTTAGTTGGGGCTGGAGTTGGGGGCTGGGGTTGGGGGCTGTGGCTGGGGGCTGTGGCTGGGGTTGGGGGCTGGGGTTGGGGTTGGGGCTGGGGGCTGGGGCTTTAGTTGGGGGCTGGGGTTGTGGTTGGGGCTTTGGCTGGGGTTGGGGGCTGGGGTTGGGGGTGGGGTGGGGGCTGTGGCTGGGGTTGGGGCTGGGTTGGGGATGGGGTTGGGGGCGTGGCTGGGGTTGGGCTGGGGTTGTGGTTGGGGCTGGGGTTGGGGGCTGGGGTTTGGTTGGGGCTGTGGCTGGGGCTGGGGCTTTAGTTGGGTTGGGGGCTGTGGTGGGTTGGGGGCTGGGGTTGGGGCGTGGGGGGCTGGGGTTGGGGGCTGGGTGTGGGTGGGGGTGGGGTTGGGGGCTGTGGCTGGGGTTGGGGGCTGTGGGTGGGGCTGGGGGCTGTGGGTGGGGTGGGGGCTGTGGGTGGGGTTGGGGGCTGTGGGTGGGGCTGGGGCTGGGTGGGGGTTGGGGGCTGTGGGTGGGGTTGGGGGCTTTGGGTGGGTTGGGGGCTGTGGGTGGGGTTGGGGGGGGCTGTGGGTGGGGTTGGGGGCTGTGGTGGGGTGGGGGTGGTGGCTGGGGTGGGGGCTGTGGGTGGGGTTGGGGGCTGTGGCTGGGGTTGGGGGCTGTGGGTGGGGTTGGGGTTGGGGGCTGTGGGTGTGGGTGGGGTTGGGGTTGGGGGCTGTGGGTGGGTTTGGGGGTGGGGGCTGTGGGTGTGGGTGTGGGTGGGGTGGGGTGGGGGTGGGGTGGGGGCCGTGGGTGGGGGCTGTGGCTGGGGTTGGGGGCTGTGGCTGGGGTTGGGGGCTGTGGGTGTGGGTGTGGGTGGGGGTGGGGGCTGTGGGTGGGGGCTGTGGCTGTGTCCGGGTGGGTGTAATGTGGGCTGATGGCTGTGCCTTGTGCCTTCAGATCGGGAGCTGTAAAAACGTGACAGTGATGTCTCTGAGGACAAACAAGTTGGACCGACTGCCGGAGGAGATCGGGCAGATGCAGAAACTCAAGGTCCTCAGCCTGAGCGACAACCGGTAACCGACTGCCATAGCTCTGCGTTCACACCCCCCCACACACGCACTCCCCCAACAATATTACACATATATATATACACATTGATATATAATTTGATAATATATTTTTAATTAATATAATATTGCGTTGATCATCTGTGCCCTGCTCAGGCGGGCATCAAGATATTATATGATGGGGGGGGGTGGGGGAAAGGGGGTTGCGAGGCAATGTGTGGGGGGCACTTGAACACCATCTCCCCCCCCATACCCCCTCCTCTCTCCCCCCACCCCCTTCTCTCCCCCCCACCCCCTTCTCTGGCAATCCCCCAGATAAAATCACCCTCTAACTTCATGGCTGACCGTGAGAACGTGGCTGTGCTCAAATACACGCTATGCAGTAAATGCTTCCGACTCTCTCCCTCAACCCTTTCCCCTACTTCCCCTTCGACCGTTGTTAGGGTCACCCCCCTCCCCGGATGGCCTCAGGCTCCGCCACTGTCGAGCGCTCCGAGACGCTGCCCCGTGTGAAGGGCGCTGCGTAAAGACCAATCGTTGTTGATGATGTGTTAATAAACTCTCTTCTGCCACAGGTTAAAGAATTTACCTTTCAGCTTCACGAAACTTAAAGAACTGGCTGCCCTCTGGCTCTCTGATAACCAGGTAATAACCCGGGCGACCGGGAATAATCGGGAAAACCGGGAATAGTCAGGAGTAATCGGGATGCGTGAGGGTGAGAAGGAATGAAGGGGACCTGACAGAGGTCATTAAAGCGACCAGGAGCTTTGTTAAGGTTAATGAAGATCATTAATTACTCCCACTGGCTGGTGAGTCAGTAACCCGGAGGGCATTGATTTAAACTCAACACTAATCTAACAATGAGAGAGGTTAGGAGACACATCACACACGCGGATAAACACAGACATACACGCACATATAAACAGACACACACGCTCACGCAAATAGACACATACATACAAACGCACCACACACAGACACCACACCCGCAGGTAAACACAGACACACCACACACACACACACTGCCAGAGACACAGGCAGACGCCACACGCATAGATACCGACAGACACGGTCAGGTGCATTGATGCAAACACACACAAGTAGATATGTAGACACCGCACGCACATATACACACATGCACACGCGCATACACATACACACACACACACATGCACACACACACAGAGTTATTCGGACATTAAATGCCTGACCGACAAATGCGAGCGACAGCAGAACTTTAAAACAGGAAAAATGTAAAGTTTGTGTGTGAGTGTGTGTGTGCGTGTGAGTGTGTGTGTGTGGTGGTGGGGGGGTGTGGGAGCAGTGGGGGGAAAGGAGGGGTGGGAGTGTAGAGGTCTAATAGGGAGCGAGCACAGGCACGAAGGGATGAATGGCCCTACTCTGTTAGCAGGTCACGAGATTGGGTCCCTCTGATCTGGGGGAGTTAGAGGGAATGATTGGTTGCTGAGGTCCTGGCTGGACCAGGCTTGGTGGGCAGACTTCCTGTACCTGCGTGTAATTCCAACCCCCTGGATTCCTCCCGTTATCCCTTGTTTTTCCGCTGTCTCCCTCCAGTCCAAGGCGTTGATCCCGCTGCAGACGGAATCTCATCCCGAAACCAAACAGCGAGTGTTGACCAACTACATGTTTCCACAGCAACCGCGCAATGATGAAGGTCAGTCTCCACTGCGTTAGTTAATCCAGAAATGGGTTAAAGAACACTGCAAGATCCAGTCACTAGGGAGCAGGGAATCCTCCCGCTCAGCTCCTGTTAACCCTGCAAGCCAAAGCCCTAACGGGTCGGGAGGTCCTGCCTGGACAAGCAGCGGGAAAGCTTGGCAGACAGCGATACCAATGGCCAAGCTATGGGGTTTTTGTTGGTTAGACTCCAGCAGATACCCCTAACACACACTCTGGGGTCCCCCCACAAGCCTTGGCTCTTGCCAACCTGTGCCTGATACTCTCCGGAATTAGGTAAAGCAGGTTACGTCCCTCTGGGGGGGTGGGGGGGGAGGGAGAGAGAGAGAGAGAGAGAGCACATTCCATTCCAATAATCTATCTCTGGGATTTCCATGTGTAGGTGGGATTTTTGGAATTCTCAGCTTGGTTTGGAGACTCCGAAGCAACGGGGCGTGCGAAGGCGGTCAGCAAGTGGGTGGGTGGGAGCGCTGAGTTGTTGGAGTTGTCGTCTTTATCAGCTAAGGCGTGAAACCGAGCTTCCCTGTCTGCACTTTACTGGATATTCTGTGAAGCGCTTTGAGTCATCGCAATGATGCGTCGAGTGCAAGGATTATTATTATTATTATTATTATAAACTTGGTGGCCAATTTGAGGCCTGACGTGTTCCTGTGTTCTCCCCAGACTTCCCCTCAGACACTGACAGCTTCAACCCCACCCTTGGGAGGAGCAGAGGCAGCAGAGGATGCAGGTGGCTTTCGACTTCGAAGAGAAGAAGGAGGAGGCGGAGGCCAAAGGCAAAGTTAAGGTTGCTGCCAAATATCCTGTTAACTGGGCTGGGCACTGGGTTCAAATACAATCGGTTGCTTTGTTTTATGGCCGTCTGGATCTCCCTCCCTCCCCTCCCTCTTCCTTCCTTTGGTCACCCTCCTATCCCCACCCTTGTTCAAGGTCCATCTCAAGACCCCTCTCGTTGACTGTGCTTTCGGTCATCTTCTCCCCACCCACCTCAACCCCCCCCCCACCCACCCTCAGCTCAGGTGCACCTTGGGCCACTCTCCCAACGTGAAAGGTGCTGTGTTTGTTGTTTGAATGATGGACATTGTTGATGACATGACTGGCAATGGAATGTCGGAATCGAGTCAGCCCTCCGTAACCGCCTCTACTCTAGTCCTGAGCCACAGTAATCCAGGGCACTGCCGATGACACTGCCCGGCCTGGCTCATCGGCAGGACCTGGAAGGGCAAACCAGTCACCAGTCACTGGGGGGGGGCAGAGAGTCATCCCACTCAGCTCGTGTTAACCCTGCAACCAAAGCCCTTAAGGGGTGGTGTGGTCCTAGTTGAACAAGCAGCAGGAAAGTTTGCCAGACCATAATATCAACAATAATATAATGATAATAATCCTTGCATTTGATATAGCGCTTTTCACATCGGGAGGACGTTCCAAAGCGCTTCACAGAACACACTGTAAAGTGAATTGACTGTATATTTGTGGGCGAACGCGGCAGCCAATTGCGCACAGCAATGTCCCACAAACAGTCGTAGATTGAAAATGACCAATTTATTATTGTTTTGGTTTTGGAGGGATTATTATTAGGCTCTGTGTGGAGTAAGGAAACTTGCCCAAGGTTTCGCCCTCTGCCTGGAATTGAACTCAGGTCTCTCGCTTGCATCCCCCCGAGGTGACTGATGCTGTGAGATCTGGGAGATGGACGTGGCCGAGCGGTGGCTCTTGCCCTGACGTTGGTCTCGTGTCTCGGTTTCAATTTCAGGTTGAGATCAACTTGAAGAGGTACCCGACCCCTTACCCCGAGGACCTGAAGAACATGGTGAAGTCCGTGCAGCACCTGGTCGGCAAGCACAGCGGGGGAGCCTCCGCCGTCAACTCGGGCGCCGCCACTGAGCCGGAACGTTCCGGAAAGGAGAAGTATGATCACAAGTGGCCCGTGTCAACGAAAGAGGTCACACTTCAGGTAACTAGGGCGACAGCAGATCATTCAATTGGTTGATGGGTTGGATTGATTGATGGGTGGATTGATTGATGGGTGGATTGATTGATGGGTGGATTGATTGATGGGTGGATTGATTGATGGGTGGATTGATTGATGGGTGGATTGATTGATGGGTGGATTGATTGATGGGTGGATTGATTGATGGGTGGATTGATTGATGGGTGGATTGATTGATGGGTGGATTGATTGATGGGTGGATTGATTGATGGGTGGATTGATTGATGGGTGGATTGATTGATGGGTGGATTGATTGATGGGTGGGTGGGTGGATGGGTGGGTGGGTGGATGGGTGGGTGGATTGATTGATGGGTGGGTGGATTGATTGATGGGTGGGTGGATTGATTGATGGGTGGGTGGATTGATTGATGGGTGGATCGATGGATTGATGGGTGGATCGATGGATTGATGGGTGGATCGATGGATTGATGGGTGGATCGATGGATTGATGGGTGGATCGATGGATTGATGGGTGGATCGATGGATTGATGGGTGGATCGATGGATTGATGGGTGGATTGATTGATTGATGGGTGGATTGATTGATGGGTGGACTGATTGATTGATGGGTGGACTGATTGATTGATGGGTGGATTGACTGATTGTCCGCTCCCTCCGCTCAGTCGGCACTGGTCTGCCCTATGTCCCCCACCTGAGCCACCCCACCATCGGCAGTCGGGCCTTCAGCCTCTCTGCCCCCATTCTTTGGAACTCCATCCCACAGTCCCTTTGCCTCGCCCCTCTCCCTTACTTCCTACATGGTCCATCTCAAGAGTCTCTTCTTCGATTGCGCCTTTGGTCACCCTTCTATCCCCACCCTCCCTTCCCTCTACCCCTCCTGATCCCAACCCCCAGCTCACTGTCGATTATCTTGAGACGTCGTCCCAATGCTTCCTCCCCTCTGTCCTGCCCTTAGCACTCAAACCTTCAGCCTACCTTTCCCCCACCTTCCTCCTGTCCTACCCTTGGGTTCGCCTCGCCCCCTCCGTCACTGCTTCTCAAAACTCACCTAAGTACCCAACCTCCTTGATTGTGCCTTTAGCCATATTCTCTCTAGGGCCCCCCCCACCTTCTCCTCCCCCGAACCCTCTGCCCAAATTTTCAGGCAAAACGGGGGCGCTGATTTGTGGAGGAGTGGGGATTATTGATTCGGCATAAAACCTTTGAGCATTTAAAAATGTAGTCGTGGGTTGTGTGAGGAGAGGGTGAGGGGTGAGAAGAGGACGAGGTGTGGGGGTGAAAGCCATAATTTAGGGGGAAAACAGTAGGATTATTATGTATTATTTTGATATCTCGAGTGATTTTTTTTTTTTGGGGGGTGGTGGTTGGTTTTTCTCTCTCTGTCTCTGCAGGATTCCTTAAGGGAGTCTCCGAGCGACATGAGACTGGGGGACATGAGATCAAGCATGGCCGAAACTCCGCTCTTTAAACCCAAGGTCGTCTTGTTCAAGGAGAAGAAAGGTAACCCATTCTCCGTCTGTGAGGGGAGGGGGACGAAGGGTTTTCCTCAACCCAACCCATCTCGTTCTCTTTGCTTTATGGTGTGCTCAGTGGTTAGAGCACTCTCCTCGCATGTGAGAGGACCAGGGTTCGATTCTCGGGCAGAGAGAAACATTGGGCAAGTTTCTTTACTCCACATACCTCTGTTTTCCCAGCAGTAAGTAGGAACCCAGTTGTTAGTGGATTGGCGGATTGCTTTCCGGGGTAACCATCCCCGGGACGCTTGGCTGCTGCGTTTCCCCCACAACATACACAGTCAACTCACTTTACCGTATATTCTGTGAAGCGCTTTGAGACGTCTCGATGACATGATAAGGCGTTGTGTCAACTGCAAGGATTTTTATTATTATATCGGAAATGAGAAGCCTTTGGTTGACTAACGCTGAAGGAATCCTGTGTTTCTTCTGCCCGGTAAGAGTTGTCAGACGAATCAGAGGGCGAGCGGGTGAACAACAGTGGCTCATCGGGCACCTTCTCGGACTACTCACCCTCGCAGGGCTCTTCGGGCTCCTCTGGGATCCCCATTAAAGTCAGCACTTTACAAACAGCCGTGAAGGACAGCGTCCCCGGGACCTCCTGGGGCAACAGGTGAGTCAGGCCATTGCTCGCGGCGTCTCACAACCCCTTCGTTCTCTCCTTCCCTCTTTCCATTCCTTCCTTCCTTCCTTCTCTCTCTCCCGCCCTTCCCTCTTTTCCTCCATCCGTTGATCCTTCCTTCTTCCCCTCCAATATCTCTCTAAAATCTCTCTCTACTCCAGTGGTGACCATCCGTGGACCGGAAGTGGCCCTGGAGTTGTCAGGAAGCGCACCCCCTTCCCTTTCCCACCCCCCACCTGCCACCCCCCCACCCAAGCATTCGATTTCCTTGATTATTCCTATGACGTAAATCAAGAAACATTCAATCAAGAAGAGTTTGGTTGGCAACCACTGGTCTATTGTTTCATTGGTGGCCCAACACCCGCCCCTCCCCCTCTTCCCCCCCCACCCCACGGGCTATTTCTCCCACTGTCCTCATCAGTCCATCCCCACCCTGTCCCTGGACATCAGTGAAGCATCGGTTGAGCGTCTCGACTTTGACCGAGGGTTGGGAGAAGGAGTAGCTGTCGTCCGGGAGAGGCGTGAGGGCCCACAAGCTCCTTGGAGGAGCTCCTGCCCTGGTGGCCTCCACACTCCACGTTGTGGGTGAAGGAGATGGTGACACCCACTGGGGCGTTCCCCCCCAGCCCCCTCAGGCCCCCTCCCTCTCCCTGTCACTAGGCTGGTGTGGCCTTGCATGACCCTCGCTCTCTCTCTCTCTCTCCCTCAGCAGGTTGAGCCAGACCTTCCAGCAAACACTGGAGGCCAAGCCATTACTGAGCCAACGGGAGGTGGGGCCAAATGTCAGCCTGGTGGGGCAGCGAGCGGAGAGACGGCCGGTGTCCGAGCCCTTCCCGGACAAGTGGCCGGACGGCTCCCATTACGACAACACGGGATTCGTGGCCGACGAGAAGACGGCGGGGATGGACACCACGGGGGGTGGGGCCGGAGCCCACCCCATGTTGAGCTCCAAGTCCCGCAGCCTCTCCGCCCAGAGCCGCCGGCCCCTGATGAGGCAGGACCGCATCGTGGGGCTCCCCCTGGAGCTCGAGCAGATCCCACACACTGTCCACAGTGCTCCCGACTCCGAGCCCCCCCCTCCCACCCTCTGGCAGAACTGGACCCGCACCCCCAGCCCCTTCGAGGACCGCACTGCCTTTCCCTCCAAGCTGGACATCACCCCCGCCAGCAGCCCCTCCCCTGGCAGGAAAGACCCCGAGACCGAGCCCCCGCGGACAGAGGGGGGAGGGTCCGCTGTCAACTTCCCTGGAAGGTTCCCGCCCCAGGCCTCCTGGGGGTATCTGGACTCCGAGGGGCCCCGGGGCCAGACGGACAGGTTCTCCCACCTCTGCCGGCCCGAGTCGGCCAAAGTGTCCACCTACGGCAGCCGGAGCTCTGACAGGCCGATGCCCATGATGAGGGGGCTCCGAGCCAGTCAGTTCAAGAAGTCGCAGAGCATCGATGAGATCGACATTGGGGCCTTCAAGGTCTACAACATCCCCCTGGACAGCTATGGTTGCAGCATTGAGAACCCGGGCAGCGTGGACCTGCCCGATCCGGGGCCCGAGCCCCCCGGCATGTCTCGCAGCCGCTCGGCCCCCATGTTGGATGAGGAGCTCCTCGAAGCCTACTCTGGGACCGGGGGCAAAGGCTCCCACAACAAGGTCCCCGTCACCAAAAAGGTCTATCACTTCGACCACAGCTTCAACCCCCAGGGGCCGATAGACGTGAAGCCCGAGAGGCGGGTCACCACCTCCTTCACACACAACGTGGATTATGGAGGCCACCAGGGCAAGGGATCCTCCAAGGAGCCTGTGGGACCTCCCACCTTCCGCGGCTACCAACCCATGGACCACATGTACTCCTTCTCTCAGCCCTCGGTCAACGATGAGACACTTAACCCTCGCTTTGCCGGAGGTCAGCCCAGCTTCCTGAGGCAGTCGGACTCACTGGCCACCTCGACCGAGATGATGCTCCATCGGAGGGCGGTTGAGACCCCCGAGGTCTTGCAGGGCGAGCGCTACGTCAGGACTCACTACCGGGGGGTGCTGGAGCACCAGAACAGCGCCTCACTGGTGGAATCTCAATTCCTCAAGAGGAACGGGAGGTTTGAAGAGGACTACCCTACCTTCCAGGAGGTGAAGAACCAGGCGAGGAACTTCCAGGACAAGCCCTTGACCCAGAGAAGGCCGCTGTCTGCCCGGAGCTACAGCACGGAGACTTACGGGCATTCCCAGGCCAGGCCGGTGTCCGCCAGGCCTACCATGGCGGCCCTGATGGAGAAACTGCCCTCGGACTATAACATGGGCACCTACGGGGGCAGGAAGGCTTCTGAGAGCTGCGAGCTGAGGAGCAGACCCACCCAGCTGAAAGGAGAGGACCTCACCTCCAAGTTCCCCATGGACTGGAGACAGCAGTTACTCAGGCACATAGAAGCCAAACGGTTGGACCGGGTGAGCCACCGCCCTTCGCCTCTTCTCAGTTGGGTTTCGCGTCGCGTATCACGTCTTCTCTGCCTCATGTCATTTTTATTTCTCGGTCTGAGAGTCAGAAGGTTGTGGGTTCGACCCCCCACACCCACCCGCCACTATGTCACACCACCTATATTGGGTAAAGTCTCTTTCTGGCGAATCTGCGAGGCTTTACCCAATATATGGGCGGTGTGGACGACCGATCTTTCGATATCATTATAATCATTATGTAATATAATAAAATGCAAGAATTATTATTCCTTTCATTCACAATTCGAAGGTTAAAGCTTCAACACATACAACTATTATACCGTTAAGTTATATTTTAAAGCAGTAGGTTTCAACTAAACCGATATTACCCCATTTCATTGCAGGATGTCGCTGATCAGTAGCTGCTCACAACTGTTCCTCCGGCGATAATTCCAACTATTCCAAACTTATGTCTTTCTTTTATATGTGTCTAACTCCATCTCCCCCTTGTCACAGAGGTGGCCCCCACCCTTCCCAGGCTGCTAGCGACTTTGAGCAGAGAGAGAGAGAGAGCGCGATGGACAACTTTTGGGCAGCCTTCTTGTTTCTTTAATAATAATAAAATATAAACTGCAGCACTGTGACGGAAGAACATTTTCAACAAACGACAATGAAAAACACCAATTGTTATACGAAAACGCGAATTGCTGTAAAACTTGAACTGTTATAGAAAATATCCTTAACCCGAACATGAATTTGCTTTGCAAAAACCTCTTGAACGGCAATCTCATCTCCAATAAACAAGCCATCGTGGAGTCCTGTAGCTCAGTGGTTAGAGCACTCGCTTTGCAAGTGAGAGACCTGAGTTTAATTCCAGGCAGAGGGCGAAACCTTGGGCAAGTTTCCTTACTCCACACAGAGCCTAATAATAATCCCTCCAAAACCAAAACAATAATAAATTGGTCATTTTCAATCTACGACTGTTTGTGGGACATTGCTGTGCGCAATTGGCTGCCGCGTTCGCCCACAAATATACAGTCAATTCACTTTACAGTGTGTTCTGTGAAGCGCTTTGGGACGTCTTCCCGACGTGAAAAGCGCTATATCAAATGTAAGGATTATTATTATTATTATTATCTTGCAGTTTTCCTAGCCACCTCATCGTTTTTAACCGTTAATCAAAACGGCGTCTATTCAACGGAGGCATTTCTAACCGCTGATGAGAATAATTCTTTCTCGAGTACGTGGTTTAACATATAGATGGGAGGACGGCATCTGCCGAAACACCGGAAGAGGGAAGGTTTTCAGAACCTGACCTCAGTCAGCAATATATCTTTACCTTTGCTAACACTAACTGCATATGTACCCTCTCAGGGGCTCTTAAGTTAGTCATTTAAAACATGTGGCCTTGTTCGGCCCCCAGTAACTAAGGAATGCTGCACCAGAAAGATTATAAGTGTTTGGTTATACTCTAAACGTGTATTAATTAAAAACCTTAAAAACAGCAAGAATCACAAATATAATCTTACACCAGGACGTTGAGCTCACAGTCTTAGCTCACGCTCCAGTGCAGAGCTGGGGGGAGGTGGAGAGGAGGGAAGAGAAGACCTCGTTGTCGGAGACGGTGTCCTTCGGATGAGGTGTTCCACCAAACTCTTGGCTGTGCCCTGTTCAGGTGGACGTTAAAAATCCCGCTGTTGGGAAAATAGAAGGGAGTTTCTCTCTCTCTCTCTCTCTCTCGCCCACAAAATGTATCCCGAAGGGTTAACGCTCAGACTTTCTGCTCCTCAGACGCCGTCGCAGCAGAGCAACGTCCACGACAGTGAGATGGAGGACCTCTCGCCCGGGGGTCCCTGGAGCTCGTACGGGCTGGGGCGGAGGGACGTGCCGCCCGAGAGCATCATTAAAAAGGTTAGGGTTGGTCAGGGCTGCTTCCCCTCCTCCGCTAGTAAAAACAAAATGCTCCTTTACTTTCTCACCGAACACCCTCGGCTTTGACCTACAAAATAGCAACTGGTGTTCCCCCAAGGACTTCCTTCACTCCTTTCGAGCCCTGTAGCGCAGTGGTTAGAGCGCTCGCCTCGCAAGCGAGAGGACCCCGGCTCGATTCGCGGGCGCGGGGGGGGGGGGGGGGGGTGTTGTTAATCCACCACTGTTTGCGGGGACGTTGCTGGGCGCAATCGGCTGCCACGTTTCGCCCACAAAATACACAGTCACTCCACTTTACAGTGCATCCTGTGAAGCGCTTTGAGACATCTCGACGACGCGATAAGGCGCTGTATCAGATGCTAGGATTATTCTTATTATCTCCTCTGATCGATCGACCGACCGAACGAACAAACGAATGAACAAACGATGCTGTGTTGGTTTGAATGTTCCGTGTACATTTGTGCTGACCGGAGAGTTTGTGTGAAGTCCTCATCTCTCTAACCCCTTCTCCCCCTATTTCCACCCCTGCACCCCCACCCCGCATCATTTCTGTTGCTGTCGCCTGCATGTCTGCTGGGGAAATGCCTCCCCTCTCGCCCCCCCCACTCCCCGCACTGTTGGTAGCACTGTCAACTCCGAGTCAGATTGGAAGCACTCCAGGCCGCAATCCCACATGAAGGGCAAGTTGTTGTTGTGGGTTCAAGCCCCACACTTCGGGATTTGTGATCACAGTCCAGTGCAGCGCTGAGGGGGTGGGGGTACGGGGGGGGGGGGGGGGGTTGCGTTGCATTGTCGAAGGTGCCGTCCTTCGGATGAGACTCGAAACCGAGCTCCCGTCTGCCTGTTCGGGCGCACGATAGAAGATCCCATCGCACTATTCAACAAGAGAAGGGCCTTTCTCTCCTGGTGTCCTGGCCAACAATCCCCCTTGGTCGCTCGCTCGCTCCGCCACGGTTTGTGGGGACGCCCCTTTGCGCCTCTTTGCCTGCAGGGTTTCGCCCACAAAATACACAGTCACCGCATTTTACAGTATATCCTGCGAAGCGCTTTGAGACGTGATAAGTTGCTGGATCAAATACAAGGATTACTATTATTATAATTATTATTATTCTCCGACCTGGCTCAGCGATTAGCCGCTCTCTCTCTCTCTCTCTCTCTCTGTCTCTCGCCTCCCGAGTCAGAAGGTTGTGGGTTTAAACCCCCGCCTCAGGAATCGGACTCACATGGTCTAAGCTGATGCTCCAATGCAGCGCTATTGTGGGAGGGTGGGGGGTGGGGGTGGGGTTGCATTGCCGGTGGTGCCGTCCTTCGGATGAGACGTCAGACGTGAAGGTGCGACCGCGTCAGGAGCCCAGTCACCTCAACTCCGAGCTCCCACCTTCCTCCACCACCACCACCACCACCACCACCACCTCCTCTTCCTCCTCCTCTCAGCTTTGCTCGGGATCATTCTCCCCCGTGTGTCCGTCCTGTGCCCTTTCTCGCTCTCGCTCTCTCTCTTTCCTGTCTAGCTGTCTGTGTAAGTTCCACTGGTTGTTGTTTACAGCTTCCTGAGTCTTTGCCTAATGGGCTGAATTACCCACAGGCAGGTAGCCACCCTCACCCCCACCCCCAGCCAGTGCCAGGCCCAGGGCAAGGGCAAGGGCAGGGGCCAGGGCCGAGCGGGCTGGCAGGCGGCCCCCAGCACAGGGGCAGGGAGCAGCAGTACGAGGGGGCCGTGTCCAAGGTGACGCTACAGCACTACCAGCAGCCGCTGCAGATCGGCATCTCGTCCTCGCAGGGCGCAGGTCCCAGAGCATCGCAGCCCAGTCGCTGCCTCACGCAGATCAAAGCACAAAAGAGCAGCGAAGTTTATCAGGAGCAGGTAAGAGGAACGCACGCGCACGCGCACACTCGCGCGCGCACACGCGCTCGCACACGCACGCACACGCGCTCGCACACTCGCGCGCTCGCACACTCACGCGCGCTCACACACATGCACACACTCACACACGCGTACGCGCATCACTCGCACACATACACTCACACACACACACACACACAGCCATACACACACACTCACACCCACACATATACACACGCACTCACACACACACACACCCACACATACGCGCACACAGCTAAACCCCCAACACACACACACACATAGATACATAGATACACCCCCCCCTCCAACACACACACACACAGGTACACCCTCACACACACGTTCCGCGCCCCCCCCCCCCCACACAACACACGGATACTCTTCCACACACACAGTGTCCCATCCCCCACATACACACTCACATGCCCACATACATCCACACGCACACACAACAGTTTTTTGTTGGTCAGCTGGATTTCTGACACTTGAGGAAACCCACTGTCTCTGGAAATTCCATGTGTGGGTGGGATGCATGGAATTCTCAGTTTGGTTTGGAGACTCTTAAGCACGTAAGTGGGGTCTCCTCGGAGCTGAACCGGCTCCCAAGTGACATGTTTGGCAACGGAGTCGAGCCGGCCCTCTGTGACGGTCTCTAGTCCTGGTCCTGAGCCAGGCCGGTCTACAGTATTCCAGGGCACTCACTGCTGATGACAGCACAGCCCGGCCCGGCTCATCAGCAGGACCTGGAAGGGCCGACTAGTCACTGGGGACAAGGAGTCATCCCTCTCAGCTCCTGTTAGCCCTGCAGCAGCAAACAAACAACCTAATACATTTACACGATGCCTTTCATGTTGGGAGGACGTCCCAAGGTGCTGGACATCAGGGATTTGGACCCGAGCTGGGGGTGGGCATCAGGAAAGGGTAGAGGGCAGGAAGGGTTGGGATAGGAGGGTGCCCGAAGATGTGGTCGAAGAAGAGGGACTTGAGTCGGGCCTTAAAGAAGGCAAGGGAGGGGGCAAGGCGAAGGGACTGTGGGATGGAGTTCCAAAGGGTTGGGCTGAAGCCCGACTGCCGATGGTGGGGCGGGACGGAGCCAGCTGAGCGGAGGGAGCGGACAGGTTGATATGGAGTTAGCAGGTCACAGTGGTGCTCTAGGCCTGACCCTCTCTCCCTCTCTCTCTCTCTCGTCTCTCTTTATCGCCCAGTTCTGTGTGAGGATAGAGAAAAACCCTGGACTGGGCTTCAGCATCAGTGGAGGCCTGGGCGGGCAGGCGAACCCCTTCAAGCCATCTGACATGGTAATCGTCTGTCACAGCGAAGCAGAGCGTGGTGGGGGTGGGGGAGATGTTACTGGTGACTGTCAGTAACCTAACCCTGCGCTAACTCTCCTTAGGTTGATCCCATCTATCAAAGGATGAGCAGAAGCCAGCCTCACATGGTCAAGGGAAATGGTGTAAGTCGGTGAAAGTGGAATTTCATTAGACAGAAACACTGAGCCTGGTCTGTCTCCCCCCCCCCCCCCCCCCCCCCGCCGGGGGCTATTATACGTCATGTGTAAACCACATGCAACATTTTTACCCAGAGACTTGTTACAACGACAGCGACAAATTAAATTTGCACAGCGCCTTTCACGTCGGGAGGTTGAAGAGAAGGGTCTGGAGACGGGCTTGAAGGAGGCAAGGGAGGGGGCGAGGCGAAAGGACAGTGGGATGGAGTGCCAGAGGATGAGGGCAGCGAGGCTGAAAGCCTGACTACGGATGGTGGGACGTGCAGGGCGGGGGACGTGGAGCAGACAGGTTGATATCAGGTTAGCAGGTCGCAGAGGTAGGAAGGCTGTGGAGAGCTTTGAAAGGGTGATGGATATTGACTTGAAAAGGAACACTTTGCAGGGTTATGGGGACAGAGCGGGGGAGTGGGACTAGTTGGTAGCTCTTTCAAAGAGTCGGCCACAGGCACGATGGGCTGAATGGCCTCTTTCTGTGCTGTAGGATTCTATGATTCTATAAAAACTCACCTGTACCCGTGTAAAATTCCCTCCGTGTTTTAGCACAAGGCGAGTACAGGGTTATATTACAGCCGTGGTTTACACCTGCGTCTACCCTCTACAGCTGCCAAACATGTGGTTTACACGTCGCGTATAATGTGGCTGTGTTAACACATGGTTTACAAATGATGCACAACCCCCCGCTTGTGTTTATTTCCCTTAAACAATGTTTTAAAACAAATAATGATTCGGTCACTCAATCCACGGCTGTTTGTGGGGACGCTGCTGTGCGTAAGTGGCTGCCGCGTTTCGCCCACAAAAAATACAGTCAATTCACTTCACAGTATATTCTGCAAAGCGCTTTGAGGCGTCTCGAAGACGTGATAAGGCACTTTACAAAATGCAAAGATTATTATTGTGTGCTGTCGTGTTCTGACGTTCATTCTCTTAGAACACTCCTCCCTCCTTCATGATCATAGAAACAGGAGTAGGCCATTCCCCGCTGACAATTCTCCCATCGAACAACATCCCAAAATTCGCTCAGAAACCCAGTTAGCTCGCTTCAAAACAACGGTTTTATCAGGCTAAAAAAGTTGGCCGACTTTCGGCTCATCAGTCGCCTCTGTCACTGCCTGCGGGAGCACTGACTGGTAACACTACTGCGTTATAAGACATCTCCACTGTTTTCCCCTTTACTCTTTCCCCCAATTAATCTTCTGCTCATCGCTTTAAAGCTGCTTCCACCAGACCCGAGTCCATGAACTACTTCACTTTGCTAAGTAAATTCTCTCGCTGACTGCCCGGCTGTGCACAAATTTGACTGCCTACAAAACGCACAGTCACTACGCTTTACAATGAATCCTGCGAAGCACTTTGAGATGTCTCGCTGATGTGATAAGGATTAGTTACTATTAATATTGTTTCTGGTATCTGTCTGGCTGAGCTTTTGATTCACAACCTGAAATCTCTCTCTCTCTCTCTCTCTCTCGCTGCTCAGTGCTCCCAATGATACTCTTTGAGACATCGTTCTCCATTATTTATTATAATGATCTGTGGGGACGTTAGTTACCACCCAAAAAAAGAGGAAATGCTTTAAAATGACAATAAATAATAATAACATATTAAGACAATACTATTTCGATAATAATAATAATGTGGTCACTCAATCCATGACTGTTTGTGGGACACTGCCTTGTGCAATCGGCTGCCGTGTTTCGCCCACAAAATACACAGTTACTCCACTACAGTGTACCCTGTGAAGCGCTCTGAGACATCTCAACAAATTGTCAAAGCTCTCTATCAAATGCAAAGATTATTATTATTATTATTATTATTAAGGCTGAATTCCATTCCTTCGCTCCCTCCCTCGCTCCTTCCCTCCCTCTTTGCTCCCTCCCTCCTTCGTTCCCTCCCTCACTCGCGCACCCCCCTCCTCGCCCACCTCCGCTCGCTGCCTCACTCACCTCCTCCCCCTCTGTCCTGGATGACTGTGAGTCACTCGTCACCGATGAAGTGAAACCATGACTCTCACTCGTCTTCCCACAGGGGATCTTCATCACTAGAGTGCAGCCCGATGGCCCCGCATCCAACCTCCTGCAGCCCGGAGACAAGATCCTGAAGGTGAGAGCGATCTCGCTCCTGTAGCTCAGTGGTTACAACACTCGCCTCGCAAGCGAGAGGACCTGGGTTTGATTCCCGGGCAGGGGACAATTCCTTAGTTTCCTTACTCCACACACGCGACTCTGTTTACCCAGCGGTAAGTAGGAACCCCGGTTGTTAATCGATTGGCAGATCACTTTCCGGGAGTAATAATGCCTCCAAAGTAAATAAATCCATTAAAAACAGTGGGTCACTCAATCGATAACTGTTTGTGGGGACTCTGCTGTGCGCAATTGGCCGCCGGGTTTCACCCACAAAATGTACAGTCAATTCACTTTACGGTATGTTCTGTGAAGCGCTCTGAGACGTCGAGAAGATGTGAAAAGCGCTGCATCAAATGCAAGGATTATTATTACTATATTATTACATTCTGCAAAGCGCTTTGAGACGTCTCGAAGACGTGTTAAGGCGCTCTATCAAATGCGAGGATTATTATCATTAATTAAGCGCGTGTGTGTGGGAGGGGGAGGAGGGTCGGAGTGAGTGTCTCGGACTCTCAAGGGAGACTGAACCTCCCCCCCAAGCTCCCCCCCCACCCCCACACACACAATAAAGCTCAATATTTCTTCTCCTTCCAGGCTAACGGACATAACTTTGTGCATATGGAACATGAAAAGGCTGTGAATCTCCTGAAGAGCTTTCAGAGCACGGTGGACCTGATTATCCAGCGTGAAATCACAGCCTAGACATTGTCATTCCCACCCCCTTCCCCCCCCCACACACACACCACCCCTCCCCCCCGTCGCAGGAAATACTCAATGGAAGCTCGTTGGCCCTCGCGCCCTCCACCGTCTCCCGCGAAAAGAACGCCCAAACGGACTGACCTGTCAGCCTCTCCCTTTTTTTTCTTTGTACCAATTGCTGGATCAATGGTAACAATGGGAGCGTGTGTGTGCGCGCGCGTGTGCGTGTGTGTGTGTGTGCGTGCATGTGTGTGTGTGTGTGCGTGCGTGGGGAGGGAGGGAGGGGAAGAGGGGAGAGAGATAGCCAGAGGGAGAGTGTGGGGGTGGGTGGGTGGGTGGAGGATGCAGAGACCCCAAACCTCGATACCAAGAGACGTGTGTCTCTCTCTTTCTCTCTCTCTCAACTGGGTACCTTTTGGTATCTCGCTTTCTCGAGATTTTATTCATTTGTGAAGTTGGTGTTTAAGACTTGACGTCCGTCCAAAAAAAACCTGTCGGCCTGTGGTCGCTTAATACAGCACGTTGTCTGCTAAACCAGTTTTTATATATATATATATATATATATATATAGATCGATAGATCGATAGATAGATAGATAGATAGATAGATAGATAGATAGATAGATAGATAGATAGATAGATAGATAGATAGATAGATAGATAGATAGATAGATTAGATAGATAGATAGATAGATAGATAGATAGATAGATAGATAGATAGATAGATAGATAGATAGATAGATAGATAGATAGATAGATAGATAGATAGATAGATAAAGGATACACAACCTGTTTCTTGAATGAAGGAGGGAGGGAGGGAGGGAGGGAGAGAGGGTGTTGTTTTTTTGTTCGATTACCAAGAGCTCAGAAGCAAACACGGAACTTTGCTGACGTTTATATCAGCACCGCCTTGTACACTTGTAAATGCCTTTGCCCATCCTTAACCAGCCCAAATTAGCCTCTAACCACCAACCCACCCCCCTCCTCCCCCACAAAAAATACACCCTCAATTCACTTTACAATACAGTGTATACTGTGAAGCACTTTGAGATGTCCAGAAGACGTGAAAAGCGCTATATCGAATGCGAGGATTATTATTAATATTATTATTATTGCTCAGAGTCTAGGCTGATGCCCCAACGCTGGGGGGGGGGGGGGGGAGTGTTACACACTGTCAGAGACGCCATCCTTCGTATGTCACTTTAAACGAGTTCCCCGCCTTCACCCCATCCCGGTGGACTTCAGAGATCTCCGCGTCTCTACGAGAAAAGGGAAGGGCGTCTCTCTCTCCACCCCCGTGACCCTTCCCGGCTGCTTGCGAGCACGGAGACACCGGGGTAGACGTTTCGGGAGTTGACAAGTGCTAAAGGCAGAGAGTAATTTAACTCTTTAAAGAGGAGTTGTGAAAGGTTATCCGAGACTGCTCTGGAGGGGTTAATGCAAAAGGAATCATTTTCTTGCAAGATGTTTTGATGCCTGCCCCCTCCGCTGCCCCCTACCCCCACCCCCTCTCCCGCCCCAAATGAAAGTGTAAAGGAAGTCCGAAGGGGGCTGGATTTACTCGTTTGCACTTTGGGACAACCAGATTTTGACAACAGCTCAAGTTTCTCCCTTAACTTGGAAGCCAACTACCACAACCTGCATTTACGCAGAGCCTCGCACGCCTGACTGTGTCTCGGGGAGACTCACACGCAGCGGTGCTGGGGTCGGGCATCCGGGGAGAGGTGACCAAAAGTGCGCTCAAAGGGGTAGGTGTATTAAAGTGGGATTTAAAAATAGATACTGTATATCTGATTGGGGTCAGCCGGGTGCACTTATATAACGCTTAGGGCAGCGTCTCAGAGCGCTCAACAATGGCGGAGCCTGTCTCCGTGCCGGTGGGGGGGTCGGTAGACGACCGTAAGTATGGTCGACAAGGAAGGTTTTAAGGCGGGACTTGGAGAAAGGGGAGAGAGGGGGCAAGGCGGAGGGACTGGGGGAGATTGTTCCAAGGTTTCGGGGCATAGTGGCTGAAAGCGTGACCTCCAATGATGAAGCAGAAAGTGCAAGGGTTGAGCAGAAGACTGGTGACCGGATGGTGGATTGGGGAGAGAGGAGGTCGAAGAGGTAGGGAGGTGCCCGGGAGTGAAGGGATTTGAACGCAGGTGTGAGGACAAGGGATTGAGGCAGGGAGTTCCAGAGATTTGGAGCCCAGACGGTTGTTTCTTTTGTCTAACCCCAACCCTAAGTTTTACCCTCAATACACTTTACAGTAAAATAGGGAAAAGCACTTTGAGGCGTCCTCCTCTATCAAACGCAAGGATTATTATTATTATAAATGTCCACAACTCCGCCTTTTTATGAATACAAACGCAGGTATTGTGAAGACTTTTTGTCTATTACTTTTTATATATATAATATATATATATATATATGGTTGGAGCACTCGTCTCACAAGCAAGAGAACCTGGATTCGATTCCCAGGCAGTGCAAAATGTTGGGCAAGTTTCCTTACTCCACATGCCTCTGTTTACCTCGAAGCAAGTAGGAACCCGGATGTTAGTTGATTGGTGGAATGCTTTTCTGGGGTTAATGACACCTTCAAAAAAATAATAATTTGGTCACTCAATCCACAATGCATTTGGCTGCAGCATTTCACCCACAAAATACAGTCACTACACTTTACAGTATATTCCGTGAAGAGCTTTGAGACGTCTCGAAGCCGTGAACAAGGCAAACACACGGTTATTATTATTATCATAAGTCTAGAGCTGTCAGGACAAAAGTAAATGTTCACAAACCTGCCCGTTTATGAATACAAATGCTGATATTCTGAAGACTTTTTTTCTATTGCTTTTTATATATATATATATATATTCTTTCCGGTCCCAACACACACAGTTGGTGGCGGTCAGTGGAGACATCATAGGTCAGGTTGCTTTGTGAAAGTGGAATCAATGTGCGCAAACATGTAGCTTTTATTTGTGGGTGTGAAATATTGAAATAAAAAAAAACACAAGGTGCGGAGGTATTTTGGGGGGGGGGGGTGTGGGAGGAAATAGTTGGGGAAAGAAAGGGAGAGAGAGAGAGAGAGAGAGAGAGAGACAGAGAGAGAGGGGGGTAAATCGTCACTTTTTTTGTATATGTCAAGATTCGTAAATACCGAAAAAAAATTATTGGTCAAATTTTTGTCTCTTTAAAAAAAAAACGCAGTATTTTGTAAATACGGAAAAGCGTCGGGAGGCGATGCTTTTTAAACAGAGGAAAAAGATACCTTTTGACTCATTTTAGATGAATGTGAATGTAAAACTCATCTGCAGCTGCTCTTGGGAGGTTTTTACCGGATTTCGCTGACGTGTGCTTGTGCGTACATGCGTGTGTGTATACAACAAAACGGATGGACGACCGGGACGAAGGAATAAAGAGGTTTGACGCTTTTTAAGGTTCCTTAGTTCCACGAGAAAGGAGTTGATTTAAGTTGCTCGTTCAGATGTTCCCGTGGTTCTCAAGTCTCTTCTGGTTTAATTTCCAAGTTCCATTGACTTTTGTGGAGTCCTGTAGCTCAGTGGGTTAGACCTCTCGCCTCGCAAGCGAGTGGACCCGGGTTCGATTCCCGAGCAGGGCGAAACGTTGGGAAAGTTTCCTTACTCCACGCGCCTCTATTTACCGACCAGTAAGTAGGAACCCGGTTGTTAGTCGATTGGCGGATCGCTTTTCCGGGGGAAATAATCCCTTCAAACAAAAATGATAATAATTTAGTCACCCAATCCACGACTGTTTGTGGGACACTGCTGTGCACAATTGGCGGCCGCGTTTCGCCCACAAGTGAGTCGATTCACTTTACAGTATATTCCGTGAGCGTTTTGAGACATCTCAGCGACATGATAAGGTGCTATATCAAATGCAAGGATTATTATTAATATTATTACTCTTGACAACCACAACTAGCATTTATACAGCATCCTTCAGGGTGTGGGATTGCATCTCGAAGCGTCAATATATATCTTTTTGTGTGTGATCTGGACGAATTTTTCTTGCCTTCTTCCATTTTGTATATGTTTGGAAGAATTATTTTTTAAACCGGAGAGGGAAAGATAGAGAGTAATTGAGCGAGTGAAAAAGAGAAATGAAACGCAGTACAAACTCCCATCCAATGTGGGTGCAAAAAATTATAAACTGAGCCATTTTTCGGCTTTGAAAGTACTGAGATTTCTGTTGCTGTATTTAACTAAGTGTTTGGAATAACGTACTGAGTCTCTTCAATGAAACTGATGTTAATTTAACTTGTTACTCCCCCTGTAAATAACACCAACTCCCCCTTGCTTTAATGGTTTGATTCATCCTTCAATTGCCGCTTCCTTCCTTCCTTCCTTCCCACTTTCTCTCCCTCCTTCCCTCCCTTCTTTCCCTCTGTCACTGAATCTCGCAGTCTGTTTTATAAAACTCCTCAGATTTTTAGGCTTGACTTTCAATGAATTCTTAATGTATTGATGCTCTTGTCAAAATATAAAAACTGTGTTAATGATTTTCAATTTCCGGAGCTCCCACCTGGTGTGATTATTCCTCCCTCCCCCTCTCTCTCTCCCTCCATCTCTCCCCCCACCTCTCTCTCCCCCTCACCTCTATATATTCCCCCCACCTCTCTCTCCCCCCCTCTCTCCCTCCCTCTCTCCCCCTCACCTCTATATATTCCCCCCACCTCTCTCTCCCCCTCCCCGTCTCTTCTCTCCCCCTCCATCCCTCCCCCAGCAAGGACACTGGCGAGAACCGTACACAGTGAAAAAAACAACTGCAGGGATGGTTGGTTGGTTCGATCGAGTTTATTCACGTGTCCAAACAAATAAGTGATTCATTTTTTAAAAAAAAGGTGCAAAAAAAACGTCACACACAAATCACGAGTGTTTCGGTCAGATTTCGGCCAGCAGGGGAGGAGGGGCAGGAGGCCACAATGTCACAGCAACGAGACTAAATCGCAAGCAGCACAAAGGCACATTATACCTCTCAATGGTTTTTCATGTCTAAGGAGAAGTGGGACACATGAGACCTGACCGGGGGGGAGACGCACACACAGCTGTTGTGATGGGTCCTTAAACCTGTTAACACAAACCCACGCATGCAGAAAGCACACACACAGCGAGGGACGCACAATGTGCGGGTGTGTACATAAGAAATCTTACCGATCTGTAATCAGAAAGCAAATTTAGACTTAATCTCCACTTAGCACCTCCCCTCTCAGCTCCCCTTCTCCCACAATTAAAGTGTTGTTAATTGATTAACACCTTCACAGCCCTGGCTCCCAACGAGTGCAGGTTTATGTAGGAATGCGGCTTTGGAGGTACTCGAGGATGGCAGCTGTACCTTTGGCCAGAATCGCTGCCCGTGGGGTTCGGAAACGGTTTCCATCAAGCAGGAGGTTCCTGTACCAAACAGCAACCAGAGAGGGAGGAGGAAGAAAAAAAAAACAGCTCAGTACATTGTACCTTGGGAAACGTTAAACCCGCATAAAAGCGCGAGTGTTACTCCCCCGACCCCCACCCCCAACACGAGCGCAGAGACAGATACACACACAGATACACAAACACACACAGATAGTCACAAATACACAAACACACACAGATAGTCACATATACACAAACACACACGTGCAAACAGTTAGTCAGATATACACACAGACACACAAACAAAGACACACGCAAACAGATAGATATACACACAGATACACACAGACAGTCAGATACACACATACAGACATATATACAGACAGAGATACATACAAAGACAGATGGATAGATACACACACACAGTCAAATACACAGACAGATAGATATAAAGTTCCGAATTGCCTGCAGCTACATATAGGGAGGAGGCAAGGAGTTTGGTGAGCGGGAGTGTTGGCATAAGTGGCTGAAAGCCACCTGTCGCCTGGTTTAACAGCTGGACAATTAGCTACAGAGTCTAAGTGCTGTATAGGCGGTGTTACCGGAGACTCCCGCACATCCCCAGCTCGGGAGGAACGTGCAGCAAGTCATTGTTCGTCAGATCCAGAGTCGTCAACCTATCCAGGCTCGCCAGGCGGGGAGCATCGATGGAGCCCACCTGGTTATTGCCGAGCAGAAGAGTTTCCAACGCTGGGAAATGGTACAGGACCTCAGGAAATTCCTTAAACCTGCCGACAGAATACAAATACTTCAGTGAACGAGTAGTGAATGTGGAGTCCTGTAGCATAGTGGTTAGAGTACTCGCCTCGCAAGCGAGAGGATCAGGGTTCGATTCCCAGGTAGGGACTTAGACGAGTTTCCTTACTCCACAGGTCTGTTTACCCAGCAGTAAGTTGGAACCCGCTTGTTAATTGATTGGCAGATCGCTTTTCCGGGGGTAATAATTCCTTCAAGAAAATAATAATAAATTTGGTCCCTCAATCCATGACTGTTTGTGGGGACGCTGTTGTGTGCAATTTGCTGCCGTGTTTCGCTCACAAAATATATAATCAGTTCACTTTGTAGTATATTCTGTGAAGCATTTTGAGGCGTTGTGAAGACATGATAATTATTATAGTTTGGGACATGGAACGTGCAAGGTGGAAGGCAAATAGGATTGACCGTGGTCTTTCTTTGTGTAGCAATTTTTACAGGTTATGTTATGTTCTTAACACAGGATTACGCTCTGGGCAGAAATTAAAGCAATGTTTATGAATTGACAAATATCCCTAGGAAAGGGTAGGATGGAAGTTCAAGATCCCGAGGCTGTTGGAAAAAAGAAGGGAGCGTTCCTACACTTGACCTTCCCTGTGAAGCGCTGTGAGGTTTACAATAACAACAACAAATGACATTTGTACAGCGCCTTTCACGTCGAGAGAAAATCCTGAGGCGCTGGAGTTATATTAAATACAGGAATGATAAATTCCGCTACATTACCCCACGTATTGCCAACAAAACATACAGTCACTATACTTTACAGTATATTCCCTGAAGCGCTTTGAGACTTCTCAAAGACGTGATAAGGTGCTACATCAAATGCAACGATTATTAATGTTATTAAGTGCAGTGAGTTGAACTCTGACCTGTTAAAAGACAGGATGACAGTCTGTAGCCGCTGAAGGCTTTTCATCTCCACAGGCAGTGAGGCCAGAAGGTTATTCCTTCAGTGAGGGAACAGACAGATGGTTAAGACTGGACACCAACCCAGGCTTTAACACTGTCACTTGTGTGTCAGCCGGGCTCAGCTGCCACAATTGCAGGTTCAAGATCTTCACATACTCCCAAGCACGCACGCGCTCACACACACACACGCGCGCGCTCATGCCACACATACACGCATGCTCATACTCGCACACTCACGCAAACACGCTCATTCACACACATGTTCATGCACACACACACACTTATGCACTCTCATGCATCCCAACCCACACACACCATGCACGCGCGCGCACACACACACACACACACACAGGGGCTTTCAGTTCAAACATTAGGTGGGCTCTCCTGGACGGTGCAGGGAGAAACACTGCAATGTCAGAGGTTGTGGGTTCGAGCCCCGGTATTTTGGTCTGTGCAGTTGGGGTGGAGGGGGCGTAGGAAAAGGGGGGACTTGTCCGAAAGATTAAGAACAAACGGTGGTTTACTTCATGGTTGTTCGCTTTTGTTGTCTCTAAAGGCCAGATGTGTGTGTCTGGTCCCTCATGTACCTGAGGTCCAGGTGTGTTAGGCGCTGGAGTGCACACAACTCCGAGGACAGGGAAGCCAGCTTGTTGAACCCCAGGTTCACGTCGGTGACTGTGTTCTTGAAGTCCGTGATCCTAGAGTAGAGGGAAAACAACATGAATAAACTAAACCGTGACACGAGACCACACAAGTCGTTTGTCTCTTGTCTGACTTTCCATGGAGCCAGCTGCCTGCCCACCCACCCCCCCTCCTCTATTCACCCCCCCCTCCCCACTCCTTCTGTTATATCACCGTTACTTATGTGGCAGATCAGCTCAGCTGCTAGCCAGTCAAAGGCTAGTGGGTCCAAGCCCCCACTTTGGAAGTATGGGCCCACAGTCTAAACCTTCACTCCATGCTCTAATGATACAGCATAAACTGCTGGATCTTTAACATCAACAGGCGCTGACGAGACCTGGGTTCAGAAGAACGGTGCCTCCGTCACCACAACTTGCCCGCTCACCTGTTGCACTGTACTGGAGCGTTAGTCAAAGGCCTTGATATGGGGAGGGGACGAGCACTCAAACCAACATCACTCAGAGGCGAGAGCACCACTGACACCACAATCTAAGTGTAGGAGACGTACCTGGAGGGAACCTCTGTTAGCAGGTTCTTACTGAAATTGGCGGTTGTGATGGCAATCTCTCCCACGGCATCGAACACGTCGGGTGGGACGGCGGTGGCTTTCCGGTCGCTGGAACAGAAAGGGAGGAAGATTCTCAGTCACTGGAAACAAGGCAGCCATTTCTGCAAAGTCCCACGGGCAGTCACAAGGCAAACAAACCAGTTTATCTCACTTCTGAAGCCATCCAGAGTCTTGCCTTGCTCTACCTACCTCTGCGATCAACTAAAACCCTACAAACCTGCTCGCTCCCTCCGCTCAGCAGGCACTGGCCTGCTCCACGTGCCCCTGCCCTGCCCACCCCACCATCGGCAGTCGGGCCTTCAGCCTCTTTGCCCGCAGCTTTTAGATCTCCAACCCAGAACCCCCCTGCCTCGCCACCTCCCTTGCCTCCTTCAAGGCACGTTTCGAGACCTTCCTCTTCGGCCGGGCCTCCGGTCACCCTCCCACCTTCACCCTTCCTTTGCCTCCATCCCTCTCGATTCCAACCCCCAGCTCGGGTGCAAACCTTGAGCTGTCCAGGACCTCAGGATGTCCACCCCACATGAAAGGCACTGTGTAAATACAATCTGTTGTTATTTGGGTGATTGTCGGCCAGGAAAGTCCCTTCTTCACTGGGTGGCGCAGGTACATAAACCATACCTGAAAGACAGCTCAGCTTCCCTCTGAGGAGCCCAGGACCCACCTGTACTGTAGCACCTTCAGGGTTCCAAGAGAATAGGTGTCCACAATGGACTCGCTCGGAAGGGTCATAGCTGTCATCGTGGAGCCAACACTTTGGTCGTTTGATTCTTCTAAATTAAAAAGAGATTAAAATCGTGGTTATAATAATAAAATAATAATAATCCTTGCATTTGGTACAGCTCATCACGTCGTTGAAACGTCGCAAAGTGCTTCACAGGATACATTGTAAAGTATGTAAATGCAATTTGTTGTTGTTATTTGGACAATTTTCGATCAGGAAACTAGGGAAGGTTTTATGGTGCAGGTTTATGACCAGACAGGAATTTATATCTAGAAGCCGAGCTACGGTTTGTAAAAACCAAACAAAACCCAGTATGACTTAAGAGAATCTGCCACTATATCTAATGCTTCTCGGAGCTCCCTAAGCGCTAGTTGGATAACAACAAATGATATTTACACAGCGCCTTTCTCGTCGGGAGGACGTCCCAAGGCGCTGGGCAGTCAGGGATTTGGACCCGAGTTGGGGGTTGGGATCAGGAGGGGTGGAAGGGTAGGGAGGGTGGGGTTAGGACGGTGGACGAAAGCGTGGACCGAGTGGAGGGTCTTGAGACGCATTTAGAAGGAGGCAAGGGAGGGAGCGAGGCGAAAGGACTGTGGGATGGAGTTCCAAAGGGTGGGGGCAGAGAGGCTGAAAGCTTGACCGTCCGACAATGACCCACGAGATCAGCTTGTACCTTGGATTCTGCCTCTTAGGTACTTGAGAAGCTCCTGTGTTCCTCTCTGAAAGCAATCAACAATAATAACAAATTACATTTATATAGCCCAGCTCCTTCTCCAATCTGTCATGCCTCACCCCCGGCAATTACCATTGGCCTTCCCATTGGAGAAGAGTCTGGGACCGACCACCACGAGAGGGATTTTCCTCACACACTCTATGGCAGGAATCCGGATCCTGGAAGTGTTTACTCACGTTAAGGATATCTCTGCGGATGGATCGCAGGGGGTTACCCTCCAGGAGCAGAGACTTCAGCTTGGGAAGGTTTCCCAGCGCGTAAGGCAAGCTGTAAACAACAACAACAACAACTTGCATTTTGTAGTGCCCCTCACGCAGAGCACTCCCCACTCAAACTAATCTGACTCAGGCTCCTCCCCAGCCTCGCCCCAGTCCCTCCCTCAGAATTGCCCCCTGGCCCCACTTCTGGACCACCTGGCGCCTCCTCCAGCCCCATCCCCCCCCCAACTGCCTCCGCCCCGCCCAGACACTCCCCCAGAACAGCCTAGGCCTACCTGGCCCTCTTTCAGATCCACCCTCGCCCCCTCCACCAAACCTGGCCCAGCCCCTCCTCAGACCCACCGTTCCCCCAGGGAAGCATTACTCCCCACAAAAAAAAACACACCCGGGACGGACATCACTGACCTGCTGATGTCGTTGTTTGTCAGGTCCAGGCGCTCCAAGCCCTGCAGCAGGAGGATTTCGTCGGGCAGGGATTTGAGCTTGTTATCCCGGAGCTCGATCACGCTGATGGCACTCAGGTTCTTCAGGTGCTCGGGCCCCAGATACTCGATTTGGTTATTCCCAACGTGCAGTTCCTGCGTGGGTGAGAAGCAGCTTAAAACTCTCGCCGTTTAACGACTTGGGTAACTCTTGAAACGTCTCAACAACAACTTGCATTTATGTAGCGCCCTTCACGTAGGGTCGTGTGCCAGAGCGTTTAACAAAATTCCTTGCATTTGATACAGCGCCTTATCAGGTTGTTGATGTGTCTCAAAGCGCTTCACAGAATATACTGTAAAGTGATTTGACTGTATATTTTGTATATTATTATTAATGTGGTCACTCATTCCACGACTGTTTGTGGGACGCTGCTGTGTACAATTGGCTGCCGCGTTTCGCCCACAAATATACAGTCAATCAACTTTACAGCACGTTCTGTGAAACGCTTTAGACGTCTCGACGACGTGATAAGGCGCTATATCAAATGCGAGGACTATTATTATCATTATCATTATAATGTAGCACCCTCCCCCAGATCCACCCTCGCCCCCTCCACCAGACCAGAGCTGTGGGCTCAAGTCTACAATGTTGTAACCTTTTTCTCATGGATAAAAATGCGGCCAGATTCTTAATGTTCCCCTGACTCTCACTGCTTGTCTACAGCTCCTCTCCTCTGCGCTGACAGACAGAAGCAAGGTGCCCTATTTATAGTGCTCCTGTGGGAACCTACATCTCTCTGCAGGATTCAGTTATTGAGCAGCTTGTAGTTTTAAATCTCTCGCTTTGAGACGCCTCAACAAAGTGATAAGGCAAGAATATCAAATGCAAGGTTTTTTTATATATATATATATATGAGAGAGCGCCCGGAATGTCAAAACGTCTCAAAGCTCCTCATGGGGAATCGCTGTCAAGTGTGGTGGTTGTGTATTTATAATAATATTTGATACAGCGCCTTTCACATCCGGAGGGGGACTCAAAGCACTTCACAGTGTTTACTGTAAGTGACTGACTCTCTCTCTCTCACTAGGAGGATTTTGAAACGGTCTGTCTCCCTGCCTTCAAACCTTCCTTGTTGACTATGCCTTGGTCAGTCATTCCCACTCCCCCCTTGCTCACTGCCCATATTAGCTCTGTAAACGCTTTGACACATGAAAGGTACTTTATAAGCCCATCTTGTTGATGCTTTTGATGATGATCCTGAGACCCCTGTCACAATGTAAGAGTCTCTGAACCAGATAGGGTTCCACATATGTACAGTATATCATCTACACATGGAAATCTTCCTGTGTCTGCAATGGAAATGTGCACTCTGTCCCGGGAGGGATGTATCCTGCTTACCTAATTCTGGAGAGCAATAGACGCAGGTTGGCAAAAGCCAAGGCTTGGGGACCCCAAGGGTGAGTTAAGAAGTCTAACCCGCTAACACCATGTAGCTTGCCATCGAGAGCACCATTTGACAAGCTTTCCCACTGCTTGTCCAGGTAGGACCATCCTACCTAGGGCTTTGGCTTGCAGGGTTAACAGGAGCTGAGTGGGAGGATTTCCTGCCCCAGAGACAGGTCTGTCCTTCCAGATCCTGCCAACGAACAGGCTGGACTGTCATCAGAAGCATTTGATAATCCTTGCATTTGATACAAAACCTCTAACACCAAACGTCTCAAAGCGAATTGGTGTTGGAAGTTAATTAACTTCTCAAGGTTTCTGTCATGTGCAGCGACTCCATTGTGTAGGTGAATGAGCCAGTGAATTTATGCACTGCGATGTTCCACAAATAGCTATGAGAGTCCACTGGAGTGGTCAGGAACCGGACTACTCAGCCAGGCAGTCTGGGGAGACTATGTGCGCGCACGGGATGAGGAGACTACGCGATGCTGAACGTCTCGGTCTTCATGTCGCACCTTCAGGAACTGGCAGGACGGCAGCTCGGGCAGCCCCCTGAGTTTGTTGTGTCTGAGGTACAGCTGCTCCAGGGACACCATCTTCGCCAACTCCGGGGGCACCGACTCCAGCTGATTCCGAGTCAAATCCAACAGCTTCAGACCTTCAGAGTTAGATAAAGCTTAGTAAGCAACAACATCCTACGCAGAATCCTTCACACAGGGCAGCGTCTTGAAGCGCTTAACAGTGGCGAAGCCTGTCACTAAGCTGGAGGGGGGGGGGAGCAGGTGATTCTAAGCACGGTCGAAGAAAAAAGGTCTTCAGTCGTGGGGGAAGGAGGCGGAAAGGTGGAGGGATTGGGGGAAGAGAGTTATTTCTCTTCTCCTCCCACCCCCCCCACCCCCAACATGACAACATCTCATATACTTCACAATAATAATCCTAGCATTTCATACAAAGCCTAAAACTGATTATCTCAAAGCAAAGTAAAAATGTGTTGGAAGTTAATTACTTCTCAAAGTTTCTGTCATGTGCAGTGACTCCATTGTGTAGATGAATGCTGCAGTTAATTTATGCACAGCAATGTTCCACAAACAGCTATGAAAGACTTCATAGGACGTCGCTGTGTGCAAATTGGCTGCTACGTTCACCTACAAAACACGGTCACTAGATTTTACTGAAGCGCTTGTGAGATGTCCTCCTGACGTGAAAGGTGTAGAGTCAATTGTGGGATTCCAAGAGGGAAGTAATATGTGATATTTAAAGGCTTAAAGCGGTCTGGGGATAGAACGGGGCAGTGGGACTTGCTCAGGGAGGCTGTCAGAATTTGACGAGCCGAATGGCCTCCTTCTGCACTGTAAATGTCTGCAATTCCAAGATTCTATGGTGCTGTATTAAACAACAAATTACACTTACACATCGCCTTTCACATTGGGAGGACGTCCAAAAGCCCTGGACAGTCAGGGATTTGGACCCGAGCTGGCGGGTTGGGATCAGGAGGGGGAGAGGGCACCGGGGGTGGGGGTCGGAGAGTGACCGAATCCTCGGTCGAAGAGGAGGGTCTTGAGACAGGCCTTGCAGGAGGCAAGGGAGAGGGGGCGAGGAGAAGGGATCGTAGATGAAATTCCAAAGGGTGAGGGGCAGAGAGGCTGAAGGCCCGACCGCCGATGGTGGGAAGGGCCGGGTGGAGGAGGTGGTGCAGGCCGAAGCCCGTTGAGCGCAAGGATTATTGTTATTTATTTGGTGCGGTGAGAAAACCCACAAACAGCGAGGTAACACAGGGCAGAGTCTTACTGCTCATCCGGCTGATCTCTGGGGGCAGGTTCCGCAGTTTATTGTTGGCCAGGTTCAGCCGCAGCAGACTGGTGAGCTCACTCAAGCTGCTCGGCACCGACGAGAGCTGATTGTTGGACACGTCCTGTCGTTAAAAAAAAGAGGCAGACGGGAGATATATAAGTATTCCCACAGCGCTCGACAATCGATCCCGACGGGAAAGGCGCTGTGTAAATGCAATTTGTTGTTGTCCGTCCAGGTGGACTTCAGAGCAGGATGACGACTCACCAATTCCTCCAAGTGTACAAGCTGCCCCACTCCGTCCGGCACCTGCTCCACTTCGTTGTGTTGGAAGTGAAGACTTTTCAGGTGCTTCAAACCCAGAGTTCTTCTGGCATCTCCTTCAGCTTATTGTGGCTGTATATTCCCGGTGTGTATGTGTGGAGGGGGTGGGGGATGAGGTGGGGAAAGGAGAACAGAGAAAGAGGAATTTTTTTTTTTTTTTCTGATCACGTCATGCTAGTTCGCATCTTCCCGCCTCACCCCACTCTCACTACCTTTTCAGTTTTTGTTTTCAAAGATTCTTCCAATTCGCATCAAACTATTTAATCTCGAGTAATTTCTGCCCAAATCCAATTTGTACTTTGCTTAAAGAAAGAAAAAAAAACCTTCCTTTGTGGCCTCGTCGAGCAAGGTTTAATTTGATTAATGAAACGGCACTCGTTAAAGCGCCAAACATTGTATTAAATAATGTAACCTCATACATCAACGGGGATGTTTGGACGTGCAAGGTTTCCCTTCCTCCCACACCTGCCCCGTATGATTAATGACTGTGCTCGCGTGCCTCTTAAAAGTATTTACAATGAATGCAGCAAATAATTAATCTGCTCCACAATCAACTCCACTCCCCCCAGCTTACTCCGTCATTGCCCACACTGCCTAGACCAGAGTATCCATCCTCCACCCCCACCACACACACAGAGCAAATCATTCCTCCCTCATTCCACCTCTCCTCCTCTGGCTGCCGCCACCTTTGAATAGTCTTACGACTGGTGGGTCAAGGCTATTAATGGCTTGAGTGTCCCTAGGAGAGAGGGAAGGACAGAGAAGGAGGGAGGGAGGAAACAAGAGGAGACGGAGGGAGGGAGATCAATATAAACTGAACAAATTCACTATTATGCTGAAACAATTCATCGATGGGTCAAGTGAAGGCATTTGGTTGAGGTCACACTCAGGGATGCTCTGCTGTACCTGATGTGGAGTTTCTGGAGATTGACCAGGGTCCCGATGGCACGAGGAAGGGACGTCAGCTGATTATCATGGACCTAACCGTTAGGGAAAAAAAAGTCACGTCATAACAAATGTTTATCACTGGGTCAAGCGCTTTTATTTCATTTAACCATATTATAAATTAAAATGACTGCTTTAAACAGTTAACCCCACTGCCAATTGCTAGTGGGTAGAGAACAGGTATTACAATCCAAGTTTGTGCTAAATTATCAGGATTTACAACTCATATGGTCCAGGCTGACACTCCAATGTAAGGGAGGAGATGGAGGGAGGGAGATCAGCATCCACTGAACGAATATTACTGTTATGCTGGAACAGTTCATCTCGAGGGGACAGGTAAAGGCAATCTAATTGAGGTCACACTCAGGGATGCTCTGCTGTTATGCTCGGAATAACAGTAATATTCGTTCAGTGGATGCTGATCTCCCTCCCTCCGTCTCCTCCCTTGCATTGGAATGTCAGCCTGGGTGGGAGGCGGGGAAGGGGGCAGGAAAGAGTGCTGTCATGTCAGAGGTACCATCCCTCTCTCTCCCAGTGTTCTGGCTGACAATCCCCCAGATCAAATTAATTATTCACTTGATGGCTGTGTGTGGGTTATTGCTGTATGCAAATTAGATGCTGCATTTGCCTATAAAATAAAGTCATTGCATTCTACAATATACCTTGTGAAGCACTTTGAGAAGTCCTCCTGATGTGAAAGGTGCTGTATGAAATGCGAGGATTATTATTGTTATTAATAATAAATTAGCTGATCTCAGCAAGGACAGGAGTTAGACCTATAATTGGCCTCAGCATTTGCAACCCCCACCCCCACACACGTTAGGGAGGGAGAGATTTGGGCTTGTCTCTGATTCACTCTCACAGTCAAACAGCCCCAAGACACTCACTGCTAAACTGCGCATGAAATAACAGTCACTTACAGGTGAGGTGCTGTGGGAGGAAGAATCACACAAGAGTTTATTAATGTGTGTTTTTTATTCAGTTAGTTAACAAACACACTATGCATCATGTGGGCTTCCTTGGTTGTGAAAGGAACCTCACCACCTCATAACAAGAAATTGGTGCTTTTAATAATAATAATAATAATCCTTGTATTTGATATAGCGCTTTTCACGTCGGGAGGACGTCCCAAAGCACTTCACAGAATAGACTGTAAAGTGAATTGACTGTATATTTGTGGGCGAACGCGGCAGCCAATTGCGCACAGCAATGTCCCACAAACAGTCGTAGATTGAAAATGACCAATTTATTATTGTTTTTGGTTTTGGAGGGATTATTATTAGGCTCTGTGTGGAGTAAGGAAACTTGCCAAAGGTTTCACCCTCTGCCTGGAATTGAACTCAGGTCTCTCACTTGCAAAGCGAGTGCTCTAACCACTGAGCTACAGGACTCCATAGCTCAGCTTTTCACGGCGGGTTGATGTCCCAAGGTGCTGGATAGCCAAGGGTTTGCACCTAAGCAGGGGGTTGGAATCAGGAGCGGTGGGATAACTATAACAAACCAACAGAATTCTGTCATGTGACGATACATCCAACGCTTTGGGACGTCCTCCCGATGTGAAAGGCGCTGTTGTTGTTGTTGCTGCTTGATGATGCAATTTTGTTGTTGTTGCTGCTGTTTGATGACGCCCAATAAGAATAATCCTTTAATTTGAGATGTCTTTGAGACGTCTCAATGTAATTCACAGAATATACTGTAAAATGAATTGACTGTATATTTTGTGCGCGAAACACAGCAGCCAATTGCACACAGCAGTGTCCCACAAACAGCCATGGATTGATTATTATTTTTTAAGGGATTATTACCGGGGAATTTCATTCTCTGCGGTTGCTATATAAATTCAAGTTGTTGTCGTTGAGTTTGTAGGCGAAGCTTAGACTAGGTTTCACAACAACGTACATTTATACGCCTTTCACGTTGGAAGGATGAACCAATTGATTAATAATAATAATACTTGCATTTGATATAGCGCCTTTCACGTCGGGAGGACGTCCCAAAGCGCTTCACAGAATACACTGTAAAGTGAATTGACTGTATATTTGTGGGCGAACGCGGCAGCCAATTGCACACAACGATGTCCCACAGACAGTCGTAGATTGAAAATGACCAATTTATTATTGTTTTTGGTTTTCGAGGGATTATTATTAGGCTCTGTGTGGAGTAAGGAAATTTGACCAAGGTTTCGCCCTCTGCCGGGAATTGAACTCAGGTCTCTCGCTTGCAAAGCGAGTGCTCTAACCGCTGAGCTACAGGACTTCACTTAATTAAGTTACTATTTTAGAGACACTAAGTTATTAGCCAGGGCTGTAATCAATCCTTTGCTGGAATTGGTAAGACAGGCAAGATCAAAAGTTTCATTAGCATGTACTGTACTTAATTATTAGCTTCGTCCCTTGCGAAGAGTACAAATTGCTCTGCTTCAGAAGAGACACAGGGCTCTCACACAATTACTTAATACTCAACAAGAAACTTGGCTTCCGCATTCCCGTGCTCCCAGCGGCAGGTTAAACAGAATAGAGCAGGCGATTGATTCATCAGCATTTCCAAGGAGCATTTCCAGGCAGCCACAACCGCTGCCTCCACTTAACTGGCTCCGGTCTCCTGCATGTCCCTCGTGCTCTCCGCTTCCACCCCGGGTGGTCGCCCTTTCAGCCACTATGTCCTGAAACTCTGGAACACTCATCGTGTATTCCCTCTGCCTCTCCCCCCTCCTTCCCTATCTTTAGGTCACGCCTGAAGATCTTCCTCTTCGACGGTGCTTAGGGTCACCTCCCCATCCCCCAGCTCGGTGTTACGCTCCGCCACTGTCAAGCGCTCTGGGCCGCTACCCTGTGCGAGGGGCTCAACATAAAAGCAAGTTGTTGTTGTTGCTATCACACTTTCCACACCAATGGTTAACCTGACCGGTTCAAAATGTAACATGACTTGTCCTTACATCGAGCACCGTAAGGGCTGGCAAGAGCTGGATGTCCTCAGACAAGCACTGGAGTCGGTTAGAGGCCAGGATCAGCTTAGTCAAGTCAGTCTGTTCCCACCAGCAATCGCTTGCACCAAAGGAGACATTCACGTTCTGTTCCTCCGGAGGATCCACATTTATCCGCCACACACTTTGCGGCACTACGTGAGAGAGAAAAAAACAGCATCATTGACCAAACAATTAAACGCTTATACACAATCCCCTAAACACACATCTACACAGTCCCTATACGCACACTATATATATATATATACACACACAGCATATACACAGTCCCTATACACACCCCAAATATACACACAGCATATACAGTCCCTATACACACCCCAAATATACACACAGCATATACACAGTGCCTATACACACCCCAAATATACACAGCATATACAGTCCCTATACACACACCATATATACCCACAGCATATACAGTCCCTATACACACACCATATATACCCACAGCATATACAGTCCCTATACACACACACCATATATACCCACAGCATATACAGTCCCTATACACACACCATATATACCCACAGCATATACAGTCCCTATACACACACCATATATACCCACAGCATATACAGTCCCTATACACACACACCATATATACCCACAGCATATACAGTCCCTATACACACCCCAAATATACACACTGCATATACAGTCCCTATACACACACCATATATACCCACAGCATATACAGTCCCTATACACACCCCAAATATACACACCCTACATATACACACAGCACATACACAGTCCCTACACCCCCCCCCCCTATATATATACACACACACCCTCAGTCAGGCCCCTGTTGGACAGGTTCAGTTGGCCACTCTTTCTGGCGGTTTTGATTAACCCCGCGGCCACGGTCGGCTGCTGGCTGTCGGGCTGGAAGCCGGCCCGGGGTTTGGCGAACCTGCCGCCTCTCTGGCGAGACATTGCAGGGCTCGAGGCTTCCTTCAGCCGCCGCCCGCGCTAGGCCGCGCCGCACGGACGCAGGGCGCATGCGCGCCGCGCAAAGCGGCATGCTGGGAAATGTAGTTCCCCCCCCCCACAGGCTTCACCAGAACAGGCCATCATCAATAATAATACAACAGTAATCCTGGCCTTTGATGTAGAGCCTCAGCACGACGTCGAGACGTCTCAAAGCGCTTAACAGAATATACTGTAAATTTATATGTTTCGTATACAAATACGGTATATTTTGTAATACTTCTATTACAAGTGCAGCGCTTAACATAACATGTAGAAGCAGGAGGAGGCCATTCGGCCCTTCGAGCCTGCCCCGCCATTCAATCATGGCTGATCTTCTAATCTAACTCCAGCTAATAACCTGACGCTGCCTTACCCCCATATCCCTTAATCCCTTTTGCAGTAAGAAATCTATCTATCTCAGTCTTGAATATGTTCAAGGACTGAGCGTCAACAGCCCTTTGGGGTAGTGAGTTCCATACATTCACTGCCCTTTGAGTGAAGAAGTTCTTCCTCAACTCAGTGCGAAAGGGCTGGCCTCTGATTTTAAGGTTGTGATCCCTGGTTTTAGTTTCTCCAACCGGGGGACACAATCTCCCACTATCTACTCGATCATTGCCCTTTGATGATCTTATAGGTTTCTATAAGATCCCCTCGAATTCTTCTATATTCTAGAGAATATAGGCCCAAATTGGTCAGCCTATCCTCATAACTCAACCCCTTCATCCCTGGTGCTAACCGAGTAAATCTACGCTGCACCCCCTCCAAGGCAAGTACATCCTTCCTTAAATGAGGAGACCAAAACTGCACACAGTATTCCAGGTGTGGTCTCACAGGGCCCTATACAGTTGCAGCAAGAATTCCCGACTCTTATACTCTAATCCTTTCATAATGAATGCTAACATACCGTTTGCCTTCCTAATTGCTGCTGCACCTGCAGACTAACTTTCTGTGATTGGTGTACAAGGACACCCGAGTCCCTCTGGACACTAACACATTCCAATCTCTCCCCTTCTAAACAACAACCCGCTCTACTGTTTTTACTACCTAGGTGGATGACTTCGCACTTCCCTACATTATACTTCAAAAAATACTCTTACCACATTGTTGAGACGTTTTAAAAGCGCTTCACGGGAATTTTATTACAGAGTGTAGTGACTGTGTATTTTTGGCGAACGCGGCAGCCAATTTGCGCATGGCTTCCTCCCGCAAACACCCATGGAGCGAACGACCAATTTCACCTGGGGGATAGTCTATAGGCCAGGATACTAGGATGGCTCATCGAGACTTCTCAAAGCGCTTCACAAGATATAGTGTAAATTGGATTGTTGACGATTGCACCCAGCGGTGTCCCGCAAACAGCCATGGAGTGAGTGAATTTATTTGGGGGATTGTTGGGTCAGGACACTGGGCGAAACAGCGTTGTTAAGTCGACTGACAGATCGCTTTTCCAGCGGTAATGATCCCTCCAAAAACCAAATAATAATAATAATAATCTGGTCACTCAAACCACCACCATGCGCGGGACGCCGCCGTGCTGTGCGAAAATTGGCCGCCGCGTTTCGCCCGCAAAATACGCAGTCACTTCACTTGATAGCACAACTCCCGGGGAGCGCTTCGAGACGGCTCGGAGACGTGATAAGGGGCGGCATCGAATGCCAGGGTTATTATCGTCGTCGTTATTATTATGATCATTCTGTGGCGCTTGAATTTGGTTGGGTGGCCGGTATTTTTTCCCCCCACCCGATCGCTCAGCCCCCTTTTACGCGGTGTCGAAAAGCCTCGCCGCGCGGAGAGACGCGATGAGGCGCGACAGGAAAAGGCAATCATCATCATCATCATCACCATCATTATTATTATTATCATTATTATCAAGGAGTCCTGTAGCTCAGTGGTTAGAGCACTCGCTTTGCAAGCGAGAGACCTGAGTTCAATTCCAGGCAGAGGGCGAAACCTCGGGCAAGTTTCCTTACTCCACACAGAGCCTAACAATAATCCCTCCAAAACCAAAAACAATAATAAATTGGTCATTTTCAATCCACGACTGTTTGTGGGACATTGCTGTGCGCAATTGGCTGCCGCGTTCGCCCACAAATACACAGTCAATTCACTTCACAGTGTGTTCTGTGAAGCGCTTTGGGACGTCCTCCCGACGTGAAAAGCGCTATATCAAATGCGAGGATTAGTATTATTATTATTATTATTATACAGTGGTGGGGGAGGGGAAGGGAGGGGGGGGGGAGGAACCGTCACCGCGCAGGCGCGTGGCCGCAAGGGACGGCGGGATACCGCGCAGTCCTCCCGCCGCCGCCGCCAGCAGCAGCGCGCGGGGAGAGAGAGAGAGTCAGTCAGTCAGTCAGTCAGCGCCTCCCTCCCTCCCGCCCGCCCGCCGGCAGCTCCGGCCGCCATTAAATGACCTGAAAAATAATTATAATCTTTTTTTTCTCTCTCTCTCCTCTCTCTTTTTTTTCCTCTCTCTCTCTCTCTCTCTCTCTCTTTATTCTCTTCTCTCCTGTCTTGTGTGTATTCGAATGCCTTAGGTACCCGAAGGGAAACGGCGGAGAGAAAAGATACATATTAATTGCAACACAGATATATATATATTTCACCTTCACCGAAGAAGAAGAGGAAGACGACGACGAAAAAAAAAAAAAATATATATATATATATCGTCGACGCCCGGAGCGGAGGAAGGAGGAGAGGGCGCGCGGGGCCCGGAGTTACGGTTTTCTTATTTTTTTAAAAAAAAGACCGACCGAGAGAGAGAGAGAGAAAAAAAAAGAGAGAGACATTAAAGCGGGAAGAGAAGAAGGAAGGAAGGAAAGAAGGAAGAAAAGAGGAGTACAGCTATATTTTTGGATTTTTTTTTGAACGATGGCGACGGACGTTATCCAAGTGACCAACGTGTCGCCCAGCGCCACCTCGGAACAGATGAAAACGCTCTTCACTTTCCTGGGTAAAATAGACGAGCTGCGGCTCTTCCCCTCAGAGTGAGTATCTCTCGCTATTCTCTCTCACTCAGTGCATTACATGAATTTAATTTAAAGTACGTGCGAGGCTTTTGTGTGTGTGTGTATGTGTGTCTGCGCGCGCGCGAAAATAAATCGTCTCCAAACTACCAGTCAGGCCTCGTGGCCTCGACGGAATGGGAGGCCTCGACAGACGGATTAAAATAATATCTATAGAGAGAGAGAGAGAGAGCTCTCCATTCCCCCCCTTCTCTCGCTCTTTTTTTTTTGAGGTGAAAAGCGTCTCTTTTGCTGAACCTTTTTTTTAAAAAACAAAACGTAAACCGAGGTTTTTAATCAAATACATAAAACGTGTGTATGTGTGTATATCTCTCTCTGTACGCCAGAGCTTTTTTTTTAAAAAAAAGAGGTTGGAGGTGGTACGTTAAGTCAACTGAACAAAGAGAAGACATTTTATATAATATGTTATATGTGTGTGTGTGTATATATATATATTCTCTCCCCCTCCTCTCTCTCCATAAAAAATGTCGCCTGGTTTCTCTTTGTACAGCTGAGTAACGCGTTGCCTCCTATTGTGTTCGCTGCCTGTTTTTCTTATATTTTTTTAAAGCTCTGGTTTCACACAGGGCTCCCCCTTCTCTTATTAAATACATTTTTTTTAATGTTTCCGTGTTAATTAGGTTATTTAGTGTTAAGAAGGGTAAAAGGAGCATTTTTGTCTCATTTCTCCCCCCCCATCCCTTCCTCTCTCTCCCGTGTGAATTAAAATGGCCGCCACAACTGGAGCTTGTGGCTTCTGGTCGCCACACTCACTGCAAGTCCTTCAACAAGCCGGGGGCTGGGGGTAGGAGAGGCAGGACGATTGGGGGTTAAGACGGGAGGGGAGGGTTAGGAGAGAGGCTTTTGGGGCAAGTGGGGGAAGTGGCAGGAGAGGGAGGTTTGTGGACGAGTGTTGAGGGAGAGATTTTGTGAAGTCAGTAAAACGTATTTGTAAAATGATAAAAAGAATAGTCGAACTGGATTACATAGAGCCTATTTAAGATATGGTGCATCATATCTCTTGCCCACTGCCCACGTCACGTGTCTCTTTTAAAGTGATGGGGCGGGGGTGGGAGAAGTTTATACCTCCACCACCATTTATTTTTGGGAGGGAGGACTGGTTAGATAACGAGATGCGGCTTACAAAAATGATACTGCTTAGACCAATTTTTGCAGGGTTGTGTTTCAGGGCCCAGTTTTTTGTGAACTTGCTCAGTTGTACCGGGCCTCACATAGTGACAAACGTTGAAGATTAGCGCAGGGAGGATGGCGCACAGAATGTGTGAGGTTCAGACATGTTTTCGTGCTTTCAGCCACTATGCCCCAAAACTCAGGAACAATCCCTCTGCCTTGCCCCCTCTCTCTCCTCTTTCAAGTTCCGCTTGAAGACTTTCCTGTTTGACCACACTTACAGACACCTCAGTCAGGCTCCGCTACTGTTAAGAGCTCTGAGGTGCTACCCTGCATGGAGCGTGCTATATAAATGCAAGTTGTTATGTTTATATTTTCTGTGTCCAGAATTCTGTATGTGCGCATACTCCACTTTGAACCTGCACCTGTCCAGATGTGAGATTCCTTTCTGTGTGTGGGGGGGAAGCGGGGAGGGAATCAGTAATGTTAGAATCATAAAAATGGTAGTATGAAATGACCTAAAATGGTGCTAGGTCATTCACCAGAACTTATTGCTGTTTTGTCAATCTGACTGGCAGAATACCACTGGAAAAGGAAGTTGTTACAAAAATCATGCAATTTGGATACTTTGCAATTAATTTTTAAAAATGGATTAAATAAAATTTATTAAATGCATTTTTGGTCAAAACTGGTTGGTGACGATACGTAATGTATTGATGCATTTCTGTTTAAGGAATATATATATACATATATATATGCACACATTATATTTGTCAGATTGGGACAGCTTTTGAGAACTAGCTCATGTCCTACGAAAATCCTTTTGGCCCAGTAAACCTGTGTTGAGTAAAGGTAAATGGATTTTTCATGTCGGGCAAATGGGTGTCAAGACCTCTGAACTTCCCATATTGCGGATTGCAAACTCGAAGAGTGAATTCAAATTCTTTCTAAAGTTGGATATAACAGTAGGTTAATAGAAGACTTGTCCTCTTCTCATGTTCATGCATGCGGCCATTTTAAATATGAGCCGTGTTTATAATAGGGTGTTGACTGAAAAATGTGACCACGTGTTAAGATTATCATAGCAGCACAGTGAGGCAGCTCAGAGCAATGATCCAGTGTTGGGCTTAATTTATTTTAAGAAATGCAGAGAAGGAAAATGGTGCAGGCAAAAAGAGATCAAGACTAGAAGAAATGAGACGAGATGAAATAAATCTTGAGAGAAAATAATTAAGTAAATACAATACAAAATACCAGCATGCTACTAATATGGCTTGTTTGTTACTGTTGTGCATTTCATTATCTTTTAGTAAGAAGAAATGAGATCTTGAGTTGGACAAGTAGGGGTACAAATCTCTTTATTGACAATTTTGCATGTTTCAGCATTTTAATATTAATGGAGTTTGTGTCCAGTGTCCTAATATTTAATTTTTTTAAGTGAGTGACAGCAGGTTAATACTGAGTCATTTGACTGTTGAGAGTGATGGGAGAATATGGAGGGAGTTATCCTGAGGTCACAACTATTGCATTCAAAAATGTAATGCTGTATTCTAATCACAACTGTTATATGTTCAATTCCTTCTCATATTGGAGTACCTATTGAAGTAGATTTGTTATAACATTGATGGACCTAAATAGTTTTTCAATGCATTCTAATAAGCGTGGTAATTCTTCATTACTTTTTTTTGACATTTTCATAACTGTAAATGCAGTACAAAATGCCTGCATGCTAATAATATAACTGGTTTACTTTTTGATGCATTATATTTTTTGATTCAATTCAATGCATCTTGGTGAATATTTTTTTTCATAAGTTAAAAGCAGTTATAGTAGGATATTGCTCTTTGAGGCGTGATCTAATGTTGGCTAACTGAATACTGTGTGTTTGTTAGTGAAACCCAGCCATATTATGTATTTCTGGTATCAGATTTTACACACTGCCACTGGGTATAATTACTCAGTTAGGTGTTCATGCATCAGTTGGGTGTTTGGCTGTCAGTTATTTGCACTCAAAAGCCATTGTGTGCTGGTGTGCCACATTAATCAACTTCATTATACAGTGTATATTGGTCAGGAGTTGAGTAACTTTTCCAAAATTATTTGCCAATCAGGAATTTTAACTGTACATATCTGGTGGTGAAACTTGAAGAGCACATATTGTTCTTAAAGGTTTTGCAGAGTACATGAGAATTGACATCAAGCTGAAACCTGTTTTAAATTCAGTTAGTAAACATACACCGCTGCAGTGCTGAGCCATGGAGCTATTCCTCCTTTTTCCAACTCTTTCCCCTGCAAAGAGAAATAAATCTGTCTGAAATACTGCTTTTTTTTAATTCCCCCCCCCCCCCCCCATTGTTTGGTATCACTCGGAAGTAGGGAAACTGGCCTGTGTTTCATCCCTTCCTACACAGCCTGAAATGTTTGTAATTTTTTCTCTTCTTCCCCACCTACCCCCAAGTTTCCTTGTACCAACCACACACCTTTCCCAACTCAGCGGAAATGGGCTGAAGATGATCTTCCTTTGCCTCCGCTTATGGTGCTAATTATTTATCTAGTTGCGCAGGGGCAGCTGGGGTGTGGTGAGTATTCCTTGTTTTGCTTTCTTCCTTTCCCCTCCACCCATAGTGGGGAAATTGCCTGGTCACTACACAGGAACTTGCATAGGCAATTGAGTGCAGGGCAGAATCCTGCCACTGCATGGGCGAAGTGCTGCTCAGAGACCAGTATGCTACCAAACATAATATGGAACCCTTGAAATATAATTCATTTTCAATTCTTTTATTGTATACCGCTTGCCTTTTAGCATACATCTAATTGTATGCATTGATTCCACATGTTCTAATATATTTTCTCTCCCTCCAGTGAATCGCCCTTGCCGGTGACGTCTCGTGTGTGCTTTGTAAAGTTCCATGAAGCTGACTCTGTGGGAGTGGCGCAACATTTGACAAACACAGTCTTCATTGACAGAGCTCTGATAGTAGTACCATACACAGAAGGTTTGTGTTCTTTTTGCGTGGGTGTTTTTTGGTCCTGTTTAACCTCAGTTGTACCCATCAGTGCATTTTTTCAGTAAATTTGCAATGAAGGAGCATGCTAAGTAAGCATTTTAATGTGCTATTGACACATTGACCCTTGGTATACTGCTCATGAACACACACTACAAAAAAGCAACTTGTTAAAGCTGCAGTATATTTTGAGAAACTAAAGAAACCTGCTATAGCCACCCAACTTTAGTTACAGTTGGTTGGCCACAGAAGGTTTCCTAAAAGAAAGATGGTCTCTTAATGCAGGTTCATATCAATTCATTTGTTGAGTCCTTTTAGGAGAGTTCTCATGGTGCTGGCTGTTTTGGGCCATCTCATTTTTTTTATTTATGTATTAAGATAACTTGTCATCGTTAAGAGGGTGAGGTGTGTTTGTGGATTATAATGCAGATGATTTTTCATGTACATTGGCTAAGTGGATGAACACATTGTAGGAAAATCTAGAATACTCTCCCTTTCATCAAGATTTATAATTTTCACTTGCTCCCCACACCTGCTCGGCACAGAGTTGTATGTTACATAATTGTTTAATGATGGTGATAAATTCAACCGGGGAGGCTGAGTTTAAATAAGTTTCTTTTTAATACACTGTGGCATTAATATTTGCTTGAGATTTTTTCAGATAGGTTTGGGGCAGACCTTGTATTGTAGTTTAATATTGTTCTAAATCAGGACAACAGATATTTGGCTGCAGCCAAACCTTTTAACCATTTAAAATGGAAAGTCATCAGGATTCAAATGAACTTGGAATTTTTTTTAACTACTTAAGTATGGATGTGCATTCAGAAATATATAAGGAGATCCTCAAAGGAATGTTGTCAATGCAGTACACCAAGGGTTGGGATTGGGATTGGGGGGCGGGTCGCTAGTCTAAAAGGGTAATTTTAAAAGCTGGTTGATCCAGCCTTGTATGTCTGCATTTATGAAGGTGGAGTTATCTATTTATAACCATATTGTTTCATAAAAACTCAGAACATCACTCAAAATAATAAATTCTTCTCTCTTGTTATCTGTGTGTGTGATTTTTATAGTGGAGAAGGCAATTGCAGAGCCCCCTTCCCCGATGACTGAAAAAGTGGGTCCTCTGCAGCGACAGGGGATTCTAGGCAATTTACAAAAGGCCAGCAAGCATAAGCGAGACCCCATGTGTTGTCCTGTTGTCCACTTGTTCTTGTTAACTACCTTTTCTCTTCACTGTTTCTATATTTCTAGGCTTTGATGTTATCCATTTTAGATTGTGTGGAGGGAAGGACTCAGCAGATTAAAGAGGGCAGGCTAAAGATGCAATTTATTTAAAGGGATACGGTGCTATAGAGTAGGTAATTTTGGCACAATTTATTGGATTGTATGGGACGAGAAAGCAACTAATGGAAACAATTTGTTGTATGTCAAATTACAACTGGCAATGCATACACAAAACAACAACGTGTGCGTATGCCAAAATGGCCTGCTTTATGGTATCTGCAATTGCACATTATATTACATTTTAAAAAAAAATACTCGCCAGGCTCCAGACAAGTTAGCCATGAGTTAAGATTTTGCTGCAGAATCGCATTAGATAGTTCCGTGTTTTCAAAAATACATAACTTGGTTTAGTGGAATGTAATGTTCACACTTGAGAGCCTTAACACTAACTCAGGTTTCATTAAAGGGAGGTGCCGCCAAAATAAGCTTTTTCGGTGGTAATACTCTCTTCAAAAAAAAATAAAAAATTTGGTCACTTAATCCACAATGGTTTGTGGGACAATGCTGTGCGCAGTTGGCTGCCACGTTTCGGCCACAAAATATAGTCGGTTCACTTTACAATATATTCTGTGAAGTGCTTTGATGCATTGCTTAAGACATGATAAGGCACTATATCAAATGCAAAGATTATTATTGTTATCTCTGATCTTGTTTGTGAAGCTGGGAATGTGTAAATCTTTTGGTACAAGTGATTGAGAAATGGGGAAGAGTATTATTTCGCAGGCAGTTCTTGTGGCATTTATTGTGTGCTTAATAAATGCACACTTAAGTTTCTGACTTTTCTGGAGTCCAAGGCAGAGTTTTTTTTATTTGCATGCTTTAATTTGCGTGTGTGATCAATGCTGTAATGAAGATCTCGATTAGCTGAGTGCAGAAGGAGAAACACGGTAAGCCAGTAATATGCGCAATAACTTGCCGAGCTTGGAAAAAAAAGGGACTTGCAGCATGTCGGACCTCAGTTTACTGGTATACAATGGCTGTCAATTGTCTTTCATTCTTCTGTCTGTTTTCCTTTTCCCTTTTTTCTCCGCTCTCTTTCCCACCCACCCACCTTCCCTTCTATCAAACAAATTCCTCTTTCATCTTAGTATGAACGTCAGAGGTACTTGTGAACTGCGTAGTGAATTTCATAAAATCATCATTTCTTTTAAGAGACGATCGAGCCTTTAGTTTGAGAGTTGGTAGCATCTCAGTGATGTAAACAACCCGGATAAACGCTATGCTAAGTGCATTCTGTTAATTTTATCAGCACCACTCAGTATAGAAAGTGGAACCATTGCCTTTGTTTAACAGTGGTTTTTCTTTTTTTGTTGTTGTGTTTTACAGTTCTTTTCCCTGGTTCAGCCAGACCTATTTACCAGGCCCTGCTGAAAATACCACCCAACAGTTTTGCCTTCTGCAGCTAATCCAGTTTCTCTTAAGTGCCCTTTACTTGTTGTATGTTTTCTTGCTGAGGTGCTACACAGTATCTTTATACATGCAGTGCTGATAATTGCTATTATCTGTAAAAAAAAAGGATAGAAATGCAGTTGGTGTATATATATTTACAGAATGTCACTCTTGATTACGGGGGCATTGGGGCACAGTGGCAAATTGCTATCTAGTAACATTGCAAAAAGAAGTGGTTCACTTACACAAAAAAANGTAGCATTTAATATATAATGAGCAGTATGTTTCAGCTTGTTCATAAATTTCTCCTGTCTAATGGTAAGTTCTAAAACAAGTCATAGTGAACTTTTTCATGATTTTGGTCCCTAAATCATAAACTTTTTTTTTGTCTTGTGTATCTTGATTTTTCTGTGTGCTTTATAGTGAAGCAGCCGACACGAGTCGCTTGTTCATAAAACATCTTTTGAAAAGTTGAGAGCACAACCCCTGGAGAACCGACTGTGCTTGCTTACGTTTGGTTCATGACTAAAAAATCGAGTACAGGTGATAATATCTTGGCAGTGTTACGAACAAAGTAGTGTGTATTGTGATATATATTTATCTTTTTTACTATCGTATATACTGATTTGTAGATTCAGGGCGAAAAAAAGATTGAGATTTACATCTATGACGTTTCGTTCTAAAACTAAAAGGTTTCAGTTGTAATTAGTAAAACATAACTCTATTTTAGCAAGATTTAAGTGTACTTTCTACAAGCTAAGGTGATGAAAGCAGTGAGACCTTGTTTTTTTTTGCTGGGTGTATGTTTGTGTGTTTCTTGACTTGTGTGGATTTGTTCTAATACAGATTTTGATTTTTCTGCAGGAGTCATTCCTGATGAGGCTAAGGCTTTGTCTCTCTTGGCACCGGCTAACGCTGTGGCAGGTTTGCTGCCTGGAGCAGGACTTTTACCCACACCAAATCCACTGACATCAGTAAGTAAAGGCTTCTCTACATATCGTGCTTTTTTTAAAATAGAGTGGTTCTGATAGGGCAAGGGCGGGCGTTCAGGGTGAGGAGCTAATCAAGTTGTATGGAGTCCTATAGTGTTGTTAGAGCACTCGACCCGCAGACAAGGGGACCCGGGGTGAAACCTTAGTCAAGTTTTCTTACTTCACACATCTCTGTTTACCTCGCAGTAAGTAGGAACCAGGTTGTTAGTCGATTGGCAGATCACTTCTCCGGGGGTACTAATCCCTTACAAAAATAATAATTGATCATGACTGTTTGTGGAACACTGCTGAGCGCAATTTCTGCCACGTTTCATCCACAAAATATACAGTCATTTCACTTTATAGTGTATTCTGTGAAGCGCTTTGACAAGTCTTGCAGATGTGACAAGGAGCTATATCGAATGCAAGGATAAGGGAAAGGTGATCTGGGTTTAATGTGGATGGACATTAGTATTCAACTGCAAAACCAAAAACAATAATAAATTGGTCATTTTCAATCTACAAGAGTTTGTGGGACATTGCTGTGCGCAATTGGCTGCCACGTTCGCCCACAAATATACAGTCAATTCACTTTACAGTGTGTTCTGTGAAGCGCTTTGGGATGTCCTCCCGACGTGAAAAGCGCTATATCAAATGCAAGGATTATTATTATTGTTGGAGGGATTATTATTAGGCTCTGTGTGGAGTAAGGAAACTTGCCCAAGGTTTCGCCCTCTGCCTGGAATTAAACTCAAGTCTCTCGCTTGAAAAGCGAGTGCTCTAACCACTGAGCTACAGGACTCCACGAGTCAAACGCCCACAAGTTAAACTATTGGGCGTGCAAGGATATTGTCACTCGATTAGAATAGTCTCGCCGTAGAGAAATGTTCGTTGACAAATGTTTATTGATACAATTGCTGACTTCTGTCTGCTTTGGGGAATAAATGATATTTTGCCCATTTATTGCAGCAATTTCTACTAAATTTGCAGAATATTAATTCAAGATATTCTGCAGTCACTGCTTTTCAATGAACTAAATCCAAGCCACTCATGAAGTGCCTTTGCTCAAACTCCCTGTAATCTAAACTCCAAGTCATGCATTTATTTGTATGTTCTATAATTTGGTGTCTTCTAGTGCATTCCGTTACAGATGGGTTGATTGGAATTAGATGCGATTTCAGGTTGAATTTGATCTGTAGTTAATTAATTTCCTTGAGCATTTGAGGGAATAGGAAGTCATCCAAATTGACTGAAGTGGTAATACTGTATCAATAGATTGTGGGTATGTTTTATGTTCACCCGTCAGGCATCAAACCCCACTGCCCTGCGTTTGCGTCATAGCTCATCCAGAACTCTGCAGCTCGTATCCTCTCCCGCTCCAGGCTCCGTGACCCCATCATCCCCACCCTCGCCCAGCTCCAATGGCTCCCCATCCCCCAGAGGATAGAGTTCGAAATCCTTGTTCTTGCCTTGAAGACTCTCAACAGCCTTGCCCCTCCCTACCTCTGCAACCTGCTGACCCCATATCAACCTGTCTGCTCCCCCTGTTCAGGAGGCTCTAGACTGCTCCATGTCCCTTGTCCTGCCTACCCCATCATCGGCAGCCGGGCTTTCTGCCTCCATCCCACATTCCCTTTGCCTCAGTTCCTCCTTTGCCTCCTTCAAGGCGCATCTCAAAATCCTTCGGCCACCCTTCCTGCCCTATCCTGACCCCCAGCCTGACTGACAGTCCAGTGCCTTGTGACGATCTCCCAACGTGAAAGACGCTATAAAAATGTAATCTTGTATTGTATAGCAGTTCAGCAAATACATACCTAAAACTCCTAATAAAAGTGAAAACTATTAGAATGATAGAAAAATAAAATAAACAATAGAAAAGTTATTTCACCCATAAGATAGAAAGTCAATTCACTTTAGAGTATATTCTGTGAAGAACTTAAGAGATGTCTCGATGACGCGATAAAGTGCAAGTAGTATTATTATTATTATTCCATCATTTCCATTACAATTCTGTACAGTTAAATATTTTAGGGATTTGTCTTTTTTAACCAGCTGGCCGGTGTGCCTTTGGCTGCTACACTGGGAAATGTTAATCCTGGGCTCGACCCTACCCTTGCTGCTCTCGGACTGCCAGGATCCAACTTGAATTCACAGGTAAGTAGCGGCTTTACTAACCCCCCCCCCCCCCCTTCTCTCTCTTTAATTTCACCTGAATAAAGCCCGTCTTTGACAGCGCCTGTTGCCACTCCCTCCGCCTCCGCCCTTGCTTTGGCATCAGTCCTCGTCTTAAACTTTGCATGATGCATTGTAATGTGACCACCATCCACCCCTCCTAATTCCAAGTCCCTGATGTGAAAGCCGCTATGCAAATGTAATTTGTTGTTGTGAAGGTCGCTGTGAAAATGTAGAATTTGTTTTCTTTGCATTGGGGTGTTTGGCAACAATAAGGACTTGCATTTATACAGCACCTTCGGCTTTAAACAAAATTTCCAGAAGCACTTTACCAACTAAAATCCCTTAGTGATTAAGTGAATCTCAATACACAGGCACACTCCGACAAAGACAGGCAACGCCGGATAAACCATATTGAAATAAACACACTTTTAATTAGAGGTAAATTTGGGGATAAAGAGGGATAGATGTATAAGCCAGAATACCTGGAGAAAATCTCCCAAGTGAAGTCGTTTTGACAATTGCTGCTTTTTAATAGGCACATCATTGTTCCTTCTCTTAGGTTACAGCGGATCAGCTTCTAAAACTCATCACTCAAGTTGATCCAAAGTAAGTTACCTACACGTTTGCTTCTTTGAGGTGAGAGTGGGCATTAAATGTTATCTCTGCAAACCAGTCATGAGTTGGATAGTTCATTGTGTAGGTCATTTAGGACACTTGACCTGATCTGTTCTGTCAAACTTTTAGATGTGGTGTGGGCTTCATTCAGGACAATAATATTTTGATTAGACTGGAGCAGTTTTGATGGCAATGATGTTATGCAACTCGATGAGGTGGTTGTAGATGGCCAACCAGCTATATGGATTTTGCTCCAGTGCCCTTCTTACCAGAAGCTGTTTTTTCCCCTTAATTATGTAATAAATTAACTGATTGTCCAGCGCCTTGGGACATCCTCCCGACGTGAAAGGCGCTATACAAATATAATTTTGTTGTAATCACAATGTAATAACATCTAATATTCTAGTGAAGAGGCTGCTTTTGGCTTAAAATAAGGCTGATTGAGACCCAAACAGATTTATTACATCTTCAACATAAGGTCAGTTGGTCTCGGAGATGCTACCCTGTGTGGAGGGCACTATATAAAGTGCAAGTTGTTGTTGGTCAAGGACTGTTTGCTGACCAAACTGCTGGGCAAGTCTTGTCCTGTGGCTCAGCTGTAATGCTACTTCAGCAAGAAGTGATGTGGGTGCCAGTGTGAGGTTTCACTCCCCAGGAGATGCACAATGTCTCATTTCATCATTAAAAAGAGTGGAATAGAAACACAAGCGGGGTGTGCTCACTGGTGTACAGCTAGTAGTGGCTTTTGCTGGAGGACAGGATAGCTCCTTATTGTTTGCCCCAAAACTGGTTAGGGAAGTTTCTTCTTGAATAGTTTCCATTTTATTTAGGGAAGTTTCTTGTTGAGTTAGATGGAAGGACCGTTTTCTCAAGTATTTATTTATGGAAGTAAAAACTTTGGGATAAGCCTTTTGCTAATGGATGGGTTCATTGAATTCAAGCCATTCTTGCATAAGCAATAGACAGTGTGTGGGCATGTGCTGCCAATAGATAGCAGAGTAATCTGCGTGTTTAGAATCAAATGGGCTTTTGTGCCGGTGACTCATGCTGCTGGGCTGGGAGTTGTTTACTTTTTTGGCACATTTGTGTATGAATGAATATATCAGTAGTTCTACAATTTTTTTTCCATCAACAAAATCAATATTAAATACATAGGAATAATCTTCTGGCCTTTTGTGGTAAGTGTTTATGCTGAAGGGTCTGTGCGATCTTTCTCCAGGTTAAACCATGCTGCTGGCACCATCGTGAGTCCAGCTCTCAAGTCTGACACCTCCTCGAAGGACATTGAAGAAGCAATGAAGAGAGTCAAAGAAGCACAGTCACTGATCTCAGCAGCCATAGAGACAGGTATTGCATCCACCTTGATGTAACTTCCATTCACACAACGATTTGTATTAAAGGGGTAATATTGAGCTGAAATAGTGGGGTAAACACTTTATAAATCACTGGTACGACCGCACTTGGAATACTGCGTGCAACATAAAAAGGATATTGCAGCAATTGAGAGGAAACGGAGTTCAACCAAAATGATTGAGGGGATAGAGGGACCAGATTACCAGGAGCGATTAGATGAACTGGGCATGTTCACACTGGAGAAGGGAAGGTTGAGGTGATATGATTACAGTCTTTAAGATTCTAAAAGGAACAGATAATGTGGACCATAATAAGCTATTTTATCTTGTACTGTAGTACTGTACTGTAGTATCTCGAGTCCTGTAGCTCAGTGGTTAGAGCACTCGCTTTGCCAATGAGAGACCTGAGTTCAATTCCAGGCATAGGGCGAAACCTTGGGCAAGTTTCCTTACTCCACACAGAGCCTAATAATAATCCCTCCAAAACCAAAAACAATAATAAATTGGGTAATTTTCAATCTACGACTGTTTGTGGGACATTGTTGTGCGCAATTGGCTGCCGCGTTCGCCCACAAATATACAGTCAATTCACTTTACAGTGTGTTCTGTGAAGAGCTTTGGGACGTCCTCCCGACGTGAAAAGCGCTACATCAAATGCAAGGATTATTATTATTATTACTGAACAGTAGAACCGGAGGACACGGCCTGCGATTGAAGGGCGGTGCAAATTCATTACAAATCTGCGGAAACACTACAGTGAGCGAGTAGTAAACATGTGGAACACGCTCCCTAGGGACAGTGGAAGCCGAAAGTTGTTTATTTCAAGAACAGATTAGATAAATTTCTGCTAGAGAATAATATCTTGGGATACAGTATATATAGTTTGGGACATAACGTGTCATGTTAAAGTGAATGGCGGGATGGTGGAAGGTGAACGGGATGGATCCTGGTCTTCGACCGCTTAGCAAATTTCTATGTTCCTATTTTGATGCTGCGTCACTGTGCCTCACCTTAATTGGGTCAGTGTTCATAAATGTCTGCTTTTATGATTCAGACAAAAAGGAGGAGAAAAGGAAGCACTCGAGATCCAGATCGCGTTCACGCAGGCGAAGGACTCGGTCCCGATCAAGACACAGGTAAGATCCAGAGTTACCTTGTCCTCATTCAGTGAAGGCGTGAGGTTTTACACAACTCTTGTGGCCTTCACATTAAGTTGAGTAACCAGAGCAGTGTCTGGATGATAGTTTCAAAGATGTTGTAGCAGTAAGCATTATTATTATTTAGGTCGGGAAGACATTTCGAGTTGCTGGCCAGTCTAGAGTTTGCAGTACAGTAATAATTTTTGCATTTAATATAGCGCCTTATCACAATGTTGCGATGTCTCAAAGCACTTTGCAGAATGTATTATGTGAATTGAAATTGACTGTACATAATGTGGGTGAAATGCGGCCACCAATTACGGACGGCAGTGTCCCACAAACAGTTGTAGATCAAGTGACCATATTTTTGAAGGTTTTTTTATTATTTTCAAATCCCATCATGAATTGATCCATTCAATGAAACTTTTCAGTAATGAGGAAAAGCTTTTATTAAGTGGATAATAATAATCCTTGCATTTAATATAGCGCTTTTCACATCTTTGAGACGTCTCAAAGCGCTTCACAGAATATACTGCAAAGTGTATTGACTGTATATATTTGTGGGCGAAACTTGGCAGCCAATTGTGCACAGCAGTGTCCCACAAACAGTCGTGGATTGCGTGACCATATTATTTTTTTCTTGAAGGATTATTATTGTTTTTTCCTCATTGTTTTCTGTTCCTGGTCATGATGCAGTATTGCCAGTATTACCCTTTGTTTGCACGGCCTGTGAATGTTTTAGAATCTGTTTGCATAATTTATTGTATGTTTCTCAAGTGATTAAATATTGATGTGGTTTATTGAAACAATTAAAGATTCAGCAACACAGCATAAAGCAATGTTTGGGGACATGGAGTAATTAACGTTCATGGGCATAACCACACAATGCTTTTCCCAGGCGTTCTAGGAGCAGGTCTAGACGTCGTTCACACTCGAAGTCCAGGAGCAGACGGCGATCACGAAGCCCGAGGCGACGGAGGTCCCGTTCCAGGGAACGGAGGAGATCCCGAAGCATATCCAAACCTAGGTCTGCTCTCTCTGTTTCTTTCTCTCCCCATCCCTATCTCCTCTCCCCGTTCCCCCCTTTCTATCTCACTTCTCTTCTCCCCTCTCCCCCATCTCCTCCCATTCCCCCCCCCCACTTACTCTCACCATCTCATATTAAGCAAAAATTATGTTACGTTGACTAGATTGACGATTGTGGCAATATGGTTCATTTTCACATGTGTGCATTTTTGCTAAGTGTGAATTCTCTGTTTCTTAGGGAGAAAAAGAAGGAGGAAAAGAAAAGATCCAAAACTCCCCCCAAAAGCTACAGCACAACCAGACGCTCCCGGAGCACAAGCAGGTACAGCTGCTCCTGGAGGGTGGGGGGGAGAAAGGCAGAGAGCAAAGAGGCGGGGGAGGAGGAATCCTAAATAAAATAATAATAATCCTTGCATTTGATAATAGCACTTTATCATATTGACAACGTCTCAAAGTGATCACAGAATATACTGTAAAGTATATTTGTGGGCAAAATATGGCGGCCAATTGCGCACAGCATTGTCCCAACAGACAGTTGTGTGTTGCGTGACCAAATTATTATTACAACCAGGTTCCTACTTACTCCTAGGTAAACAGAGTAAGGAAACTTGCCCAATGTTTCGCCCTGCTTTTTTTTTACCCGAGAGACCAGGGAATAGCGGCTGACAGATTATTATCCTGTGGTGGTGTGGAGGCCTTGCAGTGAGCCTGTGGGAGAGTGGTTTAAATGATTGTTCAAGCCAACTTCGTAAACTTTTGTGATCAATCCATTCTCTTGGAAGCAGTCTCTTGTACTCTCCTCCGGTGAGAGCTTCCGTGTAGTAACAAAAATAATAATAAATCAGCCTTGCATTTGATATAGTGCTTTAATCACATCTTTGAGATGTCGCAAAGTACTTCAGACTATGCTGTAATATGAATTGACTGTCTTATTTTGTGGCCGCATCACCACAGCAGTGTACCACTCTATTGTAGCAGTGCAATTCCTTTTCAGTGAAAGTGATAATGACTGGAGCTTTGAGACTGTTCCCAGTTCAGCTCCCCATATTTTCTATGTAAAACCTGAATTCAGTTGCTTTTGGCCAACTCCAAACAGTTCCAAGTAAAATAGTTCCAGATCGTATCTGATCAACTGTTTTTAATTTTTTTTTAAACGGGGGAGAAAAGTCAGGGTATAGTCTAGGATTCCCTGCTGGGTGATTGCTTAGTTACTGTTTAATTTTCATGTGAAGTTTCCCCATTGGCTTTGGCAGAGAGCGAAGGCGGAGAAGAAGCCGGAGTATCTCCAGGTCCCCGAAGAAATCACGGTCACCAAAGCGTAAACTGTCCCGGTCACCGTCTCCCCGAAGGTAATTGGCACCATTATTCTTGTATTATTGGTGTCTTTTATTAAACTTCCTTGTGGTTTCCGGTGGCAGGCTGCCTGGTTTCTATTCTGCTGCAAATCGGCGTTTGGTATTCATTGGTATTAGAGTCCGGCATTGGTCACAAATGCCAAGTTGGTAACATTTCAAAAAGGGCTGAGCAGTGTAAACCCCACACTGGAGGATCACTGTCTAAATGTCCACCAACTCCACTGGAAGCCGGGTTTGAATCGAGATGGAGATTGATTATCCTTACATGTTTAATCCAGAGCCTTTCACGTCTGGAGGGTGTCTCAAAAGTGCTTCGTGGGATTTGTGTAAAGTGTAGTCACTGTGCATTTTGGAGGTGAACAATACAGCTAGTTTGCAGTTTGTGTCTGACACTTAATTTCACGATCCTCGCACTTGTTTTCAAATCCGTTTATGCCCTGGCACCTCCCTACCTCTCTGACCTGCTCACCCATTGCCTCATCCTTGTCCCTCGTGCGCTCCGTTCCACCATTGGTGGCCGTGCTTTCTAACCCATCAAAACTCTGCAACCCTCCCTCTGCCTTGCCCCTCTTTGACCATGCCTGCGACTCAGCGTTGAAAGTGCCCTGGGACACTACCCCGCGTGAGGGGCCCTGTGTAAATGCAACTTGTAGTTGTTCTGCGGCTCTTGTGCCAAGCGTTGGTGCTCCTCTTTACTGTGCATCTCTGACCTGATTTGTGTTGAGCTGATGTTGGCCTGCTCTGACCTGGAAGCTGTCGATGTTTTGCAAACTCGGGGCATTTCCGTCTTTCAGGCACAAGAAAGAAAAGAAGAAGGACAAAGACCGAGACCGGAGCAGGGACGCGGATGAGAGGGAACGATCCACTAGCAAAAAGAAGAAGAGCAAAGACAAAGAGCGAGAGAAGGAAAGGGAAAAAAAGGCAGAGAGTGAAAAGGGAGATGTAAAGGTAAACTTGGAAATGTAGAGTTAATAGTAGCAACAAAAAAAAACATGTAAAATCTCTACATTTCTGTCCCAGTTTTGCCGTAGTGCACGTGTACGTTAGCTAGCTGAATAGGAACTATTACTGCAGCTACAATATTAACTAAGGTGATTCCATGCGGATTGACCTGTCCCATTATTGTACTTGGAGCAATATTCAACCTTTCCTATTCATACAGGTTACAAGAGATTATGATGAAGAGGAACAAGGCTACGACAGTGAAAAAGAGAGAAAGGAGGAGCGGAGGAGGGGTTCTGACTCGGGGATGTCACCTAAACTGAAAGAGTTAGCGCAAGGAAGTGATAAGGCCAACACAGAGAGTGGAAGAGAATCAAAGGTCAATGGTGACGACCATCATGAGGAAGACATGGACATGAGTGAATAAATTTAGTAGGAGCTGATTTATATATTCCTAATGTCAAGTGATTCTCTTTTTAGCAGTGCTTTCTCTCTCTCTCTCTCTCTGTCGGGATTAAAGTGTCGCTCGCCCTTCCTTCTATTATATTTTCTACAGTTACAGAAGGCGGTGGCACTGACATCTACATGCCTTGTTTGACACAGTTTGTGTAAGAGGGTGGACAGGCGACTTGGTTCAGGAATATCGACAGAGTTTCTGGTAACATCGGTTTGGTGTGACAGGAAAAGAAGGCTTTTCTGAAATGTTTAATGCAGGGATATATATCCTTTTTTTTGATAAGAATAGGAACCTCAGTCGTGTAATTTGTCTGGAGAATCCACCAATACTGATGTAGATAGTTATCTATCCTCAGCCTTGTGATCTTAGAGATTGAGTTAATGTAGTTCCTGTTTCTTTGGCTTTTCTTAGTTAAGTGGCGTTTTGTCTGCTTTTTGTATGTAGCTCTACTGGATAATGTACTTCAATATTCCCTGATTACTCGTGTTATCGCCTGCCCACTGCTCTCTCAAACCCCCAGGGCAAGTGCACAAACTGGACTTCACGTACAAAATATTGAGGCAAAATTAGTTTTCTTTTCCTGGATACTGGCAAGTTACGAAAATGTCTTTGTCAGTTTGTAGTGGGCTGCAGTAAGTGCCATGGTCTTGTACAGTTTGACAATGAATTTCTGTTTTACATGTGGACAGCTTTGATAATAAAAGCTATTTTAAAAGCCTTGTTCAGAGGATTCTGCTTGTTCATTTTCGTCAAGCTGTTTTTTAGCTAGATCTCCGCACGCAGAGTGTTGGATGTTTTGACAAAAAAAAAAGGCCCGAGTTAAAATGTAAGAGACGTTTTGTGATACAAGATTAATTGTAGAAACTGCTGTGAAAGATGAATTGAACAATTTTCATGTTTAAAACCAGTTATAAATAAAGGTTTTTGTTTTAATGGATTTGATTTTCCTCCTGCTCCTGTTTTGTTGACTTCTATTGATACAGACGCTCAGCAAAGATGGCTGTGCTCCAGGCACCCCTGCCAGCCAAGGGAAACTAGACCTCCATCCCAGTCCCTTTCCCTTGCTCCCCCCCCCACTGTCTCCTTCAAGGCCAGTCTCTCAGACCGCCCCTCAGTCACGCTCCTACCCCAATCCTCCCTGCCCTCCACCCGACTGTCCAGTGCTTTTTGGACATCTTCCTGGCGTGAAAGGTGGCTGTAAAATGTAATTTGTTGTTTCTGTCCACATGTGGTACAGCAGAAGCTTTGAGCTACAGCTCTCGGGTAAAGCACGTCAGGAGACATACCAGGAATTTACACCTCCAAACGTCCTCCCTCGAAAGTTATGTTCATTAGTAATTTATACACGTCGGCTCTTTGGAGGTTTTAACAGTAGTGCATTGAATTGAGCCCTACAGCCATAGGGAGCCCACCCTCCCACATTTTAGGATTTACAGTTGGGGGGTCAAGTGCGACCAGTCTTGGGTTTCCTTAGACTTGCAGCTGTAGTTATGATTTACCGATTGATCTGTGAATTGTTTACACACCAGCCATAAACTGTCTGTAATTCATTTGAGCTGCATCAAACTTTAGCAGCGGCCAAGACCCTTCACTAATCCTTCCAGGTGATCAGGATATACTGTAGAATGCAGTGACCATTTTGTATGAAAAGAATGTCCCCCACACACACGGTCCGTGACTAGGAGTGACTGATTTTATCTGGAGGTTGGTGGGCCAGGATACCTGTAGAAACTTAACATAATGAGCCTTGGGACGTCGTCCTGATGTGAATGGCACTGCACAAATGTAATGCTGTTGTAACGGTGCTATAACCACTATTATTGACCACATATTTCAGTACTGAAAGAGAATTTGAACACCAAAAATAAAAAGGATAATCAGATTATTTATTCCAATATAGTGTTATGAAATAAACTGTACATTGTCACAGACTGATTTATATTATCCAGCCTCAAAAAAATTGACAGGATTAGGACTTGCAGTTCAACATAAATCACAAAGCATTCAGAATGACCTGTGGGTGTTTGGATTCTGACAGCAACGATGCAACTGGTGATTTTTTAAAAAAGTTTCCACTCTGCATGCGAGAAAGTGTGTGTGAGTGAGGTGAGCAACACAATTTGAGATCTGTGAACCAAAGAAGGAAAAATACAAGACTACAATAGAGTGCTAATTCGATTAAAAAACAATCAAACAGCCGACACTTACAACCCTCAGACAACCATGACATTGCAAGTGCAGTTTTGCGTTGTAAAAATAGTATTGTTTGTGTGGGAGGGAGACTGGTTTGGAAGGGACGCTGTGTAAATGTAAGTTGTTTCACTGGGGGGGGGGAGGTGTTTGCAAAATTGCTTCAGAAAAAGGTCCCGAGAGGCTTTGCCAAAAGATTAGCGGTGGGAGAAGTGGGGGTAGGAAGGTGTCAGACAGAGACAGATCGGTACACTGACTACATTTTATTGGATTGATTGCAATAAAACGTGCAATCGATTGGATCGTGTGCTAAAAGTGGTAATCAGGTTAAATTTTGCTTACCAACAGAACCTCATTTACTGCACCTCCCCTCCCCCAAATATCTACCACCGTCACCCCAAACTCAGGCCCTCCCTGACCTACTTCCACAGTTGAGAAGCCGGTGGGTCTCTCATTACTCTGGATAATCAGATGCCACAATCAACTTTCCTTTGCCAACTCACTGGCCAAACAAGTTCCCGATGTTGCTTTATACCGAACCAGTGGGTGGAGGGCGAGTGCTCCAGTTGCCATTTTCTCTGCCTGAAGGGAAGTTACCAGATCACAAGAGGGTGTCAGACGTGTGATCTCATGCTTCCAGAATACTCCCCAACCACAAGTCTCTTTTTCTACGCCTTTTTTTTTAAAACCATTTCTTTGCCGTTACAAGTTGGTTCCTAAAACACCCGGCGTCAACTGGATTTGGGGTTCAGTTCCCTTCACTCAGCCCTAAACTCAGACAAAATGGGTTTCAGAGATAGTTTGGGACGTGACGTATCAAGTGACTGTCAGGGCAGTGGAAGGTGAACTCGATGGACCTCGGTCGTTTGTTCAGCAAATTCTTAACGCTCTTATAATTAGGAAAATACAAAAACAGACATTAAAAACTAGAAAAGTCAGTTAATAACTGGTGAATCATCAGGAACAGACTGTTTTAATGCGGATTTCTCCAGCTGTATAAACGGCAGCGAACGGGTTCTTTGGAGTGAAGATTATTGTGTAAATGAGGTTCCCTTCCCTGAGGTAGGGGATTCTCAAATCAAATCAAAAAAAATAATTTTCTAAAATTATGAAATGCTTATATCACTTGGGCCTCTCTGAGGCTTTTGTCTCTCAATATTCTTATGTGTGTGAGAGGGGAAAAGGGAAGAAATGTTACCTTTCACTGCGAGACTCTTAACTCGTGAAGCATGAATGCTGAAGGAGAGTGAGCAGCCATGAACAAAAATGACCTGCTTACGAGTATGGAATGTTGTGCAACTTGGCTCCCCCTCCCCTCTCACTCGGAAAGCCCTTACAGACACGTTAAACATAGTTTAAACACAAGCATTAAACGTTAAGGAGGATGGATTGTAAGGGAAACATTTATTTGTGTGGCTATATACAGTGCATTAATAACCAAAATCAAGAAGATTGCCCATTCACTTAAATAGTGTTTAGCTGAGTGGGTGAGTGGGGTGCAGATAGACCTCACTGGGGGGCGTGGGGGGGGATTAGTATTAGGTTTTTCTTTTTAAAAAAAAGTTCATCGCTAGAGAAAAAAATTACTGTTTAAAAAAACAAAAATGTGCAGGTGTTGAATTCTGAGTGTGAACGATGTTTGGATCAGCTGCAGAGTAGCTGTGTATTTGAGAACTCTTTTGGGGGAGCGGAGTGGAGGGGGGGGTAGAGGGCAGACATAGTAATAGGAGTAGGCCATTCAGTCCCTCCAGCCTGTTCCCCCATTCCATTAGATCATGGCTGACCTGTAACTCAACCTCAATTTACCCGCCTTTGCCCCATATCCCTTAATACCTAACAAATATCTATCCACCTCAGTCTTGAAAGTTGGGAAGAGGGAAGATATCTCAGGATACAGTATATAGTTTGGGACACGACATGTCAAGCGACTGCCAGGATAGCGGAAGCTGAACTAGTTGGACCTGGGTCTTCTTTCGTCGAGCAAATTCTTACGTCCTTATACAGACTGACTGGATATTGGAAAGGGGAGAAAGGAAAGGAAATCACTGTCAAGCATTGGCTAAACAAACGCAGAACTACACTACAGCTGAGCAGACTGAGGGAGTCTCACTGGAAGCACCATGCAATTCCAGGTGAAGCGGTGGGACATTTCCACCGTCACACGAATGAGGTGGGCGGTGGTGGGGGGGGGGGGGGGGGGAATCTTGCAGCGTGACACACCCTCACTTCTATAATAATAATCCTTGCATTTGATATAGTGCCTTATCACATCTTTGAGACATCTCAAAAAGCACTTCACTGTATATTTAGTGCATTTTGTGGGAGAAATGTAACAGCCAATTGTGCACAGCGGTGTCCCACAAACAGTTGTGGACTGAGTGACCAAATCATTTTTTTTATTGACGGGATTATTACTCCCGCAAAAGCGATCCACCAATCAATTAACGACCGGGTTCCTACTCACTGTTAGGTAAACAGAGGCGTGTGGAGTAATGAAACTCGTGCTGCCTGGGAATCGAACCCAGCTCCTCTCGCTTGTCAGGCGAGTGGTCTAACTCTTACACTACAGGTCTCCACTCTACAACACAACTGCAGGAATACTCCGGAATTATTTTTTTTTGAAACGGAAACACTAATCGATCTTAGAATCAAAGTGAAAGCCCTTTGGCCGTAGCAGAGCATCGAGCTGCCAGCCGGCCGAGGCCACATCACCTCTTCAGAACCTCGCCTCTCTCTCTCCTTTCCCTGCCATCAGTCACACAAACCAATAATAATCCTTGCATTTGATATCGGCCTTATCAAGTCTTTGAGACGTCTCAAAGCGCTTCACTGTAAAGTGAATCAACTATATTTTTGTGGGCGAAACACAGCCGCCAATTGTGCTGAGCAAGTGTCCCGCAAACAGTTGTGGATTGTGTGACCATTTTTGTGATGTAGCACTTTCAAGACATTGACTTTGTTTTTTTTGGAGGGAGGGAGGGAGGGAGCAGTGGTTTTAAAAACCTTTATAAGACATTTAAAATGTGGACAGCAAAAAAAAAATCTTAATAATAGCAAGGGTTGCAAGTATATTTTGAAACGGTAAGAGTTTACCAATTCAGGATTATATTAATAGAACAAATTAATTCTTTTAAAATCTACTTTTCTTAAAAAGTATTCAACTGTGGGTTTGCTCTCTCTTTCGCATTTAGCCCAATATTTGGAGGTTAACGTTAACTAGAGCAAAATGCCGTCTAATATTCTAACGACCGAAAAAATGATTTAATCATAGATACATTTTTTTTTGTATGTACATTTTTTTTCCCCATGTCGAAAAAAAAGAGACTGCAATTGATTCTGTAAAAAGGGAGATTTTGCAAATAGGACGTATGGAATTTAAGGTGAGGAGTTTAATAAACGGATTTGTTCAAACCAAGAAAAAAAAGTGGTAAAAGTCCATCTGTTAAGACTTCCCAATCCTTCCACTGAGGAATGTTCCAGAGTTTACGGGAGTAATCTCTCTGTACCGATCGTGAAGGAAGAAAGTTCTGTTCCCGACGTGGTTCGCGTCTCTCCCACACAGGCCTGAGGAGGATCAAAGTTCAGGGAACCTGCTGGGATCTTCTCTATAGTCACTTGGAATACTGAAGATGGACTCGTCAAATCCATCATATCGGAATTCCTGAAACGTCACAGTGGCAGTGATGGTCGGAAACACAGGGATGTCTGCGCAGAGAAACCAGAATCAGTTAGACACACAGTGCATGCCAATAATAATAATCCCCGTGTTTGATAGACGTCTCAAAGTGCTTCACAGAATATATAAATATCATAGAATATATATTGTAAAGAATATGTTTCGCCCACAAAATACAGTCACTACACTTCAGAGGTGCTGTGTATCCTGTGAAGCGCTTTGAGAAGTCTCAATGATGATAATGCATTATATCAAATGCAAGGATTATGATTATTATTAATATATTGTAAAGTGAAATGCCTGTATAGTATTATTACAGCAACTCAGACACAGCTTCACTGTTTAATCACATCTTAAATTACTTCAGGATTAGTGAAATAAATAACATTTAGAACATTTCAAGATTTTTATGGAAATTTGTGGGAAATAAATTCCCTTCCCCTCCGTGTGTGTGTCGGACACCCAGCTCCTCCCCTCTACTAAAGTATGCTGCTTACCTAGTTTAACAGGGAATCCTGGTGGAAGCTTCATCTGAACAAATTCTCTGAGTTTATTAAAGTGCTTGAAGGGTGCTATGACCTCTAAAACATTCAGTAACCTGGGCAGTAAGGAACAAAAAGAAAAACAGCAAATCAGAACACACAATGCAGACAACACAGACAGTTTAATACGTGCCCACACATCTAACAATATTAATAATAATCCTTGCATTTGATATAGCGCCTTATCAAGTCATTGATAGTCTCAAAGCGCTTCACAGGATGCATTGTCAATGAATTGACTGTATACTTTGTGGATGAGACGCAGTGGCCAATTGCGCCCAACAGTGTCTCACAAACAGTCGTGGATTGAGTGACCAAATTACGATTTTTTTTTTGAAGGGATTATTACCCGCGGAAAGCAAACCGCCAACCAGGTTCCTACTTACTGCCAGGTAAACAGAGTTTTGCCCGGCCCAGGGATCGAACCCGGGTCCTCTCGCTTGCAAGGCGAGTGCTCTAGTCAAGAGATGGGAAAGCTGAACAAGGCCTTTCAAATCATGAAGGGTTTTAATAGTTAGGGGATTGGGGCAGGGATTCTCCCCACTCGGCTCCCGTTAATCCTGCAAGCAATGTGTTTTACACAAGGAGCTGTCAGGATGTGGAACACCCTGCTGGATGCAGTGATCGTTTAGCTTTCAAGAGGAAACCAGACAGATACGGGAAAATCAGTCCTTTGCAAGAGTATGTCTGCTGTCTGGCAAGCTTCCTGCTGTTCGTCCAGCTCAAACACATTAATCCTAACCAAACCATTAGGGCTTTGCAGGGTCAACAGGAGCTGAGTGGGATAACTCCCTGCCCCCAGTGACTGGTCTCCTGCCATTGAGCCAGGCTGTCCCGTCATCAGTAGTGCCCTGGAATACTGCAGACCCATGTGGCTCATGAACCGAACTAGACCGCCACAGAGGGCTGGCCCGATTACGACATTCCATTGCCAGGCAGGTTATCCTGGAGCCAGTTCATTTCCAAGGAGACCCCTCTTCATCCCCCACGCCCGGAAGATAGGAGAGAGGTGGGGGGGGAAGCGTTAATTGACCTCTGTGCGTCAATGGACTGAACTTTCTTTGCTAACAGCTCAATTGGGAACCAATACTGGAAAGACTCCCCATGTGGGTACTTACGAATCGATGCCGAGAGGAAACTCCTGGCTCATGGCTATGGTGGCTTTGAAGGTTTTCTTGCTCTCTTTGCACACCAGCTCTCTTCCAAGGTGAGGAGCTCTGTCATTCAACCAGATTTACAGTATGAACACAACCAGTCTGATGTCAATAGCTACATTCGAAGTACTCTGTTTATCAGAAGAATCCTTGCAACATCCTCTTTAACATCTCAGAGTAATTCACACATCATTGCCAACAAGTGTAGTGACTGTATTCTAGGTTTCACAAAAGGCATGCAGTGAAAAAGCAGTTTATCTGGAGGATTGTCAGTCAGACAAACGGGAGAAACTCCCTTCTCTTTTCCAATAGCGGTTTCACGGGATTAGAACAAACAGACAGGGCCTCGACTTAATATCCAACAACACAAAGATCCCCTAATCCTGCCCATCAGATATAGAGCTGCACAACTCAGCCACTAGGGATAGAACTTCACCATCCACAACTGGTCACTGCGTTCGCACAGTCCACAGCCGTGCGAGCAGTGAGTGTGTGAGAGAGCAGTGTTTGTGAGCAAGCGCAAGTGTGTGAGGTGTGAGCAGTGCGAAGCGCAAGTGGTGCACGCGAGCTGTGAGCGCACACGTGAGCAGTGAGTGAGTGTGCAGTGCGTGTGTGCGCCTTGGGACGTCCTCCCGACATCCAAATGTACTTTGAGTGGTTGTTGTGAGCTGGATTATAGATAGAAACACAAACATAGGAACAGGAGTAGGCCATTCAGCCCCTTGAGCCTGTTCTGCCATTGTATAAGATCATGGCTGATCTGTACCTCAATTCCTATTACCCTCCCTTACTCCATATCCCTTGACACCCTTACCTAACAAACATCTCTCCCTCTCTCACACACACACACACACACACAGAAACACACCAAAGTTCCTCCCCTGCAAGGATCCTCCCCGGCAGAATCACCAAATTAATATCCATCAGATCAAACGACTGATTTAAATCCCCCCACCCCAGTTCCCACCGTCGCTGCTACCAAACAAGCATTAGTTACTGGCCAGCGAGCACTCACTTTCCAGGCTCTGCCGAGATGTACTCCTCCCAGGTGATTGTGTTGGCTGGAGGAGCAGTGAGGGACTGTCTCCGCACAGGCTGTCAGGAGAGAGAGAGAGAGGGAAATCAGTCAAACACTCACCACTGCAGCCACAACAACAAATTACATTCACACATCGGGGAGGACGCCCCAAGTTACTGAACAGTCAGAGATTGAGACCTGGGGATGGGGGATCAGGAGGGGTGGAGGGCAGGGAGGGTGGGGGTGAGAGAGTGGTCGAAGAGGAGGTGGAAGAAAAGGGAGGTGACCGTAGGCACAGTTGTAGTGGAAAGGTGCGGTCGGGAGACAGGCAAAGAGGGGGCAAGGCAGAGGGCGTAAGGACCGAGACAGATCAACAATCCTTCACTGCAATTTATAATAATAATCCTTGCATTTGATATAGCGCCTTATCACATCTTCAAGACGTCTCAAAGCGCTTCACAGAATATACTGTAAAGTGCAATGACTGTGCATTTTGTGGGCGACGCGGCAGCCAGTATGCGCAAACCAGTGTCTCGTAAACAGCCATGAAGCGAGTGACCAATTGAATCGTTGGCCAAGACACTGATGGGGGGGGGGGGGGGAGAGAAACTCCCTTCTCTTTTCGAATAGCACCAAGGGGAACTTTAACGTCCACCTGAACAGGCAGACGGGACCTCGTCTCATCCGAAGGACGGAGAGCACACAATAGGAGGAGGTTTACCTCAAAGCTTTGCTCCATTAAGCTTCCTCCTTTGCTCAGGCTTTCCATAATAGCCTTATTTCGTAGAATATCCTCTTCACTGAGGTGTTCACGGCGTTTTCTGGATTCCAGAACGAGGCCGTTTACAGAATAAAACTCTGCCAGGAAGTTCCCCACTCGTTCCTATCGGTAAACAAAATACACACTAAATTAATAATTCTGCCATTTGGTCCGGCGCCTTTCACATTAGGAGGACGTCCCAAAGCACTTCACAGGATATCATGTAAAGTGGAGCGACTGTGTTTGTATGGGCAATAAATAACACACAAATACGTTGAAAAACATCTTATGCTAAATTATGTGTGCATTATTGGCGTCACTTAATATAAAGGACATCCCGTGATACACACCTGGTAATCAGTAGTCATAACCCACCCTACACATACCCAGTTACTAAATCTCCTTTCCTGCCGCCCCCCCACCACACACTCCCCCCATGGGCACACAAACTCACGTACTTGTCAATAGCTCAACCCCCGCTCCCCAAGTTAACAGCCTCCCTACCGTTTTGTCCTCCCGGAAAAGCCAGCCAGTCTGTGCCCGCGTGAAGGTGATGGATTTCGTGGATAATGTTGCAGAATAAATATCGCTGCTCATTAAAATATCTACCTCCTCTTCAGTCTCCATCTCAGATTCCTGAAAGGAAATCATTAGTAGGTGAAGGATCTTCGTGGATAAGTTCAATTGATCTTCAAGTTCTATCTCGGTGGGTGGGGGGGGAGAGGAGGTGGTTGGGGGATACCAGAGTAACAGATATCACAGAAATTGGATACTTAGGCGTTTATAGTGGATCTTAATAATAATCTTGCATCCGATATATATTGCCTTATCACGTCTTCCAGACATCTCAAAGTGCTTCACAGAATACATTGTAAAGTGTAGTGACTGTATATTTTGTGGGTGAAACGCGGCAGCCAATCACGCACAGCAGCGTCCTGACCAAATTATTAGTTTTTTTTAAAAAAGGGATTATTACCCCCAGAAAAGTGATGTGCCAATCAACTAACAGCTGGGTTCCTACTTACTGCTGTAAACAGAGGGGCGTGGAGTGAGGAAACTCGCCCAACGTTTCAAACCCAGGTCCTCTCGCTTGTGAGGCAAGTGTTCTACACACTGAGCTACAGGATTCCACCTCATGAATTAGTTCCAAGCAAAGCTAAAGCTATTTACAACTAATGAGTTCATCACAGTAAGTATTCAGGGAACAAACCCATTGTGCATACATCCTGTTTACTCCACATAACAGTTCCACAACGGACAGATTAGGGGTGAATCTAAACACAGAGATTACACACATGCATGCTAGGCAGCTCACCTCGTGGTGTATTCGCTGGTAGACTTTCTGCTCGTTGTCTAACACTATGAAAGATTCGGACGGGGCTGCATCACCGTTGAAAATGAAGCTCAAGTCTCCCCGTTGGCACTTCATGTCAGTAAAGTCTATCAGAGTGGTGTCCAGCCTGTAAATATACATTAACAACAGGGAGGGTTCAGAATTTAGGAACAAAGGAATAGGAGGCCATTCAGCCGATCAAATAGTCTGTGGGCTTCTCTCTCTCTCCCTTTAAATATCTCAGTTGATTCCGCCTCTACAACCTTCTTAGGCATTACTTGCACAACCATCCGTGTGAAGAAATCTTTTCTAATATCACTGCCAATTGGTTTAATGTTAAAATTATATGCCTGTGTTTTGAATTCCTGTATAGAATTCTTTTAGCTCGTGAACTACAGGGTATCCACAAAGTCCTGCCCCCCCCCACTGCACCCCCCCACAAAACAGCAATGCGGGGCTGCGGAGGAGCTGAAACAAGCTGTCAGAGACACGTTTCACCTTCTCGCTCACTCCATGTTATGGAAGGTGTGGCACCAAATATAGCAACGGATTATTATCTGATGTGAAAATGATGGAGCTCACACACAGATCCTCTGGACGTCTGAATACAATGAAACACTTGCACTGAATGCAATTAAGTATTTCTAAATGCAATTATCGTAATTCTTCCCCATGTTTCAGTTATTAGTCAGTGCACAGTAGAAAAAAATTATGGGGGAATAACAGGACTTTGTGAACACCTTGTACATGAAATATCTGTTAATGCCCCTAGGTTAAAAAAGTTTATACTGAACACCCCTCACTGGACAGCTTACTCTGCGTGCAAACAGGAAAACTTAACAGAAAGTAAAGTGATGAAACTGGTGGCTGAAACCAACTTACCTGATGTTTATACCCTGTTTGTAAATTTTACAAGCATCTGAAGGCAGAATTCTGGAAAGTAAAGGCACTGCAAGAGAAAGAATAATCATGAGTCTGAGGATTTGCTATGGCAGATTAACTGAACTGATTTATCAGTATACATATTGCGTAAAGAAATATAAAACGCGGCAAGAACAAGTGACAAATTGCTTAGAATAAAAGCATAATGATAATCTTTGCATATCATATAATGCCTTTGAGGCGTCTCAAAGTAATACACAGAACATAGTGTAAAGTGATTTGCCTATATATTTTGGGGCTAAACACGGCAGCCAATTGCGCACAGCAGTGTCCTACAAACAGTCTTGGATTGAGTGAACAAATTATTATCTTTTCTTTGAAGGATTATTACCCTCGGAAAGTCACCAATCGACTAACAGCCAGGTTCCTACTTACTGCTAGATAAACAGAGACGTGTGGAGTAAGAAAACTTGGCCAAAGTTTAGCCGTACCAGGGGATCAAAACCAGGTCCTCTCGTTTGCGAGGCGAGTGCTCTAACCACTGAGCTACAGGACTTTACGACATGTAGATTTGGATGCGTACAAAAGAAAAAAAAAACTGTTGGCGTAGAAGACATTTAACACTTACCCCAGCTCTGAAAATCCCAGTGGAGCTCTAAATAGAAGTCCCCCAGCTGAAAAATAAAACATAACAGTGTGATCACTGCACTGCTTAAAGATTTCTTTCCTCCCCTCAGCAAAGATTTTTTTCCCCCCAGCACGATAACAGCCACTGAAGAGCACCAGATTGCGTTACATTGCGACGTCACCTCAAATTCTGGCAGGAATTTAATTCCTTTGAGACACCTTTAATGTTTTCACGGATGTAATCAGTAGTGCTCGCACCATTTCAATCACTTCTCATCCATTCAACAACAACAACAAGAAGCATTTATATAGCGCCCCTCACCACAGGATAGCGTCCCAGAGAGCTTGACAGTGGTGGAGCACGAGCTGGGTGGAGGTGACGGTTTGGCACAGTCGAAGAGGAAGATCTTCAAGCACAATCTGAAGATGGGGAAGGAAGCGGCAAGGCAGAGGGATGGAGGGAGAGTGTTCCAGAGTTTTGGGGCGTATTGGCTGAAAGTGCGGCCACCGACGGTGGACTGGAGAGCACGAGCGACATGCAGGAGGCCGGAGCCAGTCGAGCGGAGGCAGTGGGGAGTGGATTAGGAAGCACATTCGTTACTTCCAGGCATAAAATGCAGAATAAGTTATTTCAGTCTGAGGTGAGTGGCATCAGAAACGTGAGTGACACTGCTGTGCTCTCGGGCTCACAAGATCACAGTTTGGGTGACAGGCGAGTTGCAAAACGTACCAGTAGGTGGTGAGTTTGAGCAGAAACCCTGTAAATCAGCTGTTGCTGGTGAAAGCTGTCGCCAGTAGCTTCCAAAAGGGAATTGGATATGTACTTGAAAAGGAAAATTTGGCAAGGCTACGGGGAAAGAGCAGAGGAGTGGGGCTAGTTGGATAGCTCGTTCCAAGAGCCGGCACAGGCACGATGGACCGAACGGCCTCCTTCTGTGGTGTGGGATTCTATGATTCTAAGGATTTTGCCCTCAACCTCAGAAGAAATATCCTCCATTCTGTCTCCCATTACATTACAATGACACAGAAGGAAGCTACGGGGAGGTGGGGGGGAAGAGAGGAGAGGCAGAGATACCCATAAAAATAATTTACACACACCCAGCAACTTACAACTGGTATTCCAAAGCAAGACAAAATATACAGTCAATCCACTTCACAGTATATCCTGTGAGGTGCTTTGAACATCTTGAAGACGTCATAAGGGCTACATCAAATGCAAGGATTAGTATTATTATAAATAAAGCAGCCCAGGCCAGACATGCAGAATTAGCACAAACCTCAATTCTAACGCTGCCAATTTGAGACCCTCTTTAATCTCAAGGGTTTATGAGTTGCTCGATCGTGTTATTTACAAAGCATAATAAGAATCCTTGCATTTGATGCAGTCCCTTATTACGTCGTTGAGACGTCTCAAAGCGCTTCACAGAATATACTGTAAAGTGGAGTGAATGTGTATGTTGCGGGCGAAACGCCATAGAGCAGAGTAAGGCGAACCTTCAATCTAAGTGATATTATTAGACATCTGCTTTTAATAAGAGCTAAATTTATCCCGCAAGCCTCGCTGACCCAGCAATTCCAAAGCATGGCTCCAGAGGGGACTCAGGTGACAATCAGTCAAACTCACCTCTTTCAGAGCTTTAAGTAATCGAGGCCGTTTCTCCTCTACGTTCTCTCTCGACTGCTGCTTAAGTTTCCGTAGCAAAGCCGTGACTGCAAACAAACACAAACGGGATTTTGTTAAAGTTAGAATACTGTGTGTTTTCATTTGACACAAGTCAACGACAACTTGCTTATATCGCGCCCCTCACGCAGAGTCCTTAAACCTTTATTTTACTTGAAAGGTACTGTATGAATGAAAGTGTTGCAAGAAAATAATTATTGTTACATCATTGTTAAGTCAAAGTTATAGAATACAATCATATACACATTTATTATTTCCCGATCGTTTCAATGGAGTCATTGAGTTAAGACTATGTGGACGTTAAGACACCCGCCAGCCGCTACTTCTAAGTAACGTGTAGTTTCTCCTCCATTAATCTGACATTGGGCAAATTAACTGCCTAATTCACGTCATTCTAATTACTCCCAATCTGTTATTCTGTGGGTAATAATTCCTCAAAAAAAATTGATCACTCAAAAATAATTTGGTCATTGAATCCGCGACAGTTTGCGGGACACTGCTGTGCGCAACTGGCTACTGCGTTTTGCCCACAAAATATACAGTCACTACAATTACAATGTATTCTGTGAAGCGCTTTGAGACGTCTCAATAATGTGATAAGGCGCTACATTAAATGCAAGATTTTTTTATTATTAAATATATTTGAGACCTTTACTTTACTGAATGTAAGTGGATGTAAAAAAAACTACAATCATTGTCAGGTTTCTACTTCACATAATGGCTGTGCTACAAGTCACTCTGCAGATAATAATACTTGCATTTGATATCACGGCTTTGAGACATCTCAAAGCGCTTCATAGAATATACACAGAAGATACTGTACAAAGTACACCAGATGCATTATGCATTTACCTGTCCTATACAGTAACTTTTTAAATAGATAGGAAAACCTACACAACGACACTCTCTTCATCTCTCCCCTAGGATCCTCTGATATTGAATTGAACAATATGTGGTTGCAATCAATACTCCAACTGGCCACCATTTTAGAGGTACGCACAAAGCTGCTTTTGTTACTCCCTCCAGTTTAGCTAAAATGGCAGCTGTGTGGCATGAATGGGTGCAAATCTCAGAAGATAAAATGACAATAAAATTATTGTAGATCATTACACATGGCAAGGATTAAACAAGGATACCAGGAAGGATTCAGACAGCGTGTGAAGCTATCAAAAAGATGCTTGTCCCCTAGAAAATTAACTGAGATATTAAACCTTACAATATGTTCCTCGTGCACATGATGCACTGGAGGAATTTTGTACATGATTACGTTCATGCTCTCTGACAGCAGAGACTCCAGTTCTGACCCATTTCACAACTCTGTAGTTTACTGATTAGGGCATTTGCTCGCAAGCGAGAGGACCTGATTTCGATTCGTGGGCAGAGCAAAAACCATGGGCAAGTTTCCTTACTTCACACGCTTGTTTACGTAGCAGTAAGCAGGAACCCGGTTGTTAGTCGATTGTCAGATCGCTTTTCTGGGAGGTAATAATCCCTTCAAATAAATAAAAATAATAATAATTTGGTCACTCAATCCACGACTGTTTGAGGAAAAAGCTGTGCACAATTGGCTGCCTTATTTCGTCCACAAAATACAGCCAATTCACTTTACAGTACATTCTGTGAAGCACGTTGAGACGTCTCAAGGACGTGATAAGGTGCTATATCAAAAGCGAGGATGATTATTATCATTATAACTTGTAAATGCACAGCTGAAATGAACCCAGTCGACTGTGAACCTGGCCGCTTATAAAAAATCAGAACTGTCAAAACTGTGCAGGTTTGCCAGGATTTAATCTCAACAAACCAGAGAGGAGTGTTAAAATGGATGAATGAGGATTAACGCTGTTCTTCCTGGAAACACACTCAGCCTTTTTGTTGCAAGCAGCTTTATAATGCATGCAGAAGCCTAGCGATGATCCCTGGAATGTGGCACAGCAATGTCATAGTTTTGTATTTGGAATTTTCCATTCTATAGCTGTGCGATCCGAAAACTCTCAGCTGATCAGTTAATTTAAGAATACTATAAGAAAATAATTTAGCCTTTTTCACCATGAAAATCCATGGTGGGTCCAGGGTCCTCACGTGTCCCAAACAAGTTGAATTTGTGGGATGTTGCTGTGTGCAATCGGCTGCTGCGTTCCATCCACAAAATACACAATCAATCCGCTTCACAGTGTGTCCTGTGAGGCGCTTTGAGATGGCTCAACGACCTGATAAGGCGCTGTATCAAATGGAAGGATTACTATTATTAAGTTTTTTTAAAAACTTGGACTTATATAGCACCCTCCATGCAGAGTAGAGTCTCAGAGCACTTAACAGTGGCAGAGCCGGTGGTGGGGGCGGGTGGGTGGGAAAGAAGTAGCCGTAAGCACAGTCAAAGAGGAAGGTTTTCAGGTGGTACTTGAAAAGGGGAGGGGGCAAGGCGGAGGGACCTGATGGCTGAAAGCACGACCTCCAATGGTAGTACAGAGGGCGCGAGGGATGAGCAGGAGGCCAATCGAGCGGAAGCGCTGGGTGGTGAATTGGGGAGTAAAGGAGGTCAGAGAGGTAGGGAGGTGTCAGAGAGTGAAGGGATTTCAATACAAGTGCAAAGATCTTGAAGTCAATCCGTTCGGTGATGGGGAGCCAGTGGAGCCTGGGCCAGAACTGGTGGATTCTGTCCAGGCAAGTATGCGGGCAGCAGAGTTCTGAATGAGCTGGATCTTTCGAACAGTGGAGCTGGGGAGACAAAGCGTACGTTGGAGCAATCCAAGCGGGAGGTGACAAATGAATGCACAAGGGTTTTGGCGGCATTTGGGGTAAGGTATGGTCGGAGGCAGGCAATGTGGCGGAGGTGGAAGAAGGCAGTTCTAGTCAAGGACCGTCAAGGACCGTATGTGGGGGAGGAAAGACAGACTGTAGGGGGTTGAATCGAACCTCTAGATTGCGCACTGGTTCAGTGAGTGTGATGGAGAACCCAGGGATGTTAAGGAGTTCAGATCCGCAGGAGTGAAAATGTTGACGGGAGCCAAGGAGTATGGCTTCTGTCTTGTCCACATTCACCTGCAGGAAGTTTGCACTCATCCAGCCCCTGATGTCTGCCAGATAAGCTGATAGAACATTAGCGGAGCTGGAGTTATACTGGAAGAGGCAAAGTAGATTTGTACATACTTACACATTGAAAGGAAAGTATGAAGACTGATGCATCAAAAAAAATTGATCATCAATCGTTACAGATCTTAATCACAATCCATAATGAATGTTGCAAGTAATCCAGGGAGGATAGGAGGCAAAAAGTCATTAGATACCAAATCAGATCAATACTGATTCTAAAGTGGTCCACTGATTATTCAGACGAGAATAATTAGTTACCATATACCTTCCTATTCCACCGGTGGCTCATTCCCTACATATATACATTTCTTTAATACGAACAATAAATCTTTGATATAATAATATTCCTTGCATTTGACATAGTGCTTTTCACATCTTCTGGACGTCTGAAAGCACTTCATGGAATATACTGTAAAGTGAATTGACCGTATATTTTGCAGGAGAAATATAGAGCCTTATCACGTCTTTGAGACACCTCAAATACACTTAGAAACATAGCAGTTTTTATAATATTGTTTGAATGCTTATTTCATAGCCGCAGGTGATCCGATGAGAAATGCATTAATTCAAGAAATTCTTTGCTCAAATTAACCAATACGTATTTAAGAAGGTTATCTATCCCATTAAGAATTCTGCAATCTCTAAATTGTCAACCTAGGTTTAAATAATTAAGAACTAGTATTGGAACCAAAGATTTACAAACCTACCATAATAATGGCTAATTATCATCAACATACCAGGAGATATTGCCTACATTTTCCCAATCGGATCTGTCATGGGATCTTTAACAACCACCTGAATGTGCAGAATGGAGCTCAGTTCAATGTCAAGCATGACACTGACAATAAGGCAGCACTTATCCAGTTGTACTCTGGAATTTCAGCCTGGACTTTAAGCACAAAGTCTAGGCTAGCAAAGTGGGGAGTGCTGACACAGACCCAATTCTGTGATGTACTCTACTGCTGAGCTAGATGCTATAATTGGACTGGGATCAAACAAAACAGCTGTCAGCACATTGCTACTAGTAAATCTATGTGTACTTGTTGCTTGCATAAATCTGCTGCAAATTATTCCACCCACTTTAGACAAGACAAGTCAGTAATGCAGCTACATGTTTCCCAATAAAGCTTCATCTTCTAGATATTTCTGCCGGAAAGATTAACTGCAGGAACAAACTTCTCGGAATTTATGAGAATTATGAGAGTATACGCCAAACTTTGTAATTTTAATGTCTGAATAAAAAAAATGGAAACAGCCATAATAAATTACACAGCGGTTTTCATGTTGGGAGGACGTCCCAAGGCGCCTGACAGGCAGAGATTTGGACCCAAGGAGGAGGTTGGGATCAGGAAGGCAGGGAGGGTGACCGAAGGCGCGAGGAGGGTTTTGAAATGGGCTTTGAAGGAAGGAGGCAAGGGAGGGAGCGAAGCGAAGGGACTGTTGGGTTCAGTTCTAAAGGGTGGGGGCAGAGACAACACTGGACTCCACCACCAGAGTAGCAGAATACAAGCTAGATCTAATAATCTTCAGCGCACTGACTTTTGTAACCATGCACCAGAGGCCAGGTTCTTGCACACCCAACGGCGGAACATGAAAGAGTCGCTTCGGGCATTGCAATTCTTGGCAAAGCTTGGCTGCAGGTCCACTGTTAACACATCACTGATGCAAGAAATTGATACATCATTGATTAAAGAAAGTGGGAGGAGAAAAGGCAAAATAAAAGATCTTTAAAAATTCCTTTTAGTGTGGTCTTATCTCTCGGTCTCTTTCTTTACCTGTTATTTTTCAAAACCATTTTCTCCTGGTTATAAAGAATTTCTTTACATGTTATTGCTATTTTCTCTATAAGTCTGCTGTCCCATTAGGTTTCCTGCCCACATCTCTTTATTTACATATGGTTCTTGATGGGGTTAAGTTTTGCTGAAACATTTGTGCCTCTCCTTTGCATAAACAAGAGAAGCTGAGGCAAGTTTCCAGATACCACAGGTAGCCCAGTTGGTACAGGAAATAGGCCAGCATATCAGGGACATGGGTTGAGAGAACACATGGTCACAAGATCTTGCTAAAGATTCCAGGGGTATGGTGCGGTGTCGAAGTGAGACAGCACTGGATGCTGCCAAGAAATACTCAGGGACCAAAATAACTCAAAGGAATAGCAAATAAACCCCTTCAGAACAGCAAGAATCAACAAGTGTTGGCGGTCAAGCCTTCAGCCTCTCTGCCCCCACCCTTTGGAACCCCATCCCACAGTTCTTTCGCCTTGCTCCCTCCCTTGCCTCCATCAAGGCATGTCTGAGAAGACCATCCACTTCGACCGTGCCATCGGCCACCCACATACCCCTACCCAAATCTCTGACTGTCCAGCAGCTTGGGCGTCCTCCGGACACGAAAGGTGCTGTGTGTAAATGCCATTTGCTGTTGTAGTTAGTTGTATTTTGAAAAGAAAAGGCAAGAATCAAGATGGGGGTTTGGAAGGAATCAGAAAACATCTGTAAACAAAAAGCAAAAAACTGAAACAAACACAGAAGTCACTGGGAAAACTCAGCAGGTCAGCAGGATCTATGGAGAAAGGAAAATGAGTGAACGTTTCAGGTCCACAACCCTTCGTCAGAACTGGGGCATGTTGGGAGGGAGAGGTTTTTAAGGACTAGCAGAGAGGGGAGAGGCAGGGCAAGGAAGACAAAGGGGAAATTGGGGTAGAGGACAGGGATGATGGGTTAAAAGGGTATTAATGATGCAAACCAAAGGGGGGTGTGCAACAAAAAAAGTGGGGAAAAGAGGTGTTAAAAAGACAAAACAGGGGGAGGGAGGGAATTGCAACAAAACAGGCAGACCAGAGAGAGAAAAGGTGTGCCTAGGACCCAGATGATGTGGTAATGGGCACAGAAGAGATAAACATCTGTAAGGTGGGTTCACTAGCCCGTTACTGGCACTTTGTCAGCTCACTCTCCCCATTCTCCTGAAGTATAGGGACCCACCTGTTACACAATACGACACTTCATATTCCCCCTCCCTCTACACAAAGGTGAATTTCATACCGATTAATCTCAGACGTCAATTGGCCTAGCAGTCAGTCTATATTTAGCGAATGCTTAGCCTTACTCAATATCAGGGCTTTGTGCAAATCAGCTTTGTAAAGGAGCAGAGTTGCAGGATTGAATCCTGCTGAATGTGTAGACCAGGGCTTCACACTTCGGATCCTGAATGAAAGGTGATGGTTGTGTGGAGCGGAGGAAACAATCAGCCTGAGCTGGGATAACCTGGACAGCCAAATAGGCTGCCCATATAGACTACATTCATAGGGAGAAAAGTCACTTGGGACAAGGCACCAGTGAACAACCAGAACCTGTAATACTATAGCTCCCCACGAGTCAGTGTCTTAAGGAGAAAAGTGGCAATTCAGCACACTCAGAGCAAGAGGTATGCCTCCTACTTACTTTACTTTAGTTCAAGCCATGTTTTATTTAATTCAACTTAGGCTCAACAAAATAATCTAAGATAACTGCTGCAGCATGTCCCACAGTGACGACAGAGTGAAACCATCGGGAATATGCATTAAAACTTCATGTGAATGTAAAATTGAATCCATCTGCCCCAGAAAGATTTGCAGAGCAGAGCAACAATTTAGCACTTAACATTTTTAATTATTAAAGTCAGTCTACATCTAACCTATTTTCTGTTTATCTCTATGACTACTCCGAATGAAGATGGAGAATATTGTTCCATTAAAAATATCTGTGCCATTTTGGGGGTTTTTTCCTTCCAAATATGGTTCTTATTGAAGCCTGTAGTACAAAATATTGAAACAACATATGTATTCAATGAAACCCATTGGTACATGCAATAAATTACCCAACTGTTCAACAGATCTAAGAAGGGTAGTTCCGTCTTTGAATCATAAAAATTGGATACAATATTAACGTGGTCACTCCTTACCACTAAATAATGTTCCAAATCACTTACGCAATGCATTTTTAGTAAAGGTACAACCATCGGAGGTCAGGTTTTCAGCCACAACGCCCCCAAATTCTGGAACACTCTCCCTCAATCCCTCTACGCTGCCTCATCTTTCCCCTCTTTCAAGTCCCGCCTGAAAATTTTTCTCTTCGACCGTGCTTATGGCCACCTCCCCCGGCTCGGAGTCAGGATCCATCACTGTTAAGCGCTCTGAGACGCTACCCTGTTTGCTAAATAAGTGCAAGTTGTTGTTGTTGTTGCGTACACAACAGATTTAAGAGTATCACAGAAATCCGCAACACAATAGCCTATTTGGCCATTGCATTAGCGTTGGTTGTTTGGTCCTTTGACAAAGCCAATCCCAATGCTCTTTCCCCATTCCTTCTAGATATAAGAACATAACATAAGAATTTGCTAGACGAATGAAGACCAAGGTCCAGCCAGTTCGTTTTCCACCGTCCTGGCTGATATATTGCATCCCAAGATATGTCAAAGATCAAGACCCCCACTGCAAGCAAAGCCATAGACTGCACGTCACTCAAGTATTGGCTGATATTAAATCAGAAACATTTATGTAGATATGTAAATTTATGATTTACATTATAAACTGTAGATTGCAGGATTTCTAGCAAAGCTCTATATTGGTTCAGTACACAAAATGTATATTTTGTTTCAAATGAATAATAACTTCCCTACACTTTGGAATGTTTGAACCGTCTTTCCATGTTATTGGGTTCTATGGGAAACCGGGTATTCCCTGGTACCTCACTCCCATTGCTCACGTACGAGGCCAACAACAACAAATAACATTTACACAGCACCCTTCACGTCCTTCCCAAGGTGCTGGACAGTCAGGGTCAAAGAGCAAAGGGTTGGGATCAGGAGGGGTGGAGGTTTCACTGGAAAACCATTGCGCCAAGCAGGGAGGATTGGAAACTAAAATAAGGGGTGATGACCAACAGTATAACCCATGGAATAACTGTAACACAATATTAATTTATTGTAGCCCTTGTTGAAGCAGGAAGAAGGAAACACACTGCCTTACTCATTTGTCGGTCTCCATAGCTGATGGCTTCTGCCAGCGGGCTCCATCCCTGAGCATTTTTCACCTTTACCAAAGCGTTGTGAGCAAGAAGCAGATGGGCACATTCTGCATGGAAAAACAGGATAAAAAAAAGGAACTATTATAATCTGCAATTAAATTTGAGTTACACAAATTCACCACCAACATTTTAACACTTCAAAATAGGATGAATCATCGGAAAAAATGACACTGTTTGTCATTTTAGCGAGGGTAGCTTGGATTAATAAATGTTTCAGCGTTACTTAGCAACACTGAAGGGTCAGTGATCTTGAGAGAGGCGTGGGTTTGCAACAGCGTGGGTTTACACAAAAGGAAACTGCAGTCTTCCAAGAATTTAATCTGCGTGGGTATGTGGCAATGCCAAACGAAAGAAAGTTGTGGGCTGGAAATCGGAAATAAGTAAAAGAAACTCCAGAAATGCAAAATGCACAGCAGGTCAATCAGCGTCTGAAAAAGGTGAATTTTCAGGGCTAAAGAAAATCTGGTTACTCAATCCACAGCTGTTTGTGGGGCACTGCTGTGCACAATTGGTTGCCGCAATTGTTTTGCCCATAAAATACAGTTAATTCACTTTACAATATATCCTGTGAAGCACTTTGAGACGTTTCAACGGTGTGATAAGGCGCTATATCAAATGCAAGGATTATTATGATTATAAAAAGAATCTTCTGTGGCCCAACATTTCAGTTCTGACTATGAATCACACCTAAAACATTAAACAGTCTCTCTCTTTCCAATGCAGATCAAACCTCCTGTGCATTTCCAGCACATTCCCTTTCTTGATTAAAAAAAGTCATCGTGAGTCATGTTGAATTGACTTTCTTTTAAGCACCAGTTTTACTTCAAAAAAGCAACCTTCAGGTTCAGAAATTCCATTAAAACAAAAATGATTCATTTTTCAACTTCAACACAAGCCTTCTTTCCGCGTTTATGAATAACCAGTTTGATGGATTAAAACTGGGATTTTTTTAAAAAATGCTTAAAATGGATCATTGCCTCAAAAATATTCACATCCGTGTTAGTGCACTCTCTCCACAATTTTAGAGGGGCGAGGAAAGAAGAGACAACTTGGGGAATCCCTACCAAATTGGTTTAGAGAAAATGTACACAGAAGGACTCTCAACTCTGTTTACTAGCATTAAATTGGTTGTTAGTTGATAGGCTCCTTGTTCCACAGCTAATAATCCCTTCAATTGTTTTGAAAAAAATAATAATTTGGTCACTCAATCCACGACTGTTTTGCACAATTGGCTGCCGCGTTTTATCCACAAAATATACAGTCAATTCCCTTTACAATATATTCTGTGAAGCACTTTGAGACGTCTCAAAGATGCGATAAGGCGCTATATCAAATGCAAGGATTATTAGCCATAGTATAAATACAACATCGTTACATTTGTAAAGTGTATTTCACGTCAGGAGCACATCCCAAATACAATGAAAGCTGAATAAAACAAGACATATTTCTCAATTCAGTTTGGCTTTCCCACAATTAACACACACACACACACACACCATTTTGTGCTGCTGGAAATTGGATGGAACGTAAAAATATCCATTTTAACCAACCAGGTACACATTTTGCTCAATGGATATTTTAGAAAACTATAACATGTCTGAATGCTTACATTTCAACACTATGTGAATGTCACTGAGGTGCCCAAACCAAATTCTTTATGGTAACAGGATCATGAGCGTGGGCAGCAAAGCATTGGGATTCATTTGTGAACAGTGCAATTGAGAAGAGCGCATTCAAACGAAGTAGTCGCAGAATATGCAAACAGCAACGCTCCAAATTAAGAGGCATTGAACAAGACGTTTTTGACGTGTAAAGTAAAAGCTATTTAACTGAGATCTGCTGCCAAACATTTTAATCATTTTCAAAATAACAGCATTGTGGTGGAGTTTGCAAAACAGAGACAATCGGATGGAACGCAAAACACTATTTTAAAGGTTAATTAAAATTCTGTCAAGCTCTTACACACACCCACACACCAACAAACACACACATGGACACCTCATCTCTGCTCCTTCCCAAACTTGGCAGGCAGCCAGCCTGATATTTGCCAACGCTAGTTTATAACTAGCTGATCAGGTTTTTTGCTCCATCTCTGGTGCTCTGCAGCAATTTAGCGTTTCTGCTTTGAATTCTATCTCAAAGTAAAACTGGATGGATCCACAACACTTAGCAGCCTTTAGATGCTTTGAAGCCGGGTCCATTTTGAAGCATGTTCTATTTGGTCCACCTTTGAAGTATTGCTATGTAAAATGTGCTATGAAAGAATGCACCCTGCAATCTATCCCCCCCATTCCCCCCCCCCGCCCCACCACCACACACACACTTTTATAAAACAGAAAATCTGTAATTACAGGCAGTAACCAGAATCTTATTGACCATGAAAGCAATTATTCTACAGATTAGGTATCAGGACAACAAAATAAATACTGTACATGCATTTGATAAAAACCTAATAAAATTGAAATGTCCCAAAACACCTTAAAGGTAATAAGTCTTTTTGAAATTACTCATCGTCATAGAATCTTACTTTGCTTTAATAACATTACTTGACCAGTAGATTTTATAAAATTAAGTCATTTGTTTAATCAAAATCAGTCATGTTGTTTTACTAATACATTTACATCAAGCTTTCACTTTAGGATTTTAATATAAATCATAATCCTTACATTTGATATAGCGTCTTATCACGTCTTCAAGACGTCACAAAGCATGTTACAGAAAATACTGTAAACTATTATCTTTTGTTTGAAGGGATTATTACCCTCAGAAAGCAATCCACTAACAACCGGGTTCCTACTTACTGCTAGGGAAACAGAGACGTGTGGAGTGAGGAAATTTGCCATTACGGGTGTGGGGAAGCGCACTTTGGTAATTCAGTATCTGGGCAATTCCATAAAGACCCACAAAAAATATCAGTAGGCAATAACTTTTTTTTTCAAAAAGTGGAACCTTATTTTGTTGCACTGAGTGTCGACATCAGCAGTAAAGAAAAATCAATATCATTGATTAAACACTTCAATGACTTCTGTTCAACGCAACCAAGAGGAAAATACTGCTTGCTTACAACTCCTACTTCACCCCCACTGCTGCTGAAAACCTTGGCCATTTACAGAGAAACTATTTCCTCTGGTGGGGGAATCCAGAATAAGGGGCCATCATCTTAAAATTAAAACTAAGCCATTTAGGAATGAAATTAGGTGGCAGTTGTTTTAACACAAAGGGTAGTGGAAATCAAAAGGCTGTGAATGCTGGATCCATTCATATTTTCAAGACCGACGTGGATAGGTTCGTGTTAGGTCTGAGTTTCAAGAGATTTGGGGCAAAGGAGGGAATTGGATTGAGGTACAGATCAGCCATGATCTTACAGAATGGCAGAACAGGCTAGAGAGTCTGAATCCTGTTCCTATTTTCCATGTCTTTGTCACCTAGAGGATTCTATCCTCGCTCCACCCACTCCGCCTGCAGAAGCCACAAACGATTCTGAATTCTGCACCCGGAGTCATCTCCCATCCGGAGTCATCTCACACCCAGGTCACTCCTCACCAAACCCTGCCAGCTCCCAGAATCTCCAATCAGGTTGGGACACTTGCCCTATTATTTCAAATCTCTCTACAATCACACCCAGAATTTATCCATACAATCTTCTACAGACGTAAATATTCTCCACTCTCTCTACTTCACTAATGGTATTCGAGTCACATCATCTCACCACCCTCTGGAAATTTCCCAAAACTTCGTTGCATTCTTATCTCTCTTTCTACCTTCAAAAACCTCCTAAAAACATAGCTCTTCAACCATACCTTTGGTCAACAAGCTTAAATCTCTCAGTTTGTGTGCATCCCTTCACACATCATTGACTTTGAGCAACGGTGCGGAGCTTAAGCAGCAACTGCTTGTTCCTCTGCAAGCCAATCACGATGGATTGGAGGCATCAGATATACGAACTCGTGTTCACGAACTCGGAATCTGGGTACCGCTTTCCAGCAGCTGTTGCCCCAAGCCTCAGAGTTTCCTCATCAGTTATCCGGCAGACAGTAAAAGTATTGAAAAAGTAGTAATACGTTAGCCAGTGTGCGGCATTAATGCGTGTTACACAAGGCTCCCTTTTTATATTCACTTCTAATCCTTTAGTAATCCTGCTTTATTACACGGAGTCTGTGGCTCAATGCTACTTTGGACATACATAATGCAGCGTCAAACTAGAGGCAATACATTCCACGAATCTCCACAGCCCTCATACAGCCCTCATACTGTCTCTAGACTTGAAAGCTATGCACAAGTGAAACCCACACACACATGAAAATCTTGACGGCACCACCTACCATCAAAAACAACAGAAGCAAAGGCCCACTCTCTCCGCTCAGCAGGATCAATCCTCCTCTGCCCGCCCATCGGCATTCAAGTGTTCTGCCACCCTGCCCCACCCTTTAAAACACAACCCAGTCCCTTTGCCTCCTCTCTTGCATCTTTCAAGCCACGTCTCAAGACCCTCCTTTTTGACCGCGCCTTCGGTCATCCCCCTACCCCTATCCTCCATCCCTCCAGATCCGAACCCCGTGCTTGGTCCAAATCTGACAGTACAGCACCTTGGGACATGCTCCTGACCTTTCTGAACTGGTAGGTAGTGCCAACGTGTTTTAAGTAGTCATTGGGTAGAACTGAAACCGCCTAAATACAATCCTGCTACCCCTCTCCCCTCTCTCTCTCTGCGTAGGTAGTACAGTACAGAGGGCAGTTTGTAAATGTGATTAGACCGAAGGTCGAGAATATATACAGATAAACATCAGAGTAGTAACATATGCTCTTGAAAGTGCATACCTGGAAAGGCAGCTGCATGGTAGGTGGGTTTATGAGACGCCCTGCTCTGCTGGATCTGATTTTATCTGCTGTTTTGCGTAATACAATATTCCAGCCCAGTGCTACCTCCAAAAAACGATAAGCAAAAGCGTAGCCAGAAAGCAGAATGCTGGCCCTTCCTGTTACACCAATCAATGTTCCTACAAAGCCTATTCTTGTTTTGCACTGTTAGAAAGGTCTTCCACCTGTA